TACGTGCGTGCAAAACCCGCCGATTGTCGAATAGGACAGCATCGCCTTCGCGTAGGGTATAATCTAGGATGTTCGCAGAATCATCAAGTAGGGCAGCATAGCGTCCCAGGGCGCCGTAAAATGCGGGAGGAGTCGAATCTAACAGCAGAGGAGCTTGGAAAGGCGGGGAATAATTGATGTGCTTTATTTTAGGCACGCTGGGTGTAGAAATACCGGTGGTGGACGAGCCAGTGCCTATTGCTGGAGGCAACGAAGCGAGTTCGATGGTGGGGTGCTCGTGATGAAGGTGATGTCCATCATTGACGTAATGGAATGGGACCGGTGTGGTGGCCAGGGTATCAAAGTCCACTGGATGGGTCTTACGCAACGTCTCTGCAGCGTGGAGACCGTCAACAAAACGCGAAGTACCGCCTACCACCCGATTGCGAAGACAGTGGAGAATCTGGTATCGAGGTGGGTGTTCGAAGTATCTGTCGGATCATCAGAGCCTCATCGAGACAGTATACCGAAACTACACACAGGAGATCCATATGCATACCTAAGTCAAGATTAGTATAGGCGATATTTTTACTGTTGCGGATGTTCTTGACATCCCACAGCTCCCCGTAGAAGGTTTCGCGCAGTTCGCCAAAAATATTGGCAAGTTTGCGGAGCTCGCATGCCTCATTTGTGTGCTCGGTGTTCGGGACACCTGTGAGGAAGAGTAGTCCATAGCGAGTGAGCTGTGTGATGGCAGAGAGAAGCTGGGATGGCTTCTTTATGGCTTCGTAGGACATATGGAGGTCAGGTACTTGGGAGATGGTAGATACATCCCAAGATATGGGTTGTACATCTTTGTGAAAAGATGACAGTCGCGGAGATGATGAGTAGCGTTCCAAGAAAGAATGCTCGTAGAATGATTTGTGATTATCTACCCACTCGACATGTATGCCCACTGTCCTGGGAAGTTACGCCATGAGGAATGGGACGAATATCAGCGGGAATATCTGATGTCCTACGAAGCTTCTGAGATGTAGACGGATGCACGCAGGCTGCGCATTGGCAGGCGTCTCGCAGCCATCTATGAGGAAAAGAAGCGCCGAGAGTAGGAATAATCAGCTGGGAATCAGTTGTCTGAACTCTAGCTTCAGTATATGTACGGCGGAAGGAAGGAATAATCTGTCTGGAGAAGCCTGGAGTCAGGAACTGATGCACACGTAAACCGCACTGATATCCCAAGTTCATCTTGGTGTTATGGAATTTGACGCCCCGCAATGGGACAATAATTAAAAATTCCCATCGCCCGTCTGCAAAGCTGTGCTTATTTTTTCCACGGCTCGAATGTTGATTTTCACCAGTACACACTCACAGTGACAGTGTTGAGCATCGTCATGCTGGAAAGTTGAAGCACTGGACTCTCTGTCGCAGTGAGCATGTCAGGCTTGCAGAGGAACGGGCCGAGTTGATGTGCTCACCATCTGCTAACTGGGGATGTCAACTTGAACAACGTCACAGTCTAGCCGGATGGCATTCAGAATTGGACCACAAATTTAATTAACTAACCCATATCTTAAGCAAAATCACACGAGGCAAAGCAAAATCAATTCAAAGCAGTGTTGGGGTCGAGTTGGGGTGGTAGGCGCCGCTATGGGATTGTTTGGATCTAAAGCCTTTGCCAAACAACCACCTTCCTCTTTCGGACACATTATAAACTTTTGGTCAAACTAACTTAGCTCAGTCCACTTCAACATAGTAACCATTTCCTTTCCGCTGCGAAGTTGAACGCCGATAGATCTCCTTGGTTTGCCTTATTCCTAGCAGGGCATTTCCTTCTATACCATTGCTTTTGAGGTGTCACTGCAGCGGCAATATTCCATCCAGTTGTTTCTAGTCTGACGTTGACCAGATACCCGCGTCACAGTCACCGATGTTCAGCCCATCTGGCTCCGAGAACTCCTTTGTCTTTCTTGAAGGAAGTCCGAAGCCAACTCCGTCTCCATCTTATGCACATCCGGATCCACCTCTGGACAAGGTCTGAGACTCTGAACTCAGTGTAAGATTAATGTCCAATGCTAACCGTGGTGTCAGATCCACCCCTCTTTATTGCCTTCATACATACCTGGCTCGACTCGTACATACGCACATGATTGGTCTCGAACTGGAACCGGAGGAGAAATAAAGCCCAACGGGCGACACTTTGTTGATGCCTATGGGCGCATCTGCAGTTTACGTGGCGTCAACGTGTCTGGCTGCAGCAAAGCGTAGGCTTTGACTTCACCTACGTAAAACATAATGCTGAACGTTTTGCAGTCCGATGAACCATGACCACGATACATTTCCTGGCGACCACGAAGTCGTTACGTTTGTTGGCCGTCCATTTCCACTGGAGGAAGCACCCGAGCACTTTTCCCGTCTTAGAAGATGGGGCTTGACCTTTAGTACGTTTTTACATAGTCTAACATTCTTTCGGCTTGGTAACATCTTGCTAGTTCGCTTTCTCGTGACTTGGGAAGCTGTCGAACATGCAGGACTGTACGCATTAGAATCATCTCTCTATTATATCACTAATGCAACCCTTATAGTGGCATATACGACAAGGAATATCTGACATACGTTCGCAAGCTTCTCTTATTGTTACCCTCGTTCGGACTTAGTGCATTCGTCGTCGTTCATCAAGATGTCTGGTCCAGGTACTCGGGTGGTTCTGGCGCCCCAGCATGGACTCTCGATGCCGTTGGGTTTGACCTACATGCACTCGAAGAGTCTGGGGCTGCATGGCTGCTAGGAGTCAAAGGTGGCGGTCACGTTGAAGCGGAACGTGGTATTTGGCCCTGCGGATACCAAAAGTTAGCCGCCGCGACCATGGCGTACGTTCAGTTTAGTCTATTGCCGCCATCATGTTGACATGGGATTTTATCCGTTCAGCACCTGCTTCTGGGCTGGTGATACCTTCGCACCCAAGTTGAAGATTGTCATGCCTGATGGCCAGATGAAGCCAGTCCAGCAATACCTCCAGGATGCATTCTTAGATATGTACGCTACAGTTGTACAGGCTCTGGATGGTTTAGACGGAGTCATTGGATTTGAGGCAAGCTTGTGCAATGCTTGACATTTATACTGCTAATCTGAAACAGGTCATGAACGAGCCACATAGAGGATACATAGAATTGCCTTCGTTGCACAAGTTCGACTATAATACAGATCTGCACCTTTCGCATGTCCGTGCGTGCGCTTGACTTGCATTCAGTGTTTGAGATACTAATGACAGGTCATGTCTAGCATCCGCTTTCGAATCTTTTATGCTTGGCTGCGGATACCCTACTCTCGTTTCCCACTGGACACGCTCGTTCCCTTTGCCTACTCGTCTCACTTCTCGGAGTGTTCTGAATTCCGCCAGTCGGAAGGCCTGGCGCCCCGATGGTCCAACGCAAGGCATGTGTGTATGGGAGATGCACGGCGTCTGGGGGTGGGACAACAGCAAGAACGAGGGTGTCGTTCTGCGCGAAAATTATTTTGTCAAGGACCCTATGACTGGTCGTAAGGTATGTATATGCGACTGGACCATCAAGTGGATGCTCACACACTTCAAGGTTGATTGGTACACCGATTTCTATTACCCGTTCCTTAAACGGTGGACAGATTGCGCCCGGAAGGCGATGTCGAACGATAAAATGTTTTTTGTAGAGCCAATTCCCAACGAGGCATGTTATGCGACATATCTCTTATGTTTCCTGACAACTTTTGCAGTTTTGTCCACCATCGTGGACAGCAGAACACCAACTTCCCAACATGGTGTTTACCCCACATTGGTTTGTGAACTATGGTCTCAAAAGCATATTACTTATCTTTGCTATAGGTATGATCTTAATGCGCTATTCAATAAGGCTTTTGGGGATTTCACGGTGAACGTGCAAGGCTTATCCAGGGTATGATCATTGGTAATTAAGACATGGGTTCTGGACGCTTATATCGTTTTCCAGGGAATGTTCCTGCTGAAAGCCTTGTATTGGGGTCAACAAGGCGCAAGAGAAAACTACTCACTCCAAATCCAGAATATCGTGGATCATGGCTATAAAGTACTCGGTGGGAAGCCTATTCTGATCGGAGAGTGCGGTATACCCATGGACATGAAGTAAGTCTGGCGGTGCCATTAGTATCTATGTCTAACAACGCACGGTCTCAGTCACAAGGAAGCATTTGAGAGTGACGATTGGAAATGGCAGGAAAGAATGATGGACGCCATGATGACAGGTCTTGAGAGGTCCCTGGTCGGATTTACGTGTGTACTGTGCTTTCTGCATGACCAATTATTGATATTCCTTCAGGCTATGGAACTACAACCCCGACAATAATGACATTCAAGGCGATGACTGGAACGGGGAAAACTTCTCTTGGTTCAGTCGGAGGCGTGGATTACCTCGATCACTTCTCGATTTGGACCAATTCTCATTCACGCTAGATAACGGTGGCCGCATCTTGCCGTCTATCGTCCGACCATACGCAGCAAAGACTGCTGGCATACCCACCCGATTCGAGTACGAATTGAACACAGGGACGTTCGTTTTTGAGTGGAGGTCGCCCGAGACCGAGGACAATATCGTTCTTACTGCCAGAGAGACTGAAATTTTCGTACCGTCCCTCATCACCTACGGAAGGAAGCTAGTGGTCTCGGGCCTCAGCGCCGACGATAAGTACACTTATGATGAAACCCGACAGACTCTTTTCATCGTTCCTCGAGATGGTAGTTCGGGTAGGATGCACAAGATAACCGTTTCTGTGGACCCACCGCTTCGCCCTCAATTCAGTGTCAATACATTTTGGGGTGACTTTGGAGAAGCTATCTTATCTGGACTAGTGATGTTTGTGATTCTGTTTGTGGTCATCAAGTACTACTTCTATATGTGATGCTGGGGTCACTTGAAAAATTCCACATCTTGATTTGTCCTATATAATTTCATCGTCATATTCGTCAATTACGCACAGTTGTCGTCCGGTTCATTGGTATTTTAATAGGAAATCCTCTTTAATTGATTCAAACTACGGACATCATGAACAACTTTTCTCTGATGCGCTACAAGAGGGCGCGAGTGACAAGATGGGAGGTGTCAAGGAAGAGCCCCAGTTGTCAATGTCCCCGTTCGTTCGAGACGGATCTAGATGCATGTTTTGTTTGTGCTGAACACTGAAGTACGATAATGAGCGTCAGACGTGGGCTATCTGCATTGTGCACCCACCTGTATTTCAATTATCAACCTAGTCGGTAGGTGCACGGTGGTCACTGGTGTAAAATCGGCGCAGGCTATATTTGGCACCCGGTGTCGATTGGACCTTGGGAGATCGGGGTCAGGAATTGCGCGACCATGTGTGACAATCGTGATAAATCTTGATCAGTTGCGCATTGACGTGGGTGGGAGGCAATATTGTGATAGAGATATAAGGAGCATCCTTCAATCCCACTATTCCCATTCTGGTCAAGCACTAGAGAATTATCGCATCTCCGATGGTGGAATCAAAGGTAGAACTTGCATCTATCTCGCTCTTCCGCGCGACGCCTGCACAGATTGAGGAGACACGACGCCGAAGGTGGCCGCACTTGGGTGGTACCCTGAGTCTTGCGGAGTACATTACGCGAGATGAAGAGATGGATGTTCTGGAGCACGCAAAGGAGGGAAAAATGATCACCTGGTGAGTATGTCATTTTCCAAACAGAAGAGAGCTAATGAGATGGGAAGGGTACTGGCACCACGGGAGAACCCCACGACACTCGATTTCATGTGTGCTTGTAGGACGTAAGTGACTCGAGTACCCTTGATAGACGAGCAGATTTTTAACATGCTCTACGGGGTCAGATACAAGCGAGCAAGCCTTGTTGCTTATCCTCCTTCCTCTCCTTCTGGACCAAACTCTGTGCACGAAACAACCTCATACGGCGTTGCCGCGGTCTTCACCCCACCCTCAAAACGTGGGCGCGGTTATGCAAGGCACATGATGTGTCTTCTGCACTGGGTGACTGCCTCGCGCAATAATCTTCCTGAATTCCCAGAGGCGTGGGGCACACCACCGGAAGAGGTAGCAGATGCTGGCGGGGGGCTATTCTCGGTGCTATGGAGTGATGTTGGTGAGGAATTTTACCACTCAGCGGGCCCTGAGGGGAAGGGAGGCGGATGGGAGAAACGGGGACCGGTATCGACTGTATGGGAAGTAGGTACGGAGGAGGGGGATGACGAGGGATGGAAGTGGCTGACGCAGGAGCAGCTGAAGGGTCTTTGGGACCATGATGCTGAGTTGATTAGGAAGGAGCTAGAGAACATGCTGGTGAAGAATGAGTCGTACGAGGTGGGGCGCCCAACAGCACTCGTGACATGTTTGCCAACAAACGGTGTCGCAGCATTCCAAATCCCTCGGGCGACGTACGGCTCGAACTTTTCTATGGCAGGTGGATTCTGGGGTGTACAGTCCTCGAGTAACCCAGACACATACGCAAGCTGGAGCGTTGAAATGCAGCCTCCCCCACCAACGTTAATCGTCACGCGGCTCCGGGCCAGCGAAGACACGTTTCCTGGATTGATTGCGAAGATCAAGCAGGCAGCTAGACGAAGCGGAATTCGGAAAGTGGAGGTGTGGAATTTGCGAGCAGGATTGAGGGACATTGCGGAGAAGACAGGTGCACAGACCTTCATACGAAGTGAACATTTGCCACAGATTGTGTGGTATGGACCTGAGACGACAGAGAACGTGGAGTGGGTGCATAACGAAAAGTAAGTGCTCCTGCTACAAAGAAATGACGCGCATGTGTGCTGAACAATTTCCAATAGGTTCTGCTGGTGTTGATGCGGTATAATTGCCATAGATTCATATGCTGTTGCTTGTCAAAAGTTCTCATAGACTGATATTTTGAGTCGCCGCACCGCCCAGACCTCCGGTGAATAGCATCTGGTCAGGTATGTCAGAAGAATCGAAAGGACACCCGTCACCCGTCGCATATATAGCATAAACAGTGGCGAAAACGGTGGACGAACTGTTGGCCTTGAAAAGGGATCAAACGATAATGTACCCAGTTCGACACTAGTCCGTATTCTGCAGAACTAACCCGTGATGCATCTGATGGGCAGTGCTGCAATGCATTCGAAGTCCAATGTTGGTAGAGCGACTCGTACTACCATACAGCTTTCAGTTTGTGTCATCGAATTTCAATGGTGTCCCAGGCCACATCGCCATGCATGCTCTATCGCCAAACGCCTGAGGTCGAACGAGTTGGAGTCGAGATGGAGTAGGATAAAGCTAGCCTTCAATTATTGATATACACGATCAACCAAACAAGAAGATCAAATACCTTACGAGTTTGCCCACAACGGGTCTGCCAGTTGCAATCCGTCTAGTAGGACTCCCACTTCAGTGCGTTGAATGATTGAATCGGATGAAGCCGTAAGAAGACATGTTGCGTTCTACACCCCTCGAGCTCCGAGCTTAAATCCGGAGTTGTTACCAAGCTTCAAGACAACGACACGTTTCTCTTCGAAATCACCCGCACGAACTGGATGTGCAAGTCCTGCTAGATCACCAACGAGCTGGGCATTCTCCGATACAATATCGAAACGCTTAGCTTCACACGAAACGAACATTTGAACAGATTGTATTATGGACCTGGGACGATGGAGGATTGTGGAGTGGGTGTATAACGAAAAGTAAGTGCTCGTGCTAACATAAAAATTGAGGGCATGACATCCATAGTGCCACACATATCTTCACAAATTGAGCTTGGACACTGTGCTCTCGTTTCATGGAGAATCCGAAGAACAAAGATATCGAGGAAGCCATTCATCTCTGCCAACAACCATTGGCAGTTTTGTCACCGCTATACCGTGACCCGGATTGATATCGCAACTATGCTCGGCTGGAGGATGCTCATCTTTCTCGTTACCACATTCTACAATATCCTCAGCCTTGCACTGGGTTGTTGCAGCTGAGGGTTATCGACACGAATCTCAGGTCCTGGAAGGGAATGATTGGCTAATATTAATTATCGACGGAAAGTTAGGAGCAACCGTCCCCAAAGATCTATCATATTTTTATGCAGGGCTACAACGACCCGGAGCTTCAGATGCAAGCTTGCTCCAAAACCAAAGTCGGCTGCGCAGGCACCTCAGCCTCAGGGGAGCTATAGACAGGCAACGTCTTTCTAAAATTCCTCCCAGCACTTATCCGATATGATGGGTGACGACACGTATGGCTCAACCTCCATCGCAGCGAGTAACTCATCCAGGCGAGGTAAAGCTGCCGACTAATGCAGCATCCTCCATATGCACGATGGCCTTCCGCGTAAACATGCCGCGTTCTACATACCACGCAGCATCTGTCTTGATCGCATTGATGAGATACAGATCGACGAGACATTGCGAAACCCCTTGGTCGACAGCGGCATCATAGGCCATGCGGTGTCCCATAGATTCGACCATCAGCTGACAGCGCGGCTGCACATATTGCATAAATGCTTGCGTGAAATCGGATGAGGAAACCATCTCGGTTGCCTCGTCGAATAACGAGATTTCGTGCAATGCAAGGGGCCCGTCTGGGTGTGTCGAGAGAGGTAACTTGTAGGTTTGCGCCAGGGTATCCGTCACGAGCCCTATAATTTACCTGTAAGTGTTTGGTTGCGCGGACGTTGATGTATTGTACTGACGCATGGAAAGTCCTAGAATCTTTGATCAGTATAACGTCATCGGAGAAGGCTAAAAGCCAACCTACCTAAAATGTCACCTTCAGCGATACTAACTCCCCTCATCTCGCTCTGCGAAACAGATTAATTCTTGCTCTAGCATGACCATCAAAGAGAAGGCACCCGTACATAGAGGTTGGACAGCCGATTATATTCGAAGAGGCCTTGGGCCCCGAGCCTTTCAGACAGTGCGTAATTTGCAACTTGTGCATGCTGAATCATGACTGCTTTGCAGCAAGCCGCGATGCCATGCCGCACGCGAACATCAAGATTCTTGTCCATGAACCGCTCGATGCCCCATTTGTAAAGCGCTCTTAGAACGGACGCCTGAGCGATGGCATGTAGTAACGGGAGCTGTTGCGTCCGGTATGAAATTATGGGCAAAGGATGTCCATACACGCTAGTGACATGACGACGCTGAAAGTAACGCGCAGCGATGTACGATGCCACCTGGAGATTAGGTATTGCAGCTGAGCCAAGCGCTAGCGACCCGACCGCAACGCGCCATATAGACGACATGAAGTCACGATGCATTGTGTTGGACTTGGCGAGGTCCCCGAGAAGGGCCGAAGGCGGTAAGCGGACGTGATTGAAGCTTGTGAGCGCATGGTTGACGGGGGACGAGCCTCCTCTAGGTGGTAGCAACCTAGTGGTCATAGAAAAATAAGTTTGAAATCGATGGAACGAATTCAAAGAAGCACTCGCATTGAAGTCACCCCGTTGCACATATCATATCCGTCGTTCAGATTCACAAGAAACGGCCGAGGTCCACGGCATTCGCCGTCCGCATACAGTTGCGCGAAAACAATGGCGACGCATGGAAGACCTTTCACTGGAACGGTTGGTGGCATGAACCTGCGCTACCATGATTAGCAGTTCTCGAGGATATAGTGATCTCGTACTTGGCATCCGAGGGCAACGGCGTATGAAGATCGAATTCACCTGTTGGGAGAAGTGTCGCTGATGTCTTCATTCGGAAGATGTCTAGGCCTCTCCCCAGCTCGGTAAGGCAGAATTGGCCACTGCAAAAAGATCATGTAGTCCCTCCACAAAATGAACATCAAGGTTAGCTCACCTGACATTCCATCGAAGAATGTCCTCGACGAGGGAGACCAAATCAGGTCTAGTAGTTGCAGCATATTTTGCAAGCGTTCCTGCAACCAGATTGTACTGGATTGTCAGCAGCGTGGAGGCGGCCCCATCTAGGACCATGATTGGGTCCGTGTGCATGTCCCAAAATTTTTGGGTCAGATGCAAAGTATCATGAAGAGTGATGCCTGAAATATAATATCAAGACGTGTCCTGTCAACAGAAAAGGTTGATATGCACCGAGTGCTAAGCCAATGGCTTTGGCCCTTTCGTATGAAAGGTCCACTCGAGCATCGCGGCTGAGGAGCTCGGAGCGTTTTTTGAATAGATCTGATTGACAAAGCTGCGACGTGGGTGTCATGATGCAATGAGTGGTAGAACGAAGTATGTTAAGTTAGTCTCTCCGACTCTTGTGTGTTATATAGTATGATACCGCATAGATACTCAGTCACTGCCCACGTACCTTTACAAAAATTGCCTGAAGGACGCGGCAATGCTCGGGATATACACGGGTACGGGTAACTCATGCGGGTTATGGGTATTACGGTACTACTTGGGTACGGGTATGGATCGGAATATTCTGAGACCCATGAATAGCATTCCCGTGCCTTCCTAACTTGGTAAATGTATTTGGCGTCATGAAGTGCCACTGACACTTCATATACATACCACACCTAACTTAACTTTGTCAGTGTGCGCCCGACCTAATGAATGATACGGGTTGCCTCCAATACCCGGGGGTGTGTGGGAGTGTACTACTACGATGCCCTGCCCACCACTCCGCCACCAATCGGCTGCCAAGCCGTGGCGAAAACTAGGTACCAACAATGTAACGTAAGAAAGAACCTTGTCGGCAGGCTCTGAGGAGCACATCCAACTCAGATATCCTCGACGAAAGTACCTCCAAACGTCTCTACTAATTCTTCGATAAACGATAAATGATTTTAATTGACTGATTCGACCTTGCAGGCAAACATAAGCATAAGCTATGTACATGTCGAATTCTTGAGCACTACCGCCCAAAATATGTTTTAATTTGGTAAGTAGTTCCAAATATCGGTTCGTCTAAGCCTCACCGTGTTCCTCCCTGTGTAATGGGAATCTGCATTATACACACAATAGAATATATGTACTACAAATGCATCAGAAGGAATAAGTACATACTAATAGCTATAATGCTCTGTGCCTCACAACTGGTAGTTCTCACTGGGGTTAAACGTCAAGATCATCCCGGCGGGCTGTAGTACGCATCGTTTAAAATTAAAACGATGCGTACAGCCCGCTGATATTAATAGTATTACCGCGAAGCGAACTGAAGCGAATCGAATTGTAAATTTAAAACACTTTGGTAGACTTCGATGCTCAACGACGTCAACCGAAGTCTGGCGTTTTTGAAGTGAAGCGATTTGTGTTACCTCGGCTTCGGCAGCCACACTAGTAATACATTGAATCGTAAAGGTCACACATCGCTCTTCGAAAATGTCAGGCTTTAGTTGACTTCGTTGTTCCGAAGAGACTCGATGGTCGGAGTCTACCGAAGTATAATTTTCACTGCGATATGATTCGCCCCAGTTCGCTTCGCAGCAACGAGAGTGGTCGTAAAAACAGTAACTAAGGAGAGACACTAACGAAGAAAAGACAATAGCAAAAGAAAAACAGAAATTAAGATAGTAAGGAGGCAACAAGGACCAGGGGCCGGGCAAGAACGACGAACCCTGAATATGAATGATCATGCGGGTGATGTGGTGATGGGCCTATTGGAACCGAACATCTAGCTATAGGGAAGAGTCTGGGGTCTTGTCAGTGTTCAGGAGAAGGAACCGAGTAAGAAGTGATAACACTGGCAGAAACCGGTTTTTTTTTCATGTGCAGGTATATTGTTTTTCCACCCTGCCTCTCACATTCCTGCCTTCAAAATCACGCATTTCACAGGTTCGTGCTGGAACTGCACTACTCTATAGCTTTTGGTGATAACTGACCAAATATTATTTAGCACCAACGTCTATTATGCCTGCTCAATCACATTATTTAGTAAGTGCCAGTAGTAAGGCGCGCGCGCCGCCGAGCATGCAATTTAGTATGCACTGCGCCTCTTACCCATTTTGCTTTTCTTTCCCACTGAACCTTTCATTTCCGTTATCAAGTAGGGTGGCCACAGCAAAGAAGTTCCCAACACCCAAGGTTATTGACGAGAGGGCTCTGACCCGTCGAACGCAAAAAAAATCCATCACTGAAAAGACGTGTATTGTGTTGATTTCTTTCCTCAGGTCGATACTTACCTCAATCATGTCGAATTTCAGCAGTTCACTGACACGTGCACGCACTCACACCAAGCTTTGTAGCACTAGACTCATTGCGAGCATGTCAGCTGGTCTAGCAACGAGGCCGAGTTTGGTGTGCTCACTAGTATTGGGGTATACATGGCTTAACCACCGAATAGTGGTGCAGTGATAACAGGGCGCCGCACATTCTTTTTGAAGGCATGCTCCATATGTAGTGCGTACGACATTTTGATAGACTCTGTCAGATACGAGCATGCTGACATGCGACTGAGTTTTGCCGGATGCTGGTAAAAAGTTCCGTACCACGCAGCTGATGGGTGGAACAGAGTCAGAACCAAGACGAGCATTTACGAACGGCTTTCTGAGCTACATCAAATGTGGCTGGTTCATGCTCCGGCTTGTGTCAACCAACTCAACTTTTTTAGACGCCACCCAACTTGAAGTTTCAGGTTTGCTTCTTGTAACCTTGTGGCCTATATGATTGTAGCTACCGTCGACCAATAATGACTAGATCAGTGCGGCGTCCTTCACGTGCATTCTTATAATGGTACGTGGCCACTGACTATCTAGTATATAACAGACGAGAGTCGGAGAGACCAAGGTAACATACTTTATTCCACCACTCCGAGTCGTTCCATGATGATATCCACATTGCAGCTTTGTCAATCGGGTCTATTCAAAAAACGCTCCGAGCTCCTCAGCCGCGATGCTCGAGTGGACCTTTCATACGAGAGGGCCAAAGCCATTGGCTTAGCACTCGGTGCATATAAACCTTTTCTGTTCACGGGACACGTCTTGATATTATATTTCAGGCATCACTCTTCATGATACTTTGCATCTGACCCAAAATTTTTGGGACATGCATACCGACCCAATCAGGGTCCTAGATGGGGCCGCGTCCACGCTGCTGACCATTCAGTACAATCTGGTCGCAGGAACACTTGCACAATATGCTGCAACTACCAGACCTGATTTAGTTTCCCTCGTCGAAGACATTCTTCGATGGGATGTCATGTGAATAAATTTTCATATCCGAGTCTATTTTACAGAACTACATGATCTTTTTAGTGGTCAATTCTGCCTTACCGAGCTGGGGAGAGGCCTAGACATCTTCCGAATGAAGACATCAGCGACACTTCTCCCAACTGGTGAATTCGATCTTCATACGCCGTTGCCCTCGGATGCCAAGTACGAGATCACTATATCCTCGAGAGCTGCTAATCATGGTAGCGTAGGTTCATGCCACCAACCGTTCCAGTGAAAGGTCTTCCATGCATCGCCATTGTTTTTGCACAACTGTACGTGGACGGCGAATGCCGTGGACCTCGACCGTTTCTTGTGAATCTCAACGACGGATATGATATGTGCAACGGGGTGACTTCAATGCGAGTACTTCTTTAAATTCGTTCCGTCGATTTCAAACTTATTTTCTATGATTACTAGGTTGCTGCCACCTAGAGGAGGCTCTGTCCCCGTCAACCATGCGCTCACAAGCTTCAATCATGTCCGTTTGCCATCTTCAGCCCTTCTCGGGGACCTCGAGAAGTCCAACAAAATGCATCGTGACTTTATGTCCTCTATATGGCGTGTTGCGGTCGGGTCGCTAGCGCTTGGCTCAATTGCAATACCTAATCTCCAGGTGGCATCGTACATCGCTGCGCGTTACTTTCAGCGTCGTCATGTCACTAGCGTGTATGGACATCCTTCGCCCATAATTTCATACCGAACGCAACAGCTCCCGTTACTACATGCCATCGCTCAGGCGTCCGTTCTAAAAGCGCTTCACAAATGGGGCATCGAACGTTTCATGGACAAGAATCTTGATGTACGTGTGCGACACAGCGTCGCGGCTTGCTGTAAAGCAGTCGTGCTTCAGCATGCACAAGTTGCAAATTACGCACTGTCTGAAAGGCTTGGAGCCCAAGGCCTCTTCGAATATAATCGGCTGTCCAACCTTTATGTACGAGCACCTTTTCTTTGACAGTCGTACTAGAGAAATGATTAATTGTTTCGCAGAGTGAGATGAGGGGAATTAGCATCGCCGAAGGTGACATCTTAGGTACGTGGCTTTTAGCCTTCTCCGGTGACGTGATTGAGACTAATAAAAATTTCAGGACTTTCCATGCGTCAGTACAGTATATCATGTCCGTGCAAACCAAAGGCTGACAGATAAATTATAGAGCTCGTGGCAGATACCCTGGCCCAAACGTACAAGTTGCCTCCCTCGACACACCCAGATGGGCCACTTGCGATGCACGAAATCTCGTTATTCGATGAGGCAACCAAGACAGTTTCCTCCTCATCCGATTTCACGCAAGCGTTTATGCAATATGTGCAGCCGCGCTGTCAGCTGATGGTCGAATCCATGGGACACCGCATGGCCTATGACGCCGCTGTCGACCAAGGAGTCTCCCAATGTCTCGTCGATCTGTATCTCATCAATGCGATCAAGACAGATGCCGCGTGGTATGTGGAACATGGCGTGTTTACACGGAAGGCCATGGTGCATATGGAGGATGCTGCTTTGTCGGCAGCTTTGCCTCGCCTGGAGGAGTTGCTCACTGCGATGGAGGTTGAGCCATACGTGTCGTCACCCATCATATCGGATAAGTGCTGGGAGAAATTTAGGAAGACGTTGCCTGTCTATAGCTTCACTCAGGCTGAGGTACCGGCGGCGCGACTTTAGTTTTGGAGCGAGGTCGAATTTGAAGTTCCGGGTCCCTACAACCTTGTACAAAATATGATCGATCCCTGGCAACGGTTGCTCATAACTTTCCGTTAAGTTACTCATAATTAGCTAGCGATTCTCTTTCTCCCCATTTACTCTCAATTACCAATGTCATGCTCTATGTGATACTATCCAGGGCCTAGTCAAAGTTTTAAGTACCGTGATGGTTCCTAAAGTTTCCGGCTCGTTCTTATACACGATTCTAGAGCTTGGATTTCCCTGAGGAAATAAGGTATTTTCTGTCCAGAAAGTCGGCGATGACTCGTGCTGTGTGAACACTTAGATGGCAAACGATTAGTCCTTTATGTCAACATACCAAGCTCTTCTGGAAACTCCTGAGGAATCTAAGCCACAATTACGTTAGTCATATAGACAATTGAAGACGAGATACAGACGAGATGGCTAGACGATTTGAAGATCGTGTTAGATGAATTTGCGGGTCTGCGCCAAGCACGTTGCTTCCTCACTTCCACTAGCATCGACCTGTCGGATAACTCCCATCAGTAAGCGAACTTGGGCCTGCCGTCTTGGCTTACACATCCTGGCTTGGTTTTCCGGGAAGAATCCATAGTAGCTCAATTTGTTCGTCGAGCGTTTCCATCAATTCCCAGGTTTCACGGCTAGCTCGTGGGTTCGCAAGAACAAGGGCCTCGTGAACGGGTGGCGTTTTCAATCTAACGCCTCCGCTATCATCCTCGCACAGTCCGAAGTCAACATAGAGCTGAAGAACGTCAGAATGCCAAGCGGAGAATATGGGTGAAGATTTAAAGGAACGCAGAGCGTCCTCTCTGCAATCATAGTGAGTAGTACTCCGACACAAGAGTATAATGAAACTTTAATCACCGTGATGGCCATTGATCACGCCTTATGAAAGAAGCCCCGACCAAGTACTGCGTGTGTTCCCACGCAAATCCTTGGTAAGTATCAATCATCGCGTCGACGAGGATCATCGAGGAGAACAAGGCAGGGAAATGCAACGCAGTTAACGTCCTGTGCAATATTGTGAGATTCGACAGATCTCTGAACCGCCAATGACATACACTGAGCAACCTCCAAACGAGTGTCCTACTACGACCAAGGTCCGGGAGGAGAAGCCACTCTTTTGACGTGATTCACCGATGGATGCAGGAAGTTGCTGAAGGTGAGTGGGGAGAGATGTTTCTATCTCTTCTGGCATATAGTTAACGAGAAAGTTTGCGATGTCTCTCGCGTTGTCAGTCCAGTCAACTGCTGTCAATTAAATCCAAGCAAGAGGTCTGAGAAACATTATCTCACAGCTACCACTGAGACTCTGTCGGTTTAACAAAGCAGAGTCGCCATGTTGCACGGACTCCCATGACCATATCTCGTCTATGACACTGCAGGCAGCCAGTAGATAGCATAGGGTGGTCTCCCATATCTAAAACACAATTAAATTAAATTCCTAGCATGCATGAACAGGCACCACAAGACTCACTTCTTTCGGAAAACCCGTTGCGTGCACCAGGAATAAAGTGATCCCCTTCGTTCTGACTTTGTCCTCCCTGTCCTTTTTCACATATCGGTTGACACAATTCCACAACAGCCTTTCGTCCGTGACCCCAGAATAGCCGTCCTCTCCTTGTTGGGCCTGTTGTTCCATGAGTTCAAGCCCTAGTTTCTTGATATCCCTCTCGGGCCTTTTCGAAGAGCGAGGAGGTGGCACGGGAACTGGAATGTTTGGAGTGACTCTGGGATTAACTGCAGGTATGATATGCGTGCTGATATCGTAAATGCCGAGCAACTTATTGGACCTGGGTTTGAAGGGTAGGGATGGGACTTTGACGGGCCCTTCATGAGGCTTGAATGGTACCCATGGACGCGGTTTCACGGTCGTCCGGAGCGTTGTAGGTGTGTAGGGATATGAGGATGTCATGGTTGTCAACGACCGTTGCCTGGAGCTCTCTTTTCTGTGATTTCGGTTTAGAGAATACCGGATTGACTATCTTACAAAATCAGATGCCATCGTGGTACCCGGTAGGCTAGTTACCTTCAACCGACAGACTTAGAATGAGTGTAATGCCCAATTAGCACTCCAAAGTATTAGATCGGCTCTCAACAGAGTGGGAAACACAAGTCCCTAAACGCATGTGCGCTGCTCGGTAAGCGCATACTTCCTCATTCTTTTCACCACCGTCACGCGTACGTGTTCTGTGCTGTTTTGTCACGTTCGCGTCATTCCCTTAAGCTTCCATCGCCGAACTAGCCATTCCGAGTTCTGCCTAGTTCTGCCCCCAATCCCGCGCACTTCGCTTCCTATAGCCTACAGACATCAGCTCCGACGGACGAACCTTAATTGGAGCCACCGCATTGATGCTTACGGTCGAGCACATTCATTCCTTGGGGAAGCACTACCCCATATTAAACACGGTACAGTTTCTGTCCGGCAAGATTGCGACTGACAGAACATATTCGGTGTGCCCTTGGAGAGGGGAAACTAATGCCTTGTCAGTTTTATGTCCCACACCTGAAATGTCCTGTCATTCGAGCCCGACACAATGCGATGTCCATCGAAACAGAGTGAATAGCCTTTATTTGTGCATGTTTGGTTCGTGTTAGACAGCGTAGTCAACGTTCAATTCCGCATATCGACAATCCAACAACGTCGCAGACTCTATCCACTACGGGCATCTCGCTAAGGCCGGCACGAGGCTCTCAGGACCTATTTGGATATCAGTGCGGTCAGATCAAGTCGGTCAGAACCTCATTTACTTGTGGATATTGAAGTGGTCCTACCTCCAGGTGCAGGTTAGCGTGCCACAGGCCGTACATAATTTTATACACCTCACAAATCATGAATCCATACAGAGTACAGAACAGTTGTGCATGCACCTGAGCGCCCTACTCTGTCATCAAACAGGGTGTTTGAGATGCATATGCATGTGTCACTGTCAATGCTACTGGCCCCGATGAGGAGAAGCTGAAAAATCTTGCCCAGCTGGACGTGTGACTTCCGAACACTCAGGGAAACCGGCACCTTACACATTGTCGGTACTTTGTTTGACAGGGATTGAAGGAACCGAGGAAGATTCGAATGATAACAAAATACCCAGAAACTGGTTTTCTATCTATGTTTGGGTATATTTTTCCTGCCTCTCGGATCCTAGACTCATAGACGGACTGGTCACGAGTCTACTTGGATCCCTGCCTTCGAAATCGCGCATTTTGCTAGTTTGCGCTGTAAAGTGCGCAATCTATGCACTGCACCCCTCACCTCTGAATTTTCCATTTCCGTTATCAAGTACGATAGCCACAGAATCACTCAGTGATAGTAAGTGCCATGCTGCCCGTTCTAGGTTTGAGGTACGAGGGAGACTGGAGGAGAAGACACCTCGGCGCTTGCCGAGGATCATCTACCCCACCATGAAGCTTTGAAGCTTCGCTGTAGAGCCGCATCCTGGTTTAGCATAACATAAGAACGTAATGGCAAGACCTCGAAAACTTCGTGATGGCTATGACCTGTTACCACTCCGACTCATACTTACAGCAAAGTACGAGCATTAATTCAGTTACAAGTGGCCCAATGCAAGCTGACTACATGCACAGGGAAGAGCGAGGCGAGGCTTAGGCTGGTTTCGGGAGGCCAGAAAATATTTGATACTGTGGAACTACCAAAGGCTTATGTTTGCCTGCGATTTGCAAGATTTTAGTCAATTAAAAACCTTCATCGTGTATTGAGTATTGAAGACTTAAAGGAATATTTGGGACGGTAGTATTTGATGCTGACTCTGGTGCTACTACTCACCAATTCTGATCAGAAGTCTTTTCATTACGTTCTTACGTTGCACTGTTGGCACCTACTTTTCGCCACCTCGGGCTTGGTCACCGAATGGTAAGAGGACGCACAACTCTTTTTGAAGGTACATCAGTTAAACCATTTTTGGATCCTGGAACTTACAGATATGTAGTGCTCGTCATGCACATATGCGTTCATGGAGTATAAACGTGCAGCGAGCTGTCGGGCGAGTGGGCATATTCAAGTTGATGTGATATGTACAAGAAATCACATCTCTGAACCTCTCACACCCAAGCCACTACTCTGGAGATATTTGGGAGATACTATGTCACGGTAATGCGTGCGACATTTGATAGACCGTGTCAGATATGAGCGTGTTGACATTTTTACCAGATCTGAGTACTTCGGGAAAAAATACCTACTACGTGATTGGTGGAACAGACCTATCCGTAGTACAAATCAATATCAGTGTTTACGAACACCATCTGAGCTAACCGGTTCTCAGTGACACGTGCCGACCAACTTGACTTTTCTACACGTACCCGGGTAACCGTACCCAACTTGAACTGAATTCAAAGTTTCATGTTCGCTTCTTGTAACCTCGTACATATGAACGTGGCCATGTCGACCAATAATGACTAAACCAGCGTGGCGTCCTTCACGTATGTCCGGCGCATGCATGTTTATAAAGGTACGTGGGCAGTGACACGATCTAGTATATAACAGACGAGAGTTGAAGAAACTACAGTATCATACTTTGTACTCCCACTCCGAGTCGTTTCATCATGACATCCACGTCGCAGCTTTGTCAGTCAGATATATTCAAGAAACGCTCCGAGCTCCTCAACCGTGATGCTCGAGCGGTTCTCTCATACGAGAGAGCTAGGGCCATTGGCTTAGCACTCGGTGCATAGCAAGCCTTTTTATTCAGGGAGCACATCTTGATCTTGTATTGCAGGCATCACTCTTCATGATACTCTGCATTTGACGCAAAATTTTTGGGCCATACACACCGACCCGGTCATGGTCCTAGATGGGGCCGCGTCTACGCTGCTGACCATCCAGTACAATTTGGTCGCAGGAACGCTTGCAAAATATGCTGCGACTACTAGACCTGATTTGGTCTCCCTCGTCGAAGACATTCTTCGGTGGGATGTCATGTGAGCAAACTTTCATGTCCATTTTGCAGAGGCACTACACAATCTCTTTGCAGTGGTCAATTCTGCCTTACCGAGCTGGGGAGAGGCCTAGACATCTTCCGAATGAGGACATCAGCGACACTTCTTCCAACAGGCCAATTTGACCTCCATACGCCGTCGCCCTCGGATGCCAAGTACGAGATCAGTATATCTTTGAGAGCTGCTAATCATGGCGATGCAGGTTCATGCCGCCAACCATTCCAGTGAAAGGTCTTCCATGCGTCGCCGTTGTTTTCGCACAACTGTACGTAGACGGCGAATGCCGTGGACCTCGACCGTTTCTTGTGAATCTCAACGACGGATATGATATGTGCAACGGGGTGACTTCGATGCGAGTGCCTCTTTAAATTTATTTCACCGATTTCAAACTTATTGCTCTATGACTAGGTTGCTACCACCTAGAGGAGGCTCGTCCCCCGTCAACCATACGCTCACAAGCTTCAATCACGTCCGTTTGCCGCCCTCGGCCCTTCTCGGGGACCTCACCAAGTCCAACACAATGCATCGTGACTTCATGTCGTCTATATGGCGTGTTGCGGTCGGGTCGCTAGCGCTCAGCTCACTTGCGATACCTTATCTCCAGGTGGGATCGTTCGTCGCCGCGCGTTACTTTCAGCGTCGTCATGTCACCAGTTTGCAAGGAAATCCTTTACCCATAATTTCATACCGAACACAACAGCTCCCTTTATTACACGCCATTGCTCAGGCGTTCGTTCTGAGAGCGCTTTACAAATGGGCTATCGAACAGTTTATGGACAAGAATCTTGATGTTCGTGTGCGACATGGCATCGCGGCTTGCTGTAAAGCAGTCATGGTTCAGCATGCACAAGTTGCAAATTATGTCCTGTCTGAAAGACTGGGAGCTCAAGGCCTCTTCGAATATAATCAGCTGTCCAACTTTTATGTATGAGCGCCTTCTCTTTGACAGTCATGCTATAGCAAGAATTAATCTGTTTCACAGAGCGAGATGAGGGGAGTTAGCATCGCTGAAGGCGACATTTTAGGTAGGTGACATTTAGCCTTCTCCGGTGACGTGATGCTGATCAAAGATTTCAGGACTTTCTATGCGTCAGTGCAGCACATCGATGTCCACGCAGACCAAAAACTTACAGATAAATTATAGGACTCGTGGCAGATACCCTGGCGCAAACCTACAAGTTGCCTCCCTCGACACACCCAGATGGCCCACTTGCGATGCACGAAATCTCGTTATTCGATGAGGCAACCGAGACCGTTTCCTCCTCATCCGATTTCACGCAAGCGTTCATGCAATATGTGCAGCCACGCTGTCAGCTGATGGTCGAATCCATGGGACACCGCATGGCCTGTGATGCCGCTGTCGACCAAGAAGTCTCGCAATGTCTTGTCGATCTGTATATCATCAATGCGATCAAGACAGATGCCGCGTGGTATGTAGAACATGGCGTATTCACGCGGAAGGCCATCGTGCATATGGAAGATGCTGCTTTGTCAGCAGCTTTGCCTCGCCTGGAAGAGTGGCTCACTGCGATGGAGGTTGAGCCATACGTGTCGTCGCCTGTCATATCGGATAAGCGCTGGGAGGAATTTAGCAAGATGTTGCCTGTCTATCGCTCACCTCAGGCTCAGGTACTAGCGGCGCGACTTTAGTTCTGGAGCGAGCTCAAATTTGAAGCTCTGGGTCTCTACAACCTTGCATAAAATATGATGGATCTTTGGCGACGGTTGCTCATAACTTTCCGTTAAGTTACTCATAATTAGCTAGTGATTCGTTTTTCTCCCCATTTACTTTCAATGTCTGAAAAATGTCATGCCCTACGTGGTATTATCCAGGGCCTAGTCAAAGTTCAAGTACCGTGATGGTTCCTAAAGTTTCCGGCTCGTTCTTATACAGGATGCTAGAGCTTTGATTTCCCTGAGGAAATAACGTATTTCCTGTGCAGAAAGTTGGCAATGACTTGCGCTGTGTGAACAGTTAGATGGCAAACGATTGGTCCTTCATGTCAACATACCAAGCTCTTCTGGAGCCTCTTGAGGGATCTAGGTCACAATTATGTTAGTTATATAAACAATCGAAGAAGAGATACAGACGAGATGGCCAGACGTCTTGACGATGATGTTGGATGAATTGGCAGGTCTGCGCCAAGCACGCTGCTTCCTATCTTCCACTAGCATCGACCTGTTGGATAACGCCTATCAGTTAGTGAACTTTGTCCTGCTGCCTTGGCTTACACATCCTGGCTTGGTTTTCCGGGAAGAATCCACAGTAGCTCAATCTTTTCGTCAAGCGTTTCCATTAATTCCCAGGTTTCACGGCTAGCTCGTGGGTTCGCAAAGACAAGAGCCTCGTGAACGGGAGGCGTTTTTAATCTGACGCATCCGCTTTCATCCTCGTATAGCCCGAAATCGACATAGAGCCGAAGGACGTCAGGATGCCAAGCGGAGAACATGGGTGAAGATTTAAAGGAACGCAAGGCGTCCTCTCTGCAATCACAGTCAGTAGTACTCCGACGCAAGAGTATAACGAAATTTTGATCACCGTGATGGCCATTGGTCCCGCCTTATCAAGGAAGCCCCGGCCAAGTACTGCGTGTGTTTCCACGCAAATTCTTGGTAAGTATCAATCATCGCGTCGACGAGGATCATCGAGGAGAACAAGGCAGGGAAATGCAACGCAGTTAACGTCCTGTGCAATATTGTGAGATTCGACAGGTCTCTGAACCGCCAATGACATACACTGAGCAACCTCCAAACGAGTGTCCTACTACGACCAAGGTCCGGGAGGAGAAGCCACTCTTTTGACGTGATTCGCCGATGGATGCAGGAAGTTGCTGAAGGTGAGTGGGGAGAGATGTTTCTACCTCTTCTGGCAGATAGTTAATGAGAAAGTTTGCGATGTCTCTCGCATTGTCAGTCCAGTCAACTGCTGTCGATTAAATCCAAGTAAGAGGTCTAAGAAACTTCATCTCACAGCTACCACTAAGATTCTGTTTGTTCAGCAGAGCAGAGTCACCATGTTGCACGAACTCCCATGACCATATCTCGTCTATGACACCACAAGCAGTTAGTAGATAGCACAGGGTGGTCTCCCAAATCTAAGTATGCATGATATATAATCAGATTCTAGCATGCGGACTGTGGGTAGGCACCCACTTCCTTCGGAAAGCCTGCTCCGTGCACAAGGAATAATGTGATCCCCTTCGTTCTGACTTTGGCGTCTCGGTCCTTCTTCACATATCGGTTGACACAATTCCACAGCAACCTTTCGTTCGCAACCCCGGAATGACCGTCCTCCACTAACCGGGCCTGTTGTTCTATGAGTTCGAGCCCCAGTTTCTTGATATCCTTCCCGGTTCTTTTCGAAGAGCGAGGAGGAGGCTCGGGAACTGGAATATCTGGGGTAACCCTGGGATTAGCTCCAGGTATAATATGCGTGCTGATGTTGTAGACGCCGAGCAAGTCATCGGACCTGGGCTTGAAGGGCAGGAACGGGACTTTGACGGGCCCTTCATGAGGCTTGAATGGTACCCATGGGCGCGGTTTCACGGTTGCCCGGAACGTTGTAGGTGTGTAGGGATATGAGGATGTCATGGTTGTCAGCAACCGTTGCCTTCAAGTTAAAGCTAACTTTTCTATGATATGATGATTGGTTCTGATAAACGGATTGACTATCTTGCAGAATATTTAGATAGACCCCCGTGATACTCGGTGGACAAGCCATCTCGGACTTGAAGTAGTAGGCCGGCTCAAATTCATGGTAGGATGCCGACATGTGTGTTCAATCATTGGATAGCATGACATCCGCACGGGAAGCTGCGCGTCGTGATGTGATGGAAGTCAGCCTAGAAACACCAAGCGATCCTTAAAAGGAATAGACTGTCCTTTTTGAATTTCATCTAGTACTAGTTCACGGCCTACGGCTATACTATTGCATTCTCGTTATGAGCCCGGTTGCATGTGCGATGGTTTCGGAGGTCTAAGCCCGGTATACTAGATCATTTTGTATATGAGTATTCAGTACTCAGTAGGTATCCAGCACAAACCATGTCTTGACCATTCCTGCACAGGCATGACGATGAAGTTGACTGCGGGTCCTACCCTTCCTGTATTCAACAGATGTTAGCAGTGAGTCAGACTCGGGGTCTAACATGTCAACAAAGGAGTTCTAGTGGCTGAAGCGCCGGCGAAGCCTGATCCAATCCTCAACTCCGTCTCGGGCTCCCTGATACGGAATGTACACTAGCTGCACAGAAGTTTAGGACATGAATGAATCAGAAAAAAAGCAGTCCGCAACGAAAAATAATCACGCAATTACGGTCGAACCCAATAATATATAGCACAATAATCACAACTTCAAGTCTACGACGAAAACTTGAGTCCGCCAGTCTTAGGGTCCGTGAACGTGAACATCGCAGAGTGCGACACGAGCAGCGCAAAGGCCGCAGTCCTAAATAAAAGTAACGTATATTCAAGTTAAATCTACGAACTGCACAGCGCACGCGACGAACTCACATCAAAGCCGTCCAAGGCGTGCTCCCACCCTCCTTTGTCCGAATAGGGTGTTGATTCATGAAGCTGCTGAGCGCGAGGAGGGCTACTGGCCATGCCATGTACCTGCGATGGAATGAGTCGAGGGTAAGAGCAGCATGGAAATATGGCGTACCGATTTCTAGAAACTAGCACTAAGCCAGCGAGGAACATGCCCATCGAGCCCATAGTGTCTGTCCAGTCAGTCACAATGAGTTCCGTGGAGACGAGCGCATGTGCTGTACTCACCAGCAGACTCTGCATGCCATGTTTTTGGCAGAGTCAACTTGGTTTCTCGAGTCGAATCTCTTGCGTCTGTAGACATGGTGGAATCAAGACCAAGCAAAACGTATGAGTCGTTACTAACGCATCACTCACGTGACTGCTTCCAGCCAAAAGGTACAAAGTACAAAGTGCAGAATTCTACTAACACCACCAACCATGTTCCCCACCCCCCAAATTCTCTCCTCAGCCCTCTCCAAACTCTCCACTCCCTTCCGCCGCTCCCAACTCGGTCTCTTTCATGGCAAAACCAAACAATACGGAAACAACGTCCCGCATTCAAAACACAAAACCCGACGCACATGGCTTCCCAACGTTCACACCAAACGGCTGATGTCGGATGCGCTAGGGCGGGATCTGAAAGTAAAGCTTACGACGCGTGCGCTTAAGAGTATTAATAAAGTGCGTTTTGTGGCTTGTGTTTTTATGTTTTGTGGGTTTTCATCTTTGCTTTTTGGGAGTAGCATGGTGGAGTTGATAATTACCTCCTACGGACTAAACCCGATTTGTTGGGTATGGAAGGGATGCGTCTCAGAATCTTGGTACGCGAACGGTTAGACGTTAAACGCGCCGAAGACGAGGCTTTGGCACAAGCACAAGCGAAGATCCAGCTTGAGAAAGAGATGAAAGAAGCGAAACAGAAACGCAGAGCACAAGCTGTACATGCGCGGAAAACGAGGGAGGTGAGGCAGAATATCACTGGGGGGATATTTGGGTCGGTGGGGTCGAGTACGCATCTTAACGCGTCATAGCCGGTGAGTGAGGGTTGTTCAGTGCTTCTTGGAAGATCTCTGAGCCGATCGTTCTGTTGTCAATATTGCAGATGCGACGTGCGTAGCTGTCTGTAGTATATACTCTTAGATAATGCCTCGAATTTCAACGACCCAACTTAAACTCGCGCATATAACATTTCATTTCAAGCGGCCAGCACCCTATCGCATAAATAATCTACTAAGGCATGGTTATATACCATACCGTGCGATTTATGTAGTGAAAGATGAACGAATAGAACGATAAAGTAGGAGCGTGATGTGGCTATAGATATAAACGAAAACCAGATTATTACCTGAATAGTCCCAGAGCAGTGCAGTGCAATAACGAAATCGAAAACCTGTATAACAAATAACAAGAAAAGCAAGGAAAAAACGGAGAAGACGTAGGAAAAAGAAAGACCTTTACGATCATGATGCAGCCCCCGCACGGAACACCTTCCGCCACCACGTGCGCTTCTCCATAATAGTCATATTGGACACAGCAGTGCTCACTCCCACTCCATCATCACGATTAACCCCTGATCGACTCGCAGCCATACTCTTAACAGATGGCGCACGTAACGAGCCAGTCCATTTCGAATGCACACTCTGATAATCGCTCTCCAAGTCCAAGCGCGCTGGAATAGGGTGGTTCAGGTCCACGGAAGTCGAATTCGAATATAGAGATTCGTCTGCGAGTCTTGTTTCATCCTCGCCCTCCCCGTAAACTTGGACGTACCCATCTTCTGTGATGGGTTCTCGAAAGTGGTCATGCAACTGTGCAGAAGGCTCGTGGAGATATGTGAAGGGGGTGAGTTGTCCTGGAGATGTGACAGGTACAGGATTAAACAGCGCTTCGATGAGCTTCTCTGTCCCGCGGATACCACGAGTGTTGGGGAGTTGGCTCGCGTCCAACGGGTTCTTTTTCCGTTTGGGGCCGGGTTTTCCGGAAGAGTGGGTCGAGATGGTAGATACAGAGGAGGAGGATGAGTTTTCGTTTGCGTAGAGGTCGAGAGTGCGTGGTCGTGTTCGGAAGATGTCGTTGTCGAGTAGACCGGCTACCCCGCTTAAAATCTCTCCTTTAGGGAGAGGTGGGGCGATGTAAAATGATTCGCCGCCGATGTGTTCTAGTTGAACGGTGAGCTATGAGGAAATGAGAAATAAGTCCAAAAAACAGAGACTGATGGTAGAAATACCTTGAGGGTAGCATTAGTCTTGCTCTGCCTAAGCAAATAACGGCGAGTGACGACTCCAGCGTCTACGTATTGAGCGAGATTTAAGCTGACAGCGCCAAGCCTAGGATTTCGGGGTGCATCCGGATCGCCTGGAATAACTCGCTGTGGAATACAATCAGGAAAGGTGACAAGACAGAGCTAGTACGTAGAAACAGACCTGCATGACGACAAATTTGGCCTCACAACCTCCGAGCTCGTTAGTTTCCCTGGTAATACCCATCTGCACCATAACATCAAGGGTCTGCTCCCACACCACGCTGTGTTCCTTTAGCTGTTCGAACATAGTGTGGCCTTTGGCGGGGGAATATGCATTCGGAGGTGATTTAGCAAGAGAAGGGGAAGGGTCTGGTGGGGTAGATTGTGGTAACCAGTCAGCGGAAAGGTATTGCGGGGGTACGTGTTGAGGACGAGATGATGAACTAGTCGTGGTGCGCGTATCTGAGGTTGGACCAAGGGATGTGGGTGTGTTTGAGGATACTATGACCGAGGGGATGGATAGTTCGTGTGAATGGGATGAGGTTGAGTTGGCGATGCTTTGGACATCGGCGTCGGGGGTGGGTAGGTCAATTTCGCTTTCGTGAAGCTTTTCCTTCTCTTTCCCTTTAGCGGAAGCAGAGATTCCGTTTACCTTGCCCTTGCGATTGCTCTTCACCTTGCCCAACAGACCACCGCCAGAGGTGACCCCCTTGAGCTTCCAGCGTACTTCGAATTCTCCATGGACGAAGGGGACGCTGCTGAGCTGATGTATTGTAAGGCGCAAGAGAAATATAGCATGGCGAGGCAAGAGATGTGCAAGTTGGGCACGAAACCCTGAGGTAGCATGGGTAGGGCTAGCGGGACCAATTGGGGATTTCGGGCGGACATCAGGCGTGGGGCGCTTGTGATGAGCTGGCGAAAGACAAGGTTTCTTAGCGGGAGATGAACGTTCTCTGACTGGTGGTGGGTGTCGAGGCATGAGAAGACGAGGGTCCCAAGTGGAACTAGTTCGATGCTGACTTGCCAATTCTAGGTTACATGCAGAACAATGCCATCAATTAATAACGAGATTTCTTATCCACCCGCTTAGCACGGAGAGTCACAATCCACAATCGTGTATATTTTTCAACAGTTTACGTCTTAGTGGTCCACCTTGCAGTGCTTCCTCTCGCCAAGTACTACGGGATTGGTTTCAAAACGTCATCTTGCGGCGGAGGCGTGTATGTCGTTTCAGAGTTAACTTAATCCACCTTATTCGGTTCTATATCGACGTAAATTTGCCTTGACCACGCAAACAAGGTCGCCTACGAGTACCACAAAAGGTTAGCGGACTCGAAACGTTTGATCCACTATTGGAAGCACGCTCAGCGCAAGTTCGGTAGTTGACGTAAATTTACCTCTCAACAAGGTATGCCACATTTGAGCAGAATTCTTGATGCGGTCTGAATGAATTCTCGGGGATGACCAAAAAGAGGTGAAGGTGTACTTACGTCCTTGTCTAGTAGTGATGGCGCGCTGGCTTGAATTCAAAGATATCGCGGAGGTCGAGCAAGGTTCAATGAGACGCTGGGAATTACTAAAAGTATCTACAAACGAATGTCCAAAAAAGCGTGAAAGAGAGTGAACAAGCTCACTTTGAAGAACATATCATCCTTGTTCTGAAAACGGTCCAAGGTGGAAGACTATATCGGTATAAAGCAGTTCACGGATTTCATCTTTAACAGTAACTACTACCACTCTATCCTTTTATCACAATGTACCAAGTCCGTCCTGCACACCCAATCCAAACAAAAGCCATCTGGGATTACGAGGAATCAGCAACTCCCACAATGGCTTCGCAGCAATCTTATCCTTCAAACGTTCAGCTTCCTCGCAAGTTGCAACGTCCACAATACCTTGAGGTCCCAACTCAAAACATTGCTGCTATCGATCCTGAGCTCTCTCATGTCCCAGTCGACTACGTGCGACGTGGTCTCAAGAACCAGGCAAACCAGTCAGTACCATACATACTCCAACTCAAAACTCAATCTAATATATTATCACTCAGGATGTTTGCTGGTATCGCAGCCATTCAATTGCCTTCGACCATGCATCGCTCCCAGCTTCACCACACACAAACTCTAACAATCCCAATTCGGCCATCCGGCCCTTCCTCTTCATACCCTACACACATACTTGCTCTCTCTAGATCATCCACCTCCTCCGATTCACAACTCACTCTCGTAGCGACTCACGCCCTCATCCTCGCATCAAACTGTGCTTCACTGCCTCGCCTGCCCCCATCACCCCCATCTTACGGCGCCACAGCCAGCCTCACACTGCCAGTACTGCCTCTCACCATACCTGCCCCGGCGGCATTCCCACCCCTGCACACATTCCTCTACACCCATTCCGCACCCCAACTCCTCTCCGCACTCCTCCCAGCCATCCCGGCCTCTTTCCTATCCACCTTAACATCATCACAAGCACTCCGCGCTACGCTATCCTCCGGACCTGCCCTCCATACCCTATCCGCCCATCTCATGTCCTCGGCTCCCGGCATGGGCGCCCTCACCAGCGTCGCCCAGAATATCGCTGCTGTATGGAGAAACGCGGTTGCATTGGGCGTGCATGATCCCGAACTCTGGCATTGTCTTGATTTGGCGTGGGAGGTCATTTTGGGTGCTATGAACCTTGGTGCCGGGGCGCGTTAATACTAGGATTGATTAATTCCTTGGACTTGGCACTGGTGGCTGTCCACGAACGAACGAACTCTTTTTCCCTTCATCACTGTATTCCTGGATCTCTCTCCGCATCTCAACTCATCGCACATCTATCATCATATATGCCCTTGTATCCTTGACTATTTACCCTCTCCTCCTCTTTCCTTTCCTTATACATCTCTATGGCCGCTGAGATACAAAGTAATTTACGATCGGAAGTTAATGTGTTTGAGACTTTGTATCTACTATGTATCAGAATGATCAATATACCCTCGTATACTTATACTTTCAATCGTGCGCGTTTCATTTTAGTTTCCTTTGGTCATAGAATCACAGCTACGTGTTCATCTGGAGTGACACGATCATCAATTATTTTATATTACAGCTCATCTGGCTTAAGTGATGCGGTTATGGGCGCTTCACTGCCGTCTGACATCGGAACCAGTCTTCCCCTCGCTACGGAACGTACCGGGCCGCCTTCATCGCGTCCACTTGAATATATCAGTTGCCCCAACCAGCGGATTCTGTCGTACATGGATGCCATCAAACTCCAAAAGGTCAGACACTCACCGATCCTCGCCATACTATGGACTTGTTTGACTCCGGAAGGGTGGTGTGAAGACTCGAGTAGCCCTCTCGAAGACTCGTTGCAATGCTACCCGGGCCACCAAGTACAGGCCCGACTCAAGTGACATATCGAGTTGCGGTTTCCCTGGTACTACGTAACTACTTCTCCGAGACTTCAACCAAACTTCGCGCAAAAGCATGGGGCCGTAGAACTATATTTATCCTAATTATCCGTTAAATTCATCAAATTTCCGCTGATTTATGTAAACATGGGTTCTGGCCAGATCTCTGAAACACTCTAAAACACCATGCATGCATCCACTGCCGTGCTCCCCCCAGGCGCACCCAAATCTTCTTAATTACAAACACCATCTGCATCCCAGGTGTTTCGTCGCCTGGTACCCGAGAGCACGACGCGGACACCTTGCCGCATCAGAAAACCGATCAGTCCTTTATTAGGGTGGGTCATATTTATTGCGTCTGATAGGCTTTTGGCGTCATTTGATTGGATCATGACAACTTGCTTCTTCGCAGATTCGTTGGATTATACACATAATTCAGTTTCACTACCTAGGTCTATCGGCACACATATTTTCAACTATCGTTCAGCCGTTTTACCTCTTTTCTCGACGTGGTTCCCCCTCTAGATCTTTCATCCTCGAATTGTCTTATTGTTATCAATGGGCGTACCAACTACCGTCCCCGACTCTACAAGAAGTTGCATGGTCTCGTTGGACCAAATGCAATTTAAATTACCCAATGTAATTTAGGCGCCATAATGTAGGGCTCCAGGAACTCAAACATGTAGGAACTACTGTTTAACCACATCACGGAATGACCCGGAACGCGTCACTGCAATTCTAAAATTTTAGAATCGAGCAGCCCTTTTTTCACGTGTGGCCGCGTATATATGGGGTCGTTCGCCAATCTGATTGCTTCCTCAGGCGTATTATGTCGCCCTCAGCCCCTACCCTTTATCAGACGGAAGGTGAGTCTGGCTGCTTGACTTGCTGCATCGGTGTACTTGATACCTTTTTTTTAGTCGCAGACATTAGTCTCACAACCGTTGCTATCCTTATTACAGTCTTTCGTTTATGTGTTCGTACGCGGCAGAAGCGTCTGGGGATCGACGATGCATGGGCAGCCATCGCCATGATATTCGACTTTGCATTATTACTCGCTGATTGCTTGTATCTGCAAGACTACAGTGAGCGTCTCCGCAGTGTGCGTGTTGCATACATTTTACTGAAGAGACGCAGAAAAATACCCCCAAAGCTCAAGGATAGCGTTATACTACATGTGCGTTTTCTTCTTTTCTTATACTTGAGAGACATTACCAATACCACATCCATCAGAGTTTCCCAATCCTTTTACGGAGTTGTATGGTAAGACACTAGCACTGAGGTTCTAGTGGCTTGGCAACGTGACGGGACTGACATGTACGCATAGGTCATCGAAGTTATCCATGTTGTTTACTATTGTGCGGCTCACAATCCCGGGAAGATTTAGAAGATTTCTCCTGTGCACTGTCGCTTTCTTCGGCATTATATGGGCACTACTTTTTTCACAACTGTGGTGGATTTGTGAAACTGAGCCTGACTGGAAAAAACAACCACTTCCGCAGTGCGATCTCGGCGGACGTATTGCAATAACGCAGATGATCAGTGGGGATTCATTGTTCATAAAATATACTGGTCATCTGATGTATCTCAGCCGACGTTCTAGCGGATGTTATTCTCATCGTTGCTCCATTTTCCCTCATTTACAAAGTCAGATTGTCAAGGTCGCAAAAAGTCCGGATACTAGCTGTCTTCTCTACGTCAGCAGTCACCACAATCGTCAGTCTCACCCATGCATATTACATCCTCTCTGGTGGAGGGCTCAGGGAGGTTATGGCTGGTATAGTCGAGGTTCGGTGCCATCAGTGTTTAGATCTCGAGCGCTGCTGACCACAATTTAGTGTTCCATGTCTCTCATCGTCGTGAACTTGAGCGTCGTCGTCGCATTCATCTTCCGTTTAAGCTCAGACGATGATTCACCATCCACTCCGACACCCATGGTAACTTTTGGCGGACAACGTAGGACACGCGTGGCTGTAGCTGTTGAAAGTACCACGATCGTACTACAGGATCTCTCTGAGTCTCGTCACCATACTATGAAGAGAAGTGACGACGACGACGTAACTTTACACAACAGGGAGCGAAAGCAGGAGAAAGAATGGTGCTAGAGCACAAAGAAGTTAATTCGTCCTCGACTCCCACCTTTGTGGGGAAGGGCCTATCTAAATCGTGTTGTATCGATCAATCACGGTCGTTTTTGCAGTCGGTGTTAAACCGAACAATCACACTCCTTTTCTTTCTAATACGAAAATCTCGACGCGGCCGCATTGGTGATATACGCCATCTGTTTTTATAATGTGTGCCAATTAATTGATTCGATACAGAGATTGAAAGTTGCGTGTAGTGAGTCCGCTGTCTTGACGGGTATCAGTGCCATTTTTGCGTTCATCATCGTCCTCCCGCCCTAGCTGTATCAACTGCCGCCCTAAACATTCCACGTCTGTAGGTTGATCAGTGAGAACGAGGCCAGTAGATGCAATATTAATTGTAAGCTACAACTTCGGATTTTCAGCATCGAAAAGCCTACCGGTGATTCTCACCTAATGGCCTCTAGCGACCGTCTAACACTAGTCGTCGCAAAGCTACATCCTGCGTGTCAGGGTGGTGGCACTCGGGTCTACATTATTTCGCAAAGTAGCTGCATCATCACCAACGCAAACGACGCGGTTGGGGATGTATTGGTCCTGAAATATGCACACTGGAGGAAGCCCGAAGTTATGTACTGTGTGTGTTCGAACTTGAGATCGTAACGGTATAAACCTAATAATCTCTGTAATTTAGACGACAGTTGTAAATGAACAAATTTTGTAAACGGATCGAAAGGCTCTCTGCGGAAAAATCAATTCTACAAGTGGGCCTGACCATGTGTCAGTTGACATCCGATGAGTCTGTCTCGTGCAAACAGGAACGGTGGTGTGCTGCTTTGAGACTCACGTACTCTGACTCGGAGTACTTCTCATCAATATCCACATGATTGACCCCTTGATTTCTTCTAGCAGCCTAGCACAGTCTCTCTCACTGTGTGTGGATCGGTGTATGTCTTGCCGATCAGCCACGGTGAACAATACACGTGCAGCATATTACCCTGAATCCTCTCCCTCTTCCGAAGGTACACGGAGTCCCTGTCGCGGGTCAGTCGGCCCTCGGGTCATTTATTGTCACAACGAAAATGTGACGCATGCGCGTGACAGCTGAACATTTCAAATTTTCAGAATTGCATAACTTAAAAAATAGTAGCGAACAAGTTTCTAGACTTCATCTACTTCATCTGGCCGGCTATCTTCGGTGTACCTTCCTTCGCGCCTAGAAGCTAGAAGGATCTTAAATGACTCAGTCACTGATCGGCCTGCGCACCACACCACACGGGGGACGTTCTCTCTTTCCTATCCAGCCCATTGCCGAGGGGACCAGCATCTTTACATGTGAAGCTCCTTTTGCACATGTGATTTATAAAGATTATCGCAGGGAGGTCTGTGCTCAGTGTTTCGCTTATGCAGCAAGTACTTTTCGAAGTATTGGTGATCCACGGACTTGGAGTATCAGAAGTTGTAGGGTAACTGCAGAGACTGTTTGGTTCTGTACAGATGAATGCAAGGTCACATGGGAAAGTGGGGTGATAGGTCCCTTGATAGCAGATATCAATGCTCTTCTTGGCAAAGCAAAGATAGCCACTCGGAGGAATTCACCCAAGGACGGCCATGATCCGATATTGCCAAATGGACCTCCTGTGCAAATCACGCAAGATTACATCGACAAAGCCTGGGCGGATGTCGAGGAATTGGTTTCCTCTCGTGCTCGTCTTTCTTCGTACTGCTCAACGATGAATTTAGAAGATATGGAACTCGAAATATCGCGCTCAGTTGCGTCGGCCATCGTCCAGCGATATGTATCTGATCACTCTCTTGCCAGTCTCGCAACTTCTTCGATAATATCTACCTTAGATCCATGGACAGAAGTTCTTGATCTCCAGAGCAGCGAGCTCTCGAACGTTATCCTACGACCTTATATTCTCGCGGCGCATCTACGTGTATACGCTTTTTTGTGTCATTCACTTCCAAAGCATCTCAGATTGTACGTTCCTACGGCTCGACATATCCTTGCGCGCGACACCGGGAATGCCTTCGGGATTTGGGACGGAGATCACAGAGATGAAATGCTCGGATGGGGCCTTTGGGTAGGCGCGAGTTATTTTAATCACAGTAAGAACCCACTTCTTCGTAAGCCTTCCTCTTACCCAACGCGTCGGCTCATGAAGGTTGCTGCCCGAATGTCAAAAAGACACGCGTCGGACGCACCATACACTTCACCACCTCTCGCTCAGTCGAAATCGGCGAGGAGCTCTGCATTAGCTATATCGATACCAGTCAAACCATTACGCAGCGCAGACAGGATCTTGAAAATAGCTGGTTTTTCAAATGCGGGTGCCAGCGTTGCCAATCAGAAGAACCTGAGGCCTGATGGGGCATCTCCGCATTGATGCGCATTTTTACACAGCCGTGGCCAAGTCTTAGATGTTGGTGATTGTGACCGTACATACTTGTAACACTGTGGAGAGTCCATGACGTTGAGCAAATTCAACGATCAGTACACTGTATGACTGTGACTAGCTAAGAGTTCATGCAACTAATAGCGGCACGCTCGTCATAAAATCGAAGATGTGAGATTTAATTTGAATTGCAGTGCGCCTGTATCTATATATATGAAGGACGCTGTTTCGTGGGCTCTCTTGCGCACGTTGAGCGTGGGGTTGGTCAAGGGTTGGTTGATATGATCCGTTCAACTTGATCATAAAACCATCTGTAAACCAACTGTAGACGATATACAGTTGCGTACCTCCCCTAGGATGCTTTTGGACTTCCCGTTTTGGTAACACTTCCAAAACAATTCCAACTCTTCGAATAAGTTTTTGTCGGATATAGATTTCACGATACACGCATGTTGTTTACAATCATGTAACTCTTGGACAACACAACCTTCCTTCCTGCTCTCCTACTCTGTTCTTCACCGTTAGCCACTCAGTCAGGTCCAGTTCGTGTGTGCTAAAACTCTAAGCAGCATCTATGCCCTCCTCATTTATACTTCTCGACCCTCCGGCCGTTCGTGAAATTTTGAAACCGCGCCCGTGGGCGCCGTTGAAGCTTGAAGTGCCATGAGGGGCGAGTCCCACCCCCACCCTTCAAACCCCGGACTTACTCGACACGGTATCATACCTGCAGCCAATCCCAGAGTCACTCCAAATACTCCAGTTCCCGAGCCGCCCCCTCGTTCTTCGAAAAGAGTTCAGAGGGATATCAAGAAACTGGGACTCAAACTCATGGAAGAAGGACGGCTATTCTCGGGTCACGGTCCTTGTAGACGAGGCAAACGTCCTCTTCGGTGCGTGTTTCACTCAAGCCATGCATATGTTTATTGAGATTGTACAGATCCGGACTTTCAAGAATCTACTCGCATGCTTCTTGGTGACATTGCTGCAGCCCGTGGTTCACCTGTCTCAGTAATCCATTCCTCGGCTCTATCCTCGACTCTGGATTCGGAAACAACTACTACAACAATCTCCTACCCGTTCAACTCCGTTCTCACCAGCGCAACAATTCCCGCATTCCTTGCTACCTATCTTTCAAACTACCATGCATCCCTCACCTGCCTTGCATCCCCGCGGCTGCATCACCTCCCTCCGACCCTTCGCACTGAGCACACCTCATGGACAGGCGGGAACAAAAATGCAGACATCGAGCGCCGCATCCGTCGCGTATGGGCCGAAGATGTCCTCGTGCACTCCAATACCGCAACCGGTTCCGGTCCCGTCAAACTCTCCAAGCTCCTCGTCTTCTGCAACAGACGCAGCAAAGTCGAGCAACTAGCTACATTCCTCGACGGCCACGGGATCAAATGCGTTGCGCTCACCGGTGGTGCAGAAACGCGCAAACAAGGGTCGAATCATCATCTCGACGGGTTCTTGGGGCCTGTCCCGACTGGTCCGGGTGTGTGATCCGGCTCAGACGCCTCATGTGCTTGTCACGACCTCGCTTCTTTCCCGTGGGCTGTATTTTTCGCCGATGATCAAGCATGTGTTTATTGTTGACGAGCCGAGGAATGTGATTGGTTTTTTGCATCGTGGTGGTCGTGCTGGACGTGCGGGCCAGGTGGGGAAGGTGGTGGTGTTTGGGAGGGCGAAAAGGAGTGGTGGTGGGCGGATGGAGGATGTTAAAGGGAAAGTCAGGGCTTGCTGAATAGATGGTGATGGTGGGTCGTTTAGGATTGGGATGTTATATCAACTGATCGTATGTGTATTATTCATAGGCGTCTGATAAACCCTACTCATGAATTTTGCATATTGTGCCTCTGCTCGTGGCAACCGTCGCACATAGCGTAGAGCCAATACTCGGCCTTGGCGTTGCTAAATTAGCCTTCAGTTACAGTGAAATTCCTGATAATATTCCTGATAAAACTATGCTTAATCGACAACACAACTTCCCTTTACATAAATCTCACCCTCTCTCCCACTCTGTTCTTAACCATTAGCCACTCTTACAGGTCCAGTTCGTGTGTGCAAGCTTTAAGCAGCATTCATGCTCTCATCATTCCCTTACACTCCTACGGCCCTCCGGACGTCCGCGAAACCGCGCCCATGGGTGCCATTGAAGCATAAGGGGCGCATCAAAGTAACACCCTACCCTTCAGGCCCTGGACTGATAACCTACTTGACACAATATCATACCTGCCGCCAATCCCAGAGTCACTCCAATTACTTCAGTTCCCGAGCCACGTCCTCGCTTTTCGAAAAGAACCGAGATGAGTATCAAGAAACTGGGACTCAAACTCACAAGAGGCCCGGCAAGGGGAGGACGACTATTCCAGGGTCACAGACGACAGGCTGCTGTGGAATTGTGTCAACCGATATGTGAAGAAGGATGGGGAGGCCAAAGTCAGAATGGAGGGGAGAACCTTCTTTCTTGATCTAACAATACATTATGCATGTCTAGATTTGGGAGACCACCCTCATAGATGAGACGTGGTCATGGGAGTCCGTGCAACATGGGGACTCTGCTCTACTAAACAGACAGCATCTCAATGGTAGTTTGTACGAGAACGCCTCTCAAACCCGCTTGCTTGAACATCAGTGGATTGGACCTGTGACAGTGCAAGAGATATTGCAAGCTCTCTCATCAATGACATCAATGATGGAGCAAGTCTCCAAGGAGCGTGTTTGCCGCAGACCAGCAAATCCAATCAGCTGAGTTCGGAAAATAAGAGTCATTCGGATTAATTACTAGGTACCGTTGGTTGTACAGTCGGACATCTTGTATGGGTCATGCACGACCCTGCTAGCTAGGGAGTCGTGACCTGGGCAGCATCATGGTCTAAAGCTAATCGTTTTATATAAGCGCTTAGCGCTAGTTGTAAACTTGTAATAATAGAATGGGCCCTTTTTGGACTTGCGTAGCTATAGGCCCAGAGCACTAGTACCGGCAGGCTGAGCTGATCAAGCTCTACTCTACTCCTCCCTGACGACTACTGAATTCATGACGCTTACGGAAAACGACAGTTCTTCCTCATGTATCAAAGGAAAAGGAAAGGCCAAGCATCCTGAACCTTCAGAGCGAACACCCCTACTACTACATCACAGTGATGTTGCTCCGAGTCCCAGTCAACCACGCGTTGTACACGATGAAGACGTCGACTTCGAAAGTAGCTCGAACGCTCGGCGAAGGCTTTTGTCCAAGCTTACATTTGTTTTCCTGGTATCTCTGTCTTCCTGCATCTTAATATTTTTGCTGCTTGCTCTGTTGGCATACTCTTATGCCGCCAGGTTATCGGACGTGTCCCCAGAAGACATCTTAGAGAATGCGCTGGTGATACAAGGGCCGTATCGGGTGAGCGTACTCGATGTTACAGCAGACGGCGGGGCATGGATACAAGTACGAGCAAGAGCTGGGATTAATGCGGGGTCAATCATGGGAGTCGATACGGATGGTGACGAGGGAACATTCTACGACATGTGGAAGTCGTTTGGTCGATGGGGCGTCAAGATTCTGGATAGAGTCACAGTGGATGTGAACACCACTCAAATCTTTTCTCAGCAACAAGCACTTTTAGCCACCCTCGATTCCCCACCATTTGAACTTCCTCTCACCGCCAATCCCCCATATGACGATTCGTGGTTATCCCCGTTGTCTTTAACTCTTTTCGTCGTCCCCACGCAGAACGCGTCCGATATAAACCAGTTCGTGCACGACTCTTGGCATTCGGGCGCTGCGTCTGTACATGCCTCTATTCCTAGCGTGGTCATCTCTGGGGGTTCGACGGACAAAGGTGGTTGGAGGCAAATCCTAAAGCTCCAGAGATCAAGTATACAAACTCAGTTATCCATGAAACGTAAGTCTTTATTATCTGTTAACTTGTTTAGAGTGCTACAGCAATACTGGCAGTTCCGCCAATCCCTGGCTTGCCTACCCCGGGCAAGGACGTACCCCTACCATCCATTTCGCAGCTGATCACGTTGCAGTCCTTCGGCGTGGAGTCTGAAGCTAAAGACGTAACTGTACATGCCCTTGCAACTGTCGTCAATCCCGTGCCACCTATAATAAACCTAACTGCACCCTCACTTCCGTTCATAATTTCGCTCCCCAGCGAAAATCATTCATTAGTACCGATGGTATCGGTCCACACCGACCCGTTCATGCTAACCCACCCCAACATCACGCTGACTATATCTGGAAGCGTTTTACCCCTCCCCCCTCAACATTCTGCACCCATCTCTGCTTTCATTAGTAGATTCCTCTCCCTCGAACCCAACCCTGTATCTGTCGCATGTCCACTATTCCCATCTTTTGCGCTGGACATGGAATTTCCGGCCCCCAGTTCCAAACCACAAATACTGCGCAATGTGACAATTCATGATATGAAGATCAAACCCAACTCTGCTAGCACCGGTTTTCTTGCGAGTGGTTCGGTGTTCGCTCACATAGTGCTTCCTAAAGGAATGGACCTTACACTAGATGTTACCCGCGTATTTCCTGATGTTCTGGTCTTCGACGGAGAAGCACACGAATTGCCTACACTTCTCATACCCCAACAGAAAGACGAAGAAGAATTACCGGATCCACTTCCAGAACGCGCATTTGGTCATATACGACCTGAAGATTGGTTGGAAGCGACAAGCGTTCAAGTCGACACCGAAGGAGAAGGGTCCATATTCGCAGTCACCGCAGATATGGTCGATGTCCCGTTAGAGGTGCTTCCTGGTAGGCAGAAACAATTCAGTAATTTCATTAGCAAGGTATGTGTAGTACTCTTTTTTGCGCAAACTTGTTCATGCAGGATTGGTTGCAGGTTGTATTTGGTACCCATGGTGCATTGGCTGGCTTGCAGGGAACTACTGATGTTGGGGTGCACATCCTCGGATTACCGTTCCGTGATCACGAGGACACAGCCACAGGAATGGACCTTTTGGGTCTGCCCTTCCGAGGGAGCGTACGCATTGGAATGAAGGATTTACTGGTATGACGCTCGCTTTATCTTTTCTCTGAAGGCCTATATGTAATTTATTTGCCTGTATCATCATCCATCCAATCCATCCACGACCGCTAAGCCTATTTCAATATTCATTGTTGACATAGCTTTTAGTTCACTACTACGTTACACTGAATTTAGTTTTTATAGCCTAGTGATACCGCTGGGCACATATTGAACTCTAGGGATGGTACCACCTATATATTTGTGCTTGAAGGTACACAGAACAATCTAGTGATTGATATTGTTCATACGTTCTGCTATATAAGATTGCAGTGCTCTAGGACTTCCACCGCCTGTACCATAATGTGTTGTCGGTAGACGTATACTATTGGCATGTACCCACTTTTTCGTAGTGGTTTGGATGGGATTCTTGCGTTGATGGTCTCCTGCACTAGACCTGTCTTGGATTAATCTGTACATCAATATTTTGGGGTGACGTTCATCACCCAGGATGAGACAGAAATTATCATCATACAGGCTGTAGCTTTAGTTGTAATGCTTAATTTTCACCCCGTGGATGACCTCTTCTTCTACGCCATCCTCTTTTCCATTCTTCAGTTTCGACAGGCCATAAGCCATCGTCCTCGCTTTCCTCCAATCTTCCATCGTCGGTGCCTCACTATCTTCGCAACGTCTCTGAATTCCCACTCTCTGCAACACCGGGCTTTCAACCATCGGCACCAATTTAATATCGTCGTTAGGTATGGCAAAGTAGAATATCCCGAGACGAGTGTAGTTCCGCTGGTCCACCGCGGGCTGGACAACGCGATGAATCGTGCCTTTGTAGTACCCGCCAGTAAGGGAATCCATTGCATCGCCTACGTTAACCACCTATAGACTGCTCGTCATGTCATGGATTGGGACATAGGACTTGATTACCCACAAGCGCATTTTCCATGTGACGGATCCAACGCCATTTGCCTTCACGAGTCTGGATTTGCAGTGCGGCGACAGGCTGACTCCATAAAATCGTAATGCTTCCGAAATCTTGTGACAATACTGTGAGTACAGTATCTTCGCGATCAAATTACTGACCCGTGTGGCCCTTCAGCCAAACGTTCTTTGTTTTGGCTTCTTCTTCCTCTGTTCGTGGGTAGCTACGCCACATAAGCCTGCGAAGCGTAGACATATAAGGAAGTACTTGCTACTTGATGAACCTAACTGATCGACAAGTCAGTAACGACACAAACTGATTGAAATGTATGTGTGTACCAGCTGTCTCGCCGACGGCGTCAAAGACATGTTTGTTCAACAGTGTATCTTCTGGCAGCTCAAGGCTGCGGGCAATAAGCCTGAGAAAAAAATAATTATCAGCGAGTCTTCCTGAGCACCCCAGTATATATGTTTACCTCAGGATAGGATTCAACACGTTGAAATAGTTGTGTTTGCTAAAATCCTGTATCTCCGGGAGGAGAGGGACGAGGGCTTCTGGATGCTTTCGCTTGGTCACATCGCGATTGACTAGAATAATGTGAGGCGAGTCTATAAAAAATAAACGCGCGCTGCTCACTGCAGTATTGTTCAAGCTGATCGCGTACTCGACCATCGCCATCCTATTGTCAATTAATTTGAGAAAATAAAATATTCCTCTGTTGTGCAATGCACAACTACTACGTACCGTATATTGCACTGGTGTATATCCTTGGAGCATTCCATTTTGCTTTCTTGTCGAAGCATAAAGTTGCTTCTCGCCGTCAGTGACAGCCGAGAAGGGCACGTCTGCAATGTCAAACATGCGAGCTGTCTGAGACGAGATGTGATTAACAATCTACGTGACATGAGAAAATTGCCTTGCTCGAGTTTGTGAATATCCATGATTCACGACATAGAAGAACCCGAAGTTCAGGAGAGCCTCCCTTAATTCAATTGCCAGCGCGGCGAAACCCTCTTGGGAGCTGGCTTTCGAAATGTCGATGGTCGCAAGGTCGGCATACTCCACTGTCGATGCATACATCCAAGTCAGTGTTCTGCATTAAGCACAAGACCTTGCACAGACAATTTTCCTTCGTAGGAGGTGCGGCAACGTAGTGCGGCACGTAGGGCAAGGTAATGCTGGACATTGCAATCAAGAACGCTAAGAGGTGACAGATCTAAAAAGATTAACCATGGGACTTGTCCTTATATAATTAAGCCTTGGAGCCTTGTTCAAGTTAGCCTGGTTTATAAAAAGATGGTGCGATGATTGCATGGTCACGCACTAGGCTACTAACAAAAAAAGTAGTCGCCGCACGGTGACAATAGACAGGGATACCCAAAAGTTGGCTCCATTGTCAGTGCATCAGTGACATACCACTTGAAATATTCCAAGGACCCTTGACAGGTAGGCGTTCTGAAAACCTGCCTTAAAATATGATTTGGACCTCTACATAGGACGGGAGTGCTAGGGCCAAGGGCCAAGACGCAGGACGCCCAAGGTCATGAAGAACTTGAAATTCGTGAGATGTGGAAGCCGTGAACTGTGGAACCCTTCTTCCGAGTCGGAAGACAACCTAATACTATTTGGGATCCGGTCTTCAACATGATTATCGATGTAAGGCCATCAGAAACCCGATCTGAGTCCCTTAGGGTGCGATACATTGATTGTGCGGCCTTCGCATCGTGACGAAAATCAAGGACATGCAGCAATGCTCTGCATAATAAATATTTAGATTTCTCACCAGGGTTCTCCTTCTGTATCCTTCTGCCGACTCGGAGTTGGTGAGTAACGATGCTACGTATAGCGTCCACATCTTGACTCAGCCTATATGTAATATTATCGTTCAGGTAGATAGAAGAGCTAGATCATGCCCAGTCACGCGTAGCCACGTCGAATCTCGATCAACTAATCGTACGTATCACTTGATGGATATGATACCATAGAAACTTTTTCCTAGGAGGAAATCGGAATCAAAAAAAATTGCGCGCGGGCCAGCGCGATGGGACGTACCAACAGAGACCAACGGCAGCAGAGTGTTACAAATTACACCCACAACCATAACCTCCTTTGATCGGGTCTGCGAGGCAGCGGCAATAAGTAGGCTGAGTCTAGAACAGGATGTAGCAAAGTAGCACTGCCGAGCGCTGAGCGCTGATGCATCATGCATCATGACTGTGTGCGTGAACAAGGCGCAACCTTGGCCCTGGCCCATCTATTACATAATGCGGTCTTGCAAATTGGGCCACGACGATCCAGCACGTCTCTGCACGGAGACATTTCGGTTCGGAAACGGCCGAAAAGGTGAGTGGGTCTGGATGTGCTAAAAGTTGGGGGTCTGAAGCTTCCTACCTTCCCACTAGTCCTCCCCCAACCGTAAACTACCCTGCCAACCGGTCATCGAACGCGGTTGCAGTTGTGTGACAGAACCTGTACTCCCATTAGGTATATAGGCTCAGTAGTATATCCTAAACAGAACGAAAAAGTCGGCGCGGTTGGGGTAGCACAGTAGCCCCCTGACGAGAACTTTCGCAGGCCCGAACCTACCGGCATCCCCGCCATCCTAGCGTTCCTCATGCCCTAGCTAACAGACTCTTGTCCTAGGAGACGGGTGCTAAGAACGCGGTCTGCCTCGCGACGCTCTGCTGGACCGTCTGGCTTGGGCTTCGCTTATTCAAGACAGTCGCTATCGTTATCGTTATCGCTCGCGCGTCGGACGTTCCGTAGAAAAGTAGAATATTTGTTCCCTGAACATGTATTACCTCTATTTACATAAGAAATATACATCGCCATGCGCTCAAGGTTTAGCAGTGGCCCCTTCAGCAAGCTTCTTCTGGAGCTTAGCCTGAACGAGAAATTAGCTCCAGTACATGTATTCATAACCACCACTTACATTCACCGCATCCATGTACTTGTCAGTGACGACCCAATGTTCTCTCTTCATGTTCTTACCGTGGATAGCAAGAGCAAGATCCTTGGTCATGATTCCATCCTTGTCAATCGTTTCCACACATGCAGCCTCAAGGTCCAAGCAAAACTTCCTGAGCTCTTCATTGTCGTCCAGCTTGGCACGGTGGAGAAGTCCACGGGTCCATGCAAATATCGACGCCACTGGATTGGTTGACGTCTCGTTGCCCTTCTGGAACTCGCGGTAGTGTCGGGTGACGGTACCGTGGGCAGCCTCGCTCTCAACAACCTGACCATCAGGGGTGATCAGCTCTGAGGTCATCATGCCCAAGGAACCGAAGCCCTGAGCGAGGATGTCACTCTGTACGTCACCATCGTAGTTCTTGCATGCCCATACGAAACCACCGGAGGACTTAATCGCTTGTGCAACCATATCGTCGATAAGGCGGTGCTCGTAGTATATACCGACCTTCTCAAAAGCGTCCTTGTATTGCGATTCATAGATCTCTTGGAAGATGTCCTTGAAGCGGCCATCATACTTCTTCAAGATAGTATTTTTTGTTGACATGAACTAAACACAATGTTAACATGGTGTGTGCGGGTCGGGTAAATTCGGACACACCAAGGGCATCTTCTTGAGGAGAGCCATCTTAAATGATGAATGTGCAAACCCAATTATTGACTAAGAACGGGTATAGTCAGTGGTCGCATCAGGACAAAGAACTGCTAGATTTACCTCATCAGTGTTGTACATGCTCATAGCGACACCCTTTCCCTTGAAGTCATACACGTCCATGACAGTCTTGGCACCCCCATCGGCAGGGGTGTATACAAGCTGGAGCTTCCCTGGTCCCGGTGCGACGAAGTCCGTGGAACGGTACTAAACCACATAAACACGTACACCATTTTACTTTTACGTTCGAAAATCTCATACCTGGTCACCGACTACATCATTGTCAGGCTTGGCAATCACGAGATAACAAACGGAACAACGAACATGCATGACGGCCAATCACGATTGGCTTCACCCATCCTGGAATTGGCTTGGGGATACGATCCAATATAATGGGCTCACGGAACACAGTTCCGCCAAGGATGTTACGGATCTATGCCGTCTGTTGAGAAGTTGGCGATGATTGCTCGTCAGATACAACACTCACCGTGCCGTTCGGGCTCCTCCACATCTCCTTGAGCTTGAACTCCTCCACACGAGCCTCGTCAGGCGTGATTGTTGCACACTTGATGCCGACCTTGTGCTCGAGAATGGCATTGGCGGCTTCCACGGTTACTTTGTCGTTGGTCTTTCACCACATGAATATGCAAATTAAAGTGAATTAATGGAATGGGAGCGTACCTGGTCACGGTACTCGAGGCCAAGGTCGTAGTACTTGATGTCCAGTTGTAAATAAGGAAGGATTAGCTTGAAGTAGCAATCACATTTGAGTTAAAGTGTAACAGAAGATTTCAAACAATACGCACCTCCTCCCGGATCTTTTTCCAAATAATCCTCGTCATCTCATCTCCGTCAAGCTCCACAACGGGTTTCGCTACCATAATCTTCTTCCCATATTCTGTTAGAACCGGATCAGCGCATGGTTTTGATAGAAGAGCGTTGCAGAAACAGCACGTCTACTGCAAAGGCATAGCTCGAGGCTCGAGCTACCCTATACCAGATGCATGCAAATTACTCACGTAAGCTCATCGAATTCGCAAAGCCTCGTGCCAGCGGTCTGCTCTGCGGACCCAGCGAGCGTCTAACGGCAGTAAAGAGCGTAGCTCCTTGCACTGGCATGGTTGGTTAGCAAAACGAAGAAAAACACTGGTATGTGGCAGAATCAAGACAGATGCTACTATTGATCGCCTTTTGTAAGCGTGGGCTTAGAAGGTACAAATGAAGCACACGGCGTGCGCGTGGGAGGTCGTGAGCACGCTAACAACGAGCCAGCGGCTGCTGGGGAAACCTTACCTTGACTTAGAGTAGAAGTTCAAGCAAATGCCCTTGCTTGAGCTGGCCCGGCTGGGTATGGCATATGGAATGACGGCGCCCCGTCACGGCAGATTTAGGAGCATGTGCCAGCGCATGCTCCGAGTGCTGCCAGACAATAATCAGCTGCTCTTGGACGACGCAGTAGAGGAATTCGCGGTATGGTATACTTAGGGACGGCCGAAGACCGTGTTAGGTACTTATATACTGAACCTGCTGTAGGACTTAATCGCTTGCAACAGAAGTGGTGCGATATATTAGAAAATCTTCCCAAGCACATCATATCATAAATCCATTCAAAATCAAATGTGCGTCTTGATTACACTATCCGACTCCATTCACGAGTTTTTCGGGATAAGCTCCACGATACGCTCGACGAGACTCCTCATCGCCTCTGCCTTTTGTCTCCCAGTCTCCAGGACTTCTACGTGCGATGCAGTCACCACAGGAGGAAGCTTGATGCGCTGACCAGAAAGCTACAGAGATCACCATCAACGGAGCGATTAGTCTCGCAGTGTTTATTCTACATGGTTACGTACCTCAGCTTCAACCTCTGCCTTGATACTCCTGTAGGTATCAGGTATGACCACCATGTTAGTAGCGAGGCTCAGCACCATGACCTCGAGCTTCTCTTCTCGCGCAGCCACTACTTCGGGTATGGTGCTCATACCAACTACGTGCGCACCTGCATTGCGTAGGAAACGGCCCTCAGCGGGGGTTTCATATGCGGGACCTGCCACCCAGGCATACGTCCCTTCAGCTAATGCAGAGGAGTCAAAATTAAGATAATGGGAGGCAAGGAAGGCAAGGCGTCGTAGACGAGGGGAGTATGCGTCACCCAGAGGAATAAATCGGGCATATTCCGGGGATATGAGGGGTCCGAACGATGGGTTCATCCCAGTTAGGCTTGGGAGGGCGAAGTGATCACGGATCACGACGACTGCAACATTGTTCAGCCTCGGGCTTGATATGGATGAAAGATCATACTTGTTCCAACGGGTATCTCTGGTGTCAATGACCCAGCAGCGTTTGTTACTGTATTGGATCAGACATATAAGTTGTCCTGTGAGTCAAAAGTATGCTTACTGATGACATCTTTGACACCCAATCTCTTCATGATTCTGATACCATATGTCACGACTATTGGCTTGTGGCCCTCATACGGATGGAACTGTTATCGTTTCTGTTTCAGTAAACTCGCTGGCGAAGTGGTGTTCCACTTCACTCACTCGCCCGAGCATGGCGACAACAGGTACATTATCCTTGCCCATTAGTCCGAATGCGAGCACACTTTTTTGGCCAACAACTTAGTAGATGGTCCTGCTGAGATCAGTGATACTTGATCATCCTTATCGGCACATACCTGTGCTCTCTCCGAAACCCTGGAGTTGTGAGTACGGAAGTTGTACCACATCCTTCAAGCTCGAGACAAGGGTGCTGAGACCAGATCCACACACGATTCCGATGCGTGGCTTCAACAAACGAGGATCGGTAACCAAACGCGAGATGGTTTCGAGAGTTTGCGCGAATGGAAGTACTGGGGTGGCTGATGAAGACATGTTAGGGTCAGAAATAACAGAGGTCGGAAACTGTTTTATAGAACGTGACTCGTATCATGATTTGATCTCCTGCCATGATAAGCGTCCGAAGCTTCATGCAGCCATTATTGCTATTACATTGAGATAAAGACGAACGAACTCATCGGACTAGCCAAGCTTGCGATCATTGGCTGCGACCGAACAGGATAATTATTACAGTGATGGCATGTCAACAAGCCTGGGATGCCAAGCATGTGGAGTCCAAAGAAGCATGATGGGCTTGGTTCCAATTGGTCTGCTACGCACTTCATGTTCTACGCCCAACCATGAACAAGCTCAGAAAGCCCAAGCCACCCGCCACGATATACAGCCCACCGTCAAGTGCCCAAACAGCTCGATCTGACATTAATAATAATAACCAACATTTGGTCTCTGAATCTGTTCAAAGCAAACCTCCAGTATCGAGAACGATGCAGATCGCGAGTGCCTCACTTGCTGTGGAAAGAATCTCTACCGCTAAGAACACGCTGGAATATCCTAAGACGACATGGTACTCTGCACCTGCTGCTGCCAAGCCTCGCACATCCGTCGAGCAGTACTGGGCTGCGCGTGCACTGGTGGCCGAAACGGTGCTGACAACACGTGTTCAGTATCAGAAGGAAATGACAGACGTGAGGCTAGGGAAGGAAGAGAAGCAGACGGTGAGTATTTCTATTGTCTGAAAAGATGTTCTCGGTGATTAACCGCGACATAGAACCAACTTGCGGCTCTCATGCGGGCGAGCGAAGAACGGCAGAGCAGGCTCGAAAAGTTCGTCGTGCGTTACATTAACTTGCTTGTGTTCTCATTCGCAAGCTCACTTTATTCATTCAGGTAGCCCTTTTAGCATGTTTTATACTTCTCTTCCTTGCGTTAATTTATATACTGCTGCGTGATTCCCCGAAATCTAAGGGTGCCTCGCACTTTACGATACCGATACTCTCCCCGTTTACTTCAGTGGTGAGCTTCGTTAATTGCCGTTGCGAAGTTTGCATCATTTCAAACGGAACTATTACCAGGTCGAACATGAAACAGGCATCATCAGTGCGAGATCCGTGTCATTCTTCATTCTCGTCGTAGGCATCTTATCATACGCCATCTTCCGACATTGGTTGTCAAAAAAAAGATAGCCCCCATGGTACAAGATTTAGGTTGTAATTTAATGCGTGGCTGATGTAGCCATGAGAACGATGATAACTTCGCTTCCCAGCACAAAGTAGGCCTAGGCTATTGGGAGCCTCGGGCTATTTTTTGCAAAGGGCACGTGTATCCGATACTGGCGGTTTGCATGCCCATTCCTCGTGCGCATTGAGTCCAAATCGACTTCAAGACTCTGAGCACGCATACGAATTCAAGTCGACTTTAACAGAGCACGTTGAATAACTAGTACTATAGTTAGTAGTACTTACTTAATGGAGGATGACTGAAAATTTAAATGATGAACCGAGCCACTTGGTTTGGATCGTGGAGTTATGGAACGTGGGAAACAGGGTGTCGTTCACAGGATGGGTGCAACTTTGTACCAAAACGTTACACCTTTGCTCATTCTTCTTTACGCACCACCACTCCTTTTCTCTGTCCTGACCACGGCACTCTCAGTCCTGTTGGCCTGCTAACACAGGACACAGAGGTCAAGATGTATCCTCAGTCTGCCTCGCCGACAGCAGATCACGCAGATCCTTTCACTTCTTCAGCGGGCGGTCCTCGCAGATACGTTTACAGCGACAACGACTCTGACAATGTCGACCCTTACGGTCGTAGAGACACTTATGCTTCAGACAGCAGCAACAATGGACTCAACGACACAGAGCGATACTATGATCACAACGGTAACTACGACCCATACGGTTTGTGGAGCACGCCTGCTGCGCTATTCTCATACTCACACTTGTGTTATTTTCAAGCACAACCTGACACAGACTCGGACGTCGACATCTATGGCCAGCGGTATCCTCCAGCATCCTCAGAATCCCTAGGACCTTCGAGAATGGGTGTGTCAGATTCAAACGCTACGACATGGGCCGAATACGCAGGACCACAAGGCGCCCGTGACGCATATCCCGCCTGGTCGGCCGAGCGTCAAATCCCACTATCCAAGGAGGAAATAGAAGACATTTTCCTGGACTTGACCCAGAAATTCGGGTTCCAGCGAGATTCCATGCGGAACATGGTAACCTTTATTTTATTTAAAATTGTTGTGGAAGTTGACAACCAATCTAGTTTGACTTTTTGATGCAACTGCTGGACAGTCGAGCATCCCGTATGTCGCCCAATCAGGCACTCCTCACACTGCATGCGGATTACATCGGTGGTGAGCATGCGAATTACCGTAAATGGTATTTTGCAGCTCAGCTCGACCTCGATGATGCCGTGGGCCACGTTCAAAATCCTGGTCTTCAGCGCCTCAACCGCAGGGCCGGCGCTCGCTCGTCCAATGAGAAATCGCTCGCAACCGCTATGGAACGTTGGCGCCAGGCCATGAACAACATGAGCCAATATGATCGCCTCCGCCAGATCGCGCTATACCTTCTTTGTTGGGGTGAGGCTGCCCAAGTGCGCTTTGTTCCCGAGTGTCTGTGCTTCATCTTCAAGTGTGCGGACGATTATTATCGTTCGCCTGAATGCCAGAATAGAGTGGATCCTGTGCCTGAAGGTTTATATTTGAAATCTGTCATAAAGCCCTTGTACCGCTTTATTCGGGACCAAGGTTATGAGGTAGTTGACGGGCGATTTGTGAGGCGGGAGCGAGACCATGCAGATATCATTGGTTACGATGATGTCAACCAGCTTTTCTGGTATCCAGAAGGTATTGCTCGGATCATACTTACCGATAAGGTACGCTGCTGTTCACTACTCACAACTATATGCTCAATCGATTTTGCAATTCAGACGAGACTTGTGGACCTTCCACCTCCCCACAGATTTATGAAGTTCCACAGCATTGACTGGAATCGTGCGTTCTTCAAAACCTACTATGAAAAACGCTCCTTTGGACACCTCCTGGTCAACTTCAACCGCATTTGGGTCATTCACGTGTCTCTCTACTGGTTCTATACTGCATTCAACTCCCCTAAAGTATACCAGATCTCACTTCCTTTGAATAAAGTCTACAACTCCCCGGCATTGGCATGGTCTGTCACTGCGCTCGGAGGTGCAGTTGCGACAATCATTATGATCGCAGCGACGCTCGCTGAGTTTTCGTATATCCCCACCACCTGGAATAATACATCTCATCTCTCCCGCCGCTTGCTATTTTTGTTTATCACCCTCGCGCTGACATGCGGCCCAACCTTCTACATTGCCATTGCGGAAAATAGCTCTGATGGGACCACGAGTTCCCTCGCTCTCATTCTCGGTATCGTCCAGTTCTTCATATCGGTTGTTGCTACACTCCTGTTTGCGACTATGCCGTCTGGACGCATGTTTGGGGACAGAGTTGCCGGAAAGTCGCGGAAATACCTCGCCAGTCAAACGTTCACCGCTTCGTATCCTGGGTTGCACGCGAAAGCGCGCTTAGGCTCAATCGCGCTCTGGGCTCTTGTTTTCAGTTGCAAAGCCACAGAATCTTATTTCTTCCTCACGCTTTCTTTCCGTGATCCCATTGCAGTGATGGTAGGGATGAAGATTCAGGGTTGTAGTGACAGGTACTTTGGCTCCAGTCTGTGCACCAACCAAGCTGCGTTCACGCTGGCCATCATGTACGTGATGGACTTGGTGCTGTTTTTCCTCGATACGTTCCTTTGGTACATCATTTGGAATACGGTGTTCAGTATCGCGCGGTCATTCATACTTGGCTTGTCGATATGGACGCCATGGAAGGACATTTACACTAGGCTACCAAAACGGATCTATGCGAAGCTACTTGCGACGAGGGATATGGAGGTCAAGTATAAACCGAAGGTCAGTTTCCGCAATCGTTACCTGAATGCACCTTAACGATGTTTTTATATATAGGTGTTGGTTTCGCAGATTTGGAACGCAATTATCATTTCCATGTACCGCGAGCACCTGCTTTCTATTGAGCACGTGCAAAAGCTGTTGTACCACCAGGTTGACTCGGGGCACGATGGTAAACGCAGTCTCCGTGCGCCGCCGTTCTTCATCTCTCAGAGCGATAAGGGTTTCAAGGGCGAGTTCTTCCCTTCGGGCAGTGAGGCCGAGCGCCGCATCTCCTTCTTTGCGCAGTCGCTTACGACTGCTGTTCCGGAGCCGCTTCCTGTAGATGCTATGCCCGCATTCACGGTCTTGACGCCGCATTACAGTGAGAAGGTCCGTGCTTCGTTTATCTTATCCGAAGTTGTCCCGACCAGACATTTTTTAGATTCTCTTGTCGTTGAGGGAGATTATCCGCGAAGAAGATCAGAATACCCGTGTCACTCTGCTCGAATACCTGAAGCAGCTCCACCCCGTTGAATGGGACAACTTCGTCAAGGATACCAAGATTTTGGCTGAGGAATCTGCCATGTTCAACGGCACGAGTCCTTTCGGCACAGATGAGAAGGGCCAGTCAAAGATGGATGATCTGCCGTTCTACTGCATTGGCTTCAAGAGCGCTGCCCCCGAATTTACCCTGCGAACCCGTATTTGGGCTTCTCTGCGTGCGCAAACGCTCTACCGCACAGTTTCCGGTTTCATGAACTACGCGAAGGCGATCAAATTGCTCTACCGCGTGGAAAACCCCGAGGTCGTGCAACAGTTCGGCGGTAACACGGACAAACTAGAACGCGAGCTAGAACGCATGGCCCGGCGCAAGTTCAAGTTCGTAGTGTCGATGCAGCGGTATTCCAAATTCAACAAGGAGGAGCACGAGAACGCTGAGTTCTTGCTGCGTGCATACCCAGATCTTCAGATTGCGTATCTGGATGAAGAGCCACCACGCAAGGAGGGTGGCGAATCGCGGTTGTTTTCTGCGCTTATCGATGGTCACTCTGAATTCATTCCTGAGACTGGCCGTCGTCGCCCCAACTTCCGCATTGAGCTCCCCGGTAATCCTATTTTGGGTGACGGCAAATCGGACAACCAGAATCATGCGATCGTCTTCTATCGTGGCGAATACCTGCAACTCATTGATGCTAACCAGGATAACTATCTGGAAGAATGTCTTAAGATTCGCAACATCTTGGGCGAATTTGAGGAGTACTCGGTATCAACTCAGAGCCCGTACGCACAATATGGTCACAAAGAGTTCAAGACAAGCCCTGTAGCCATTGTCGGCGCTCGCGAGTACATCTTCTCGGAGAACATCGGTATTCTCGGTGATCTCGCCGCCGGCAAGGAGCAGACGTTCGGTACTCTGTCTGCTCGTGCTTGGGCATGGATTGGTGGAAAGCTTCACTATGGTCATCCTGATTTCCTGAACGCGCTCTACATGAACACTCGTGGTGGCGTATCGAAGGCACAGAAGGGTTTGCATCTTAACGAGGATATATATGCTGGCATGAACGCTTTTGGTCGCGGTGGTCGTATCAAGCACACCGAGTATTATCAGTGTGGTAAAGGTCGTGACCTTGGCTTCGGTACCATCCTCAACTTCCAGACGAAGATCGGTACTGGCATGGGAGAGCAGATGCTCAGTCGGGAGTACTATTACCTGGGCACGCAACTGCCTATCGACCGTTTCCTCACCTTTTACTACGGCCATCCTGGTTTCCACATCAACAATATGTTGGTGATCTTGGCCGTCCAGTGCTTCATTGTGACAAGTATGTCTTCTCTTACGACTACGTGCGAGTTATAATTGATTGTGTTATGTAGTGGTGTTCTTGGGAACGTTGAACTCTTCTATCTCGGTGTGTCAGTATTCTTCCAGTGGCACTATTCTGCCTGGCATGGATGGCTGCTACAACTTGACACCCGTATTCGACTGGATCCACCGTTGCATCATCAGTATCTTCTTGGTGTTCATGATTGCCTTCTTGCCGCTGTTCATTCAGGGTATGCATGATTCGTTTATCTTCAGTGGGGTGCGGTTTTGACACCTTTACAGAACTGGTGGAACGCGGGACTGGTCGTGCCATTATTCGTCTTGGAAAGCAGTTCATGTCCCTCTCGCCTGTCTTTGAGGTATTCTCTACTCAGATCTACACGCACTCCATCATCAGCAACCTTACCTTTGGTGGTGCCCGATACATCGCGACAGGACGTGGATTTGCAACTACCCGTATCTCGTTCAGCATTCTCTTCTCTCGTTTCGCCGGACCGAGCATTTACCTCGGCATGAGGACCTTGATCAGTCTTCTCTATGTCACTATGGCACTTTGGACGCCTTATCTGATTTACTTCTGGATCTCAATTCTTGCCCTTTGCGTTGCTCCTTTCTTGTTCAACCCGCATCAGTTCGCGTTCGCGGACTTTGTGATTGACTATCGGTCAATTGATTCTTTTGTTTTGTTTGTCTGCTTTGCTGATGAATGCATTGTAGGGAATTCTTGAGGTGGATGTCTCGAGGAAATTCGCGCTCGCATAACAACTCTTGGATCGGTTACTGTCGTCTGTCGCGGACTATGATTACGGGATACAAGAAGAAGAAGCTTGGTCTCCCTTCAGATAAAATGTCGGGTGATGTTCCACGCGCCGGTTGGAGAGCGGTAATCTTTTCTGAGGTCGTCTTCCCTATTGTGATGGCGGTGCTATTTACCATCGCCTATATCTTCGTCAAGTCCTTCCCCGATGCAACTGGCAATATTCCACCAAATCCTCTGATCCGAATCGCGATCATCGCTCTCGGTCCAATCGTATGGAATGCTGCAGTCCTCCTTATGCAGTTCATTATCTCCATCTTCCTTGGTCCGATGATGGACCCCACGTTCCCGAGATTTGGATCCATCATGGCATCTACCGCTCACGTCCTTGGTGTCATTGGTATGTTGGGCTTTTTCGAGTTTTTGGTGAGCGTTGTAGTATATCTACTATCTGGCAGTTCTGACATAGTCCTGTTTGACATTGAAGTGGTTCCTTGAGACATGGAATGCATCCCACGCAGTCCTTGGCATCATCGCGGTCATCGCTATTCAGCGTGCAGTTCACAAGGTTCTCATTGCTGTGTTCCTATCGCGTGAGTTCAAGCACGACGAGACGAATCGTGCGTGGTGGACGGGACGCTGGTATGGACGTGGTCTTGGCGCTCATGTCATGTCACAACCCGCCCGTGAATTCATTGTCAAGATCATCGAGCTATCGCTGTGGAGCTCTGACCTTCTCATTGGTCACTTCCTATTGTTCATGTTGACCCCACCCATTCTTTTCCCATACGCGGATCGTTTGCATGCGATGCTGCTTTGTGAGTTGTCTAACCCAACACTCTTCGTGTATCACTGATATCGCTACAGTCTGGTTGCGTCCCTCCAAGCAGATTCGCGCTCCCCTCTATTCTCTGAAACAGAAAAAACAACGCCGTTGGATAGTGAGTGTTTTCAAGTGTTGGCAGACGAGCAAAGGATGCTCATGCATGACCCCAGATCATCAAATATGGCACTGTTTATGTGATCGTCATTATCATATTTACAGCACTCATTGTCCTTCGTGAGTCGTTATTGCTACTTTTCTGTTTTTTGTTTATTGACACTCTCGCTAGCCGCCGCCTTCCGCAACAGAATTCATTTCAACTGCACTCTATGCAATAATTTGTAATGAATTCATCTCTTATCTATCACTCGCATTCTTTAGATTATCCACCATTACTTGTAGTCTTTTCTGATCCTGTCGCGCGCTGGACATTCACATGAACATTTGCCAATATGTCTAGTTTTGATGACGTTTCAACCAGCCTCGTACTGCATGGACACAATTGGTGCAATGTACTACGGATACGAACTTTCATATTTGGGTTACAAATACATATGACGAAGGAAATCTTATAACTTTTTGCAATGCTAGCACTTATGTAAATTGGGAAACGATGCAGTCGTACTGGACGTTGTCTAGGGACCGTAGGAAACGTGTCAAGCTGGGACATTCGATCGAGGACTATACTTCTTATCATCATGCTCCTATACCATTTCCACAGATCTTGACAGTGGACTTATTCACAGTTTACCTGAAGGGCTCTACCGGCGCCATATATAACAGTTATGTTAAATATGAGAAATCTAGCGTTTTTGGACCCGCGAATTCCAGACTTTTACACTGTCATTCAACCGAGAGTGCTCTTCCTAACTGTGTCGTTGCCTTCGAGTCGCATACACTAACGCCACACAAAACCTGGTCGAGTCAGAAGCCGTGAGGGTGAAATGCCAACGGGATGTTATTTAATAATGTGTGAAAAGTGAATCCGCATTTATAATACACCTAGAGCCTATCCGCGTGCATCTGGTATACTTTGTTCAAGAAGCCCGCAATTAGTAGATCCAAAGTGACAGCTACAACATCCGTGCGATTATCCATGAACTAAAATTACAGCAATAGATGCACCTGCTGGGTACTATCACCGGTGGTGTCACGTGTGAGGTGTTGGTTTCCCAAACTCCATCCCAATGATCCCATGGCAGATCGCTGTTCCAACAAGATGAACAGTGGTGTCACGTTTCAAGATGACTGTAGGCGTTGGGTTTGCCAACCCCCCATCGCCTCCGTCAGAAGTGTGATCAGTCCGCTTGGCGCTTGGTTTGTATGGGTGACGGGATATCACATCTGGATGCGACTCGAGTACTGCAACTACATTTGATGGATCTGCTTAGTTGTTGCCTAGAGAGATACGGAGATGAAGCAGGGGTAGGAAACCATGGACGGTCGACGCGATGATAGTTGATAAGGAGACTTGTGAAACTTTGAAAGGCGGAACTGAGGTCAGTGAAAAGTAACCGATATGATAGTATGAACGTACTGTTTGCAACTGAGTGAGTGAAAACGAAGGGAACAGAGAAGAACAGAGAAGTCAGCATCTGCGATGCATGCCTTGTAAACTGTAGGCGACACATCAGAATGTGCAGCGTCCTTCCGCAGGTCGTACTATGCGTTTCGGTAGTTGGATATAGCGCATGTATCATCTCCTATGGGGTTTTTCCAAACGGAAAATAAACAGGAATGTATTAAAAAAAAATGATGCAGAAGTTCTGAAAATCACCTGTGATCATACTCGAGTAACTCTGCCTTTTAGCATGGCCATCGTCCGATATAGTAGCGCAACTGATCGAGTCGGCAAGGATTTCTCACCGCGGAGAATGTGTGTTGACGGCATGCGAGCACACCATTTGATTCAACGACAATGAATTGGTGGGGCGACCTCCGATTCGGAGGCTATCAGCTGCTAGAACGGCAGTGTTTGATACACTGGAAGTGATTTACGGGATTTGTAGATCTGTGGGCTCGACAACGCTGGCACGTGGGTCCCCGCCATGTTGCTGGTTCCATGGGAGTGCGCCAAAGCGCCGGGTAAAACGGATGAGTTTGACAATGACACCACGAGCAACTGCTACAACTTGTTAGAATCGGAGTAGTCGATGGATCATGCGATTCATCCATACCTCTGTATTCAGTTCATTTCACTGTGCACGAGCAGGGTAGGAGGTACTGGCTCAAGTTGGAGTAACGTCACGCAAATGGGAATTGCGTCTCCATTTAGCGTCCGCCCAAGATCGTCGGAATTGTAGGGGAACTTCAGGAGTGACATATACTGGATGTTCATTGTACACGCTAACGCCGTACAGTGTTATCGAAGTTTACGTCTGTTTCAAGCACAACCCTTCTTATCCACCCACCTTTCATTGACTCAGACCCAGGGCCAGGCTCCCTGCACACTATGCTCAAGTCAGCACCGCGAACGACTCTATCATACATTAACGTACCCATCCATTTCACTGCTGGCCAATTCCGCGGAGGATGCGTGCGTGCTGAGCTCGTCGAGATACAAAAAGCAGACCTTGGGCGAAAGTGATATCGGTGCCTCCTTCACTCGTTTCCATGTGGCTGACCATCATCATGCATGCAGGTATGCTCGCGTAGACAGACGACCTCTCGACCCACCACCAGTGGTTCAACTTAGGTTATATCGCATACATAATGAGGGTACTGAACATGAATCCGAACAAGAAGTTCAGGACTACGGGTGAGTTGTTACCACCCAGGGTTCCCAGTCCTGCTTCAATATCTTTTATAGCAACATACAATGCCTTGGATTACTATGCAACGTCGACTTGTTTCCAGTGCCCACTCAACCCGATGACTCATCGGAGTCAACCTCCTTGCCCCGTCTCCCTCGCCAACTTTCGCCAGTAGTGCAACCCATTCACCCCTTTAACAACTACCCACCACCTTCAATCTTGTCTACTGATCGATTTCCTCCCTCAAGCAGTTCGAGTAGGATTCTCGTGTCAGATGCTAAGCTGCCCCTCCCTCCTAATGTCCATCTCGATTCATTCCAAATTTTCGAAAACACAAAATGTACTGCCGCACTCTCGGGTGCCACTTTTGTTCAGCCAGCTTGTATAGACTATGAAGGCAAGAAGGCTCTTGTCTTTCCATTTTCTGTACGTCTTTCATCATGGTCGAAGGCTTACTCTCATATGACACGTGCACCTATGCAGGACCTTGCGGTAAAAATTGAGGGCGACTTCTTCCTCCGCTATCGCATTTTCGATCTCTTTGCGCGCACGGCAAGTCTAGTAGATATACCAGTGCAGGCTGAGTGCCACGGCGGTCCATTCCGCATATATTCAACCAAGGAATTTCCTGGTTTACAACCTTCGACAGAGTTGTCCAAGGTAACTTGGAACCCTTTCAAAAACAAATTTTGATTGAGTTTGTCGGATTTCTAGCAACTCTCCAGATATGGCGTACGACTCAATACCCGCGAGACGGAGCGCAAACGCAAAAAAAAGGCTTCCGAAAGTAGCGCCATCCCAACTCGAGCAAGCAAACGCAAAGCTACAAGGATTTTGCAGAGCGAGAGCGAGTGTGATTGAGTTTGCTGCAGTTACGGATCAGGACGACTATGTTCAACGGACTTGGCATTTTCATTTGGTTTTCTCCCGCGAATTTTTTATTATATATTGCAGTAGCATGTATGCACATATACACGGATGTAACACATATATACTGTTTTGCTCATGACTTGGTTGGTTCTGTTAGTGTGAGGTCTACTGTCTATACCGACGGAAGATCTGAGCCACTGCGGAGGCGAACTGGTGAGTCCAATCAGAGGACAAGGAGAAATTAGCTCACTCTTCGCTTCAGCGTCATCGTTTGACATGCCATCAAACGTTCCCTGTTCAAGTTCGTAGGGGTACCAATCATCGTCACCGTATTCTTGAGCAATCCAATCATCAGTCGACATGCCAGCTTCAGCTGCTCTCTCTTCAATTTCCTTCTCGATCCATTTCTCGTACTGTTCGTCGTACACCCATCCATCATCACAGTCGCACTCGCATGTAGTGGTGATTTCGTAATCTTGTTCACAAACTTCAAGTTGAGATTGCCCAGCTGAACCCCTCTCGGTGGCCCTGACAGGCACCCTCTTCGCTTCCTGCAGGGGTTCCTTTCCTCTTGGCGTTGGTTTGGCTGCGTTGGCACCTGCATCGCCATCGGATGAAGTGTTGGGAAGCAGCTCGTCTCCCGCTTTGTCTGGAACATCCTTCTCGACCGACTGCAGTCGGGAGATCTGTAAATCCATATTTAAATCAATATTTTCGACCGAGAAATATTTCCTCACTTTCACTTCCAATTCTTCAGGTTGCTCCTCAGTCGTACTATTGGCCTGAGCGGGAACCGGGGTAGAATCTTCTGAACTGTAGAGGGGAATACCCCGCTTCGTACCAGCAGACCTTACCTTGTATGGCGGCTGACCAGATGAAATGCACGTTATTATGGGATGGGTTCAAAGCAAGAGTGATATACTTGCCCTCGCGGCTGTACTCTTCGAAGTCGTGCTCTTGGGCATAGTGGTCGATGGTACTGCGTGAATGGTAGGTTTCAGTTGAGTTTCAGAATATTTCACAAGTACTGAATTGCGTCATATACCCCTAAGAATCATTGTTATACGGAATATAGTGTAGGTATGCATATGCTACATGGGTAGTTGTCTAGATGTGCGGAATGAAAAGGTATGAATGCAATGTGAGAACACCTCGTAATGTCCCTTATATCAAATAAGACTTTGGCACTGGGGGCACACAAACACGGGAGAGCTTTTCCTCTTCGGGGGAATAGCTGCTTCAATGTCCACCTTATCCTCCCAGTCAGTAGGTAAAGAACCGTCAAGCAAGCTGCGGTAGATCAGTTGGCGGGCCGCCACCACCGCTTTCACATTCCCGACGACGCCCCCCGCTTGCACGCCTTTCACAATCTGTTGCTGAGCCGCCTTCACAAGCTCTTCCGGCAATTCATCAAGGGGATCTGAGATCGAAGATTCAGGTCCCTTTCTCCTTTTACGGCATGGTCGTGAGCCGACTAAGTCTTCGATAGATAGCTGTTCATCTGTATCAGGCCAACTTTCGATAAACTTTCGGGCCCTGGCGGTTGCATCTAATCTTTGTGTCGGTCTTTGCAGACATTCTTGATGGTAGGCTGCACAGCAAGCTGGACGCGGGCAGAAATGCATTACTGGGTCTCGATCGGGATTGTAAGATACACCGCAGCAACAAGCAGTACGTGTAATATTCGGCTGTTGAAGGGATGAATATTATCACTTCTACTTCAAGTAATCGTCGAGGGTACACTCACGGAAATTTTCCGAGCGCGGTATTCCAAGTCGAATCGACAGAAGAAATCATCAGAGTCGAACACCTCTTGGTCGATAGAACGTTCATCATATCTCATGACAGTTGCATGATCTACACGGACAGAGTTTAATTGACGATGTAGCACGAGAAATAGGAATTTACCACAGAAACTTGCTGTAGATACATAATCATAGTAATCTGACATGATCCGTTCATATTGGCCACAGCCACTAACATCACTTTGATACTTCAGAAATTGTTCACAGATGTCAATTCTCCGTGCACTCACAAAGACTTGATTACAGAGTTGACTTCCTGAGGCGACCAGTACCACTGTACAAGAACCCATACCTGCGTCATGGCTGAGCGAAGATAATACCAGAGTCAGTGGCAAGACGTACATCTTCGTCGTTTCTGGCCCTAATTTCTTTGATTCTACCAATCCAATACGCAGTTGGATGGTGTAATTTGTCCGGAAGCACCCCTTCCGGTAGAATAAATGCGCTGTTGAAGGTCAGCATTCACTATGTCTTGCTATAAAGTCAGACACAAACGTTTCCCCAATGGAAAATTGATGCTGGTTCCCCTCTTCATCAGCAACTAAAACCCAACAATTACCACCGTCAAGCTGAAAAAAAGCGAAGATATCATACCTATAAACGAAGCAAAATCTGGCATCGTTTTCCATTCGCTGTCGGCGGGTATGCCGATTGTATACTTTGGTTTTGATACTTTTTTACGCGTAAAAAGTGACTTCTTCTTACGCCGAGACATGTTGAAAAGTGAAGTTAGAGACGACAGTTTAATTTTCAGCACTCAATGTCCCTTGAGGTTGTCTGAGTTCAACCTGTAAGACGCGAAGAAACCTGAATGAAACGCGTCTGTGGCACCATTGGAATTCAGTTGATGATGTAATCATTCCATGTAAAGCGATTCGGCGTTGTACCCTCGCGCACAGTGGCACTTTATACGAGTGCACTGATTTCTTGTTCTGAGATATTGCACACCATGGTCTTCTATTTTACGTCTTGCATGATTAGGTATGTCTTCATATATGCTCAAAGAGTCACATACCGATGTCGCGTTTAGTTCGGTTGTCGTTTTTCTTTATCCTGGCTATGCATCCTACAAGACCCTTTCCCAGAGACCAGCCTCCGAGGAGGAGTTAGAAAGATGGCTCATGTACTGGTCGGTACTGGGATGTATCGTCGGCGTCGAGTATGCTGCAGAGTGGCTTATTTCATGGTCAGTCAGTTTACATCGATGGTATCAATGCCAAGGTTCTGATACACCCCTTGCGCGTGTAAATAGGGTACCATTCTACTACCTCGTGAAGACTGTATTTCTTCTCTATCTAGCACTCCCGCAAACGCGCGGCTCATCCTACCTCTACATCAACCATCTTGAACCATTCTTCCAGGCTCATGAATCCCAGATCGATGCGACGCTCGCATCTTTCAAAATTCGCATTTATGCCTTCATCCAGCAAAGGTTTCGTATTTTATGGGATGCACTCGCTGCGGTAATCGGTCAACAGCAACAGGCCCAATTTGCTCCCGCAGGCGGGGTGACAGACACCGGTGTACCCCCAACTTTGGCTGACCCTGCATCAGGGCCCGCTCGGCTTGCCATGGGGCTCTGGAACTCGTATGGCCCTACGATCCTCGCTTCTGGCACAGCACTGCTGCGTCAAGGTGCTGCGGTAGCGGGAACATCTGGTGACCAAGCCTGGAATACTCCCGCAAACACTTTCACAAGGCGTTCTGACGCAGGTCATCAGGGCTCCTTGAAAGATCGCAGGCGCGAGCTTGAAGCCGAGCTTGCGTTCATCAATTCGGCAGAGCGTCCTGCTGTCTTGACTCCCCCCGCTTCAGGTTCCGTCCAGTCACCCTCCCGTACATCTTCGGACTTTGAGTTGCGGGAGCGTGGGTCCAGCTTTGTTGGGCGATTTGAGGAAGTAGATGTCCCCAGCGATGCAGAGGGGTATGACGTTGATGGCGACTCTGGTCGAGAGGGTCGTGACAGGCCTGAGGCAAGGAAAGCTGCCAGCTGGTTTGGCTGGGGAGGTGCGGCGCCAAGCAAGGGCGGAAAGTCGGATTAGTTGAAGGCTTGATCTGGGGATCTGTATCATGGTGATGATAGTTGTATTTACATTTGGACGAGATGTGCATAACTCGGTACATACTCGGTAATTTTTCTGATCATGGTTGTATTCTTTCATGCGCAATCTGTAACATTGTCGTATTTATTTCGCCGGTCTGCTGCAACGCGGCTGCCATGCAAGAGTTGAACGTTTGAAGCACGTACATAAATCGCCGTAAAAAAAAAACACCAACGTGATGAGCAATGTTCTAGTCCGCACCAAACAATTCCAATCAGATTTGGACTGACTCTAGATCCAGTCAAATGAGAACGTAAATTGAGTAAGTAACTTCTCCTTTTCTCCGTGTGACAGTGGAACAAGCCGAGGAGCATCTCGAGGTCGCTCTAAGACCAGCAGGCTGGCAATGAGCCTTAAAATATATGAACACATATCGTAACTGTACAACTTCTTATCAAGCATATACTTAGATCGCAGCTTGAGGCGGAATTGCCGCAGTGGCAGTGGCAGTGGCAGCAACAAACATGGACCCTAGGTCCCCGTCTCACCCTGAATGCGGATGAGTATAGCGCACAAAATACATATGACATTACACCTTTTGGAAGATATTGATCTCAGTATTATCCGGTGGCGAAAACGTGTACGGTAAGCTTATCATTTGCGTGCCATGCGGCTGACGCGGAGCTGGATTCTAAAAAAGCCGACAACCAGACGTTGAAAAAAATCAAGGTGAGTTGCTATGTCTATGAGAAGGCTTAAAGATATAATGACCTTTGAATAATAGAATCGTCCTTGAAGTCGCCATAGAAATGTTACGGTGGTTGCAAGTTTCAAGAACGTATTACAACCACTTTCGGAGTGCATTTGTACATGATACTGTCATCCCAGCTTTGACCATCCGGTGAGGGGAGGCGCACATGTGGGAGTATCACGGAACAAGTCTCGGAAGATGAATGTGAGAGCGGAACCAAAATTACGTAAACATGCCATTTGCAGTTCTAAATGAAAGTCTTAAAGTTAGGGACGACACAATGCAAGGCCTTTTGCCTCCCTTTCCTTTCTTCCTTTGCCCAGCTCTATGCGTCTCGGTTGCCTTAGATATTCACTCAGCCTAAAGTCATGCCTCAAGCATCCCGTGGAAATGCTCGTCAGCCTGACTCCAGAGATGTCCAAAAGGCTATGGACAAGGAGCAGAAGAGAAGCCGAGGCGCTATGTCATGCGCCGAGTGTAGAAGGTGGTGCTCCATTTGTGATCAGTTTCCTCCTCTCATCTTTTGTCGCTAGACTCAAACTGAAATGTGATAAAACGATACCGTGCTCTTCATGCAGACGCAGAGGCTGCTCCGCCATCTGTCCTAATGGTATGTTCACGTGTTCATCTGCTGTAAGATGCCCTCTTATCAAGACCATGGGCGCTAGGTTCCCTCACGACTGGTCAGGGAACTCGGTAAGTCCCCTACGAGCCATGTAGGTGGCTGAAGCTCCATGTCAATGTTGTTCCTCGTTTCAGGTTCGTGCTAGCAGATACAGAAAAATTGCATCAGAAGATCGCACAAATGAGTGACAGGATTCGTCAACTTGAAGACGCACTTTCTATCTCACAAACCAGTCCTGGCGAACAGCATCCTCTTCTGCATAGAAATCTTCTCGACATCAAATCGATCATAGATTTGCATGCTGCTATAGATGAGGAAACGGCAGGTAAATCCAAGCATGAAGTCGATGATGACTCGCAATACATCGAATCTTTTGGGACGCTCGCCATACGGGACGATGGAGCTGCAACTTTCTATGGTCCATCCGCCGGGTCAGAGGTGAGCATTGCATTGGCAGCTTTCTTTACAACGGCTGATTGCATCACCATAATGTCTTTAGAGCTTGCTCATCGTATGTTATGAGGGTCCTCTCAATCATCCCGCTAGACTAATTATGTGCCACAGGGAGAGTCTGCTGTATCATCGACACCTGATTTTAGTCCAGGCAACAGGACACAGCATACTGAATATCTGTCTCCCAGTGTCAAGCATCTGTCGAAGTCTTTCCCTCTAGCTCCAGTGTTTAATGATGAGGTTGATCTCAACTACCTCATTCAAAATCATTTACCTCCTTGGCATCGTGCTCGTCACTTGAGTGAGCTGTATCTCCAGCAAGCACCATGGTTCTTTGGAGCGGTAACAAAACGGCAACTCATGGAGGAGAACCTTCCTTTATGGTACGCAGAAGCATCAGATCTCATCCATCTGGGTTCCGTGGCACCATCAGTAGCCTCGGGGAATGATGCTTTGAGTAAAGGTCCTCATGAACTCGCCTTGATGTTTGTGATATTCTGCTTTGGGGCACTGACGGATCACAGATTGCCCCCTGCGCCAGACAACGAGGAAGCCGACATGTATTTCAAGCTTACGCGCGCTGCCCTAAACTTGGAGCCCGTACTTGACCGTCCACCATCAGTGGCGACCATTCAGACTCTGGCTTTACTCGCAATCTATCAGGGCCTTTGCAGTGGAGAAAATAGCATTGAGAGCACCTGGGGAATTTTTGGACTTGCAACAAAGTTAGCTCAGAGCGTAAGTGGTATTGGTTTCCTGTTTCCACTTCTTGACGCTGTGCTATATAGATTGGACTGCGTCAGTAATTCAATAATTTGTATCATCGGTCAAGTTAGCTTATTATTCACTGCCAGACCGTGATTGCGCCCGCTGGCAGCTACCTTCACAAGAGGTGCAAAAGCGCCGTGCGCTGTTCTGGGAGCTATTCATCACAGACGGGTGGCAGGTAAACCTTGTCATTGTGATTCTATCGGATGTTACTAATCAACTTTCACACAGTCCTTGGCTACAGGTCGTCTTGCTACGTTTTATCTGCCTTTCGTAGACTGTGAGCTACCTAACGACCCCGATTCCACGGTGGACGAAGACGGAACTGTTTTACCAAGCTGTAGGTCCCACTTTCTTCTCTTTCGTGTGCTGCTCTCAACGATGATAATCTCAGTCCCGGCATGGAAGGCTCGCTTTGGTTTCCAGTGCATATCCGCAGTCATCCAACATGCACAAACGGCTAAGGTACCAAAGTATTCTGTTGTCATCGAGCTGGATCGCACGATTCGCGACATGGAGCTTCCAAAATACGCCCAGCGACCTCCCAGAGAGGGCGCTGAACTTGGAGAAGCGATGAAGCATTACATGCCCCTGAACTACCGACACCTGAGTAAGCGATTCCAGCAGTCTAATATCAAAGCAATTTTCAACTTCGTTGCAGCTCTGCTATATGTTCATCGATGCTTTTTTGCGGAAGCTGTATCAAACAACCCCACAGACCCTATGAACAGCCCATTCGCTCCATCGTTCCTTGCAGGGTACCGTAGTGCCTGTGAACTGATTAACGGTCTTCGCACACAGTTCGACTTATTCCCAGCACAAATCGCTCGCTTCTGGGTTTTATGGACCCATGCGTTTTCCTCATCCGTGAGCACACCCCGCTGGCATACCATTCTGAATACCATGTTGATACTCCAATATAATTAGGTGATGCTGTCTTCTGTCGTTACGCATGCATCTGGAAGCGGTTCTCGGTCGAAGATCACTACTGCAGCTTTGACCGAGCTGCGACGCGCTGTCAGTCTTTTCAAAGAAGCGTCTGTTTTTGGAGGTCGAGCTGGAAAATTCCTTGTACGTCAGCACTAGCACTGGTATACTGAGCACCGGACAATGCATGCTGACGCCGATGCCTTCATAGCCTATCCTTGAGAGGCTGTTGCAGAAAGCTGAGCAGGCATACAGTACTGCCACTCCTACCGTGACACGACGAGATATATTCTCGAATACTGGTCCAACAAAGTCGAAGGACGAACTTTCGATTTTCAGTGGACAAATCAACAAGGTTGCCACGAAGGCCCCCGCACCACCGTCTTCAGGACGGACCAGCCATTCACCAGGAAACAGCTCCAATCTGAGTCAATCTCCCCCGGTGCAAGTAGAAGGCACTCCTCCGCAGTTTAGCAACATTCATCCATCGTTGCGCGAGCAGTGGAGCAGTTTCGAGGGAGATATCAATACTCAGCTTCACAACGCTCAACGAGACGCATATTACACAGAAGACGATGATTTCATGGTGCACGCATCTACTGAGGATGTACGCGGAATGACCAGAATACATGAGGGTACATACCAAGCCCAACCGGTCCAGCATCAGCTGCATCTAGGTGCACAGCCGCCACAGGGATACCGTCACCACTTTGCCCGCCTCGTCGCATGGGTTGTCTCAACCGGTCGAGGCACAGAAGTCTTTCCAAGGCGAGAATCAGCACCGGGAATCTGTGTACGCGTCTGGTAGTCAAGGACAACGCTATCAGCATGAGCCGCAGTACGCTCAGGCGCTGCCACAATCTCACTATCACCAGCCTGACAATACTCAATACCATGCGGAGCCTCATCAGCAACATCCTCAGCAACAGCCTCAGCAACAGCCTCAGCAACATCCTCAGCAACATTATCACCATCACCCTGACCCCCAGCCCCAGCCCCAGCAATACTATAGCCAGGAACAGCCTGGTCATCATATCCATGATCCATACCAGTCATCATCCTTCAGTACTGCAGATCCTTACGCATCTGGTGACTACAACGCAAGACCCTCCCAATCATATTGGGAATCTGCACAGCAGTCGTATCAGGCGCAGGAAAGCACTGCATATTATCAGTCCTCGTACCACGAAAATCAGTACCAAATGTCCCAGCAACCCCAAGCTCCTACAGAATACCCATCGGTTTCACATCTGCAAGAGACGTGGCAGTCATTCAATGTTTACGTCGGCTCGCCGCGTCGGCCGACGTAGAACTCCGCTCGTCCGGATCTGTACTCTAGTGTTTTCATTTGGTCACGAAGTATTCCTTTCGGTTTCTTGATATCCTCTAGCGCATTGTGTATCATTACTGCTCAAATGTTGTACATAAACTATACGTCTTCCGTAGGTCGTAGACCTAAAGCCCTTGGCATAGGTACTTCCCCCTTGTAACTTGCGCTCTGCAAAGCTCCAATTCCGTTGGTACAGCGAGAATTGAAGCCAATAAAATCCCAGAGCTATCGGCAAAACCAATGGAACCTATCTTGAACTCCCGCTCTTGCTTTATGACATCGGGATTGTGCGTCGAGCTTGGATCCGGTTGCTCTTGATTGATACAATAGAACACGTTGACGCTAGCAGTCATTCAATCAGATCATCAACCTATATCTGGACAAAAATAAGACACACTATGCCAAACCGCCACATACGCCTTCAATACTGATGAGTATGAAAACCAGGAATATATTTCCTGCCTCACGATCTTCTGGAAGTAGCCCGATGGCGGATTCAAAGACTAGCAGAAGCAGTATCACGAACTGGATAATAGCCGGAGCAGGGAGGAGATGGGCCGGAAGGGTTTTCAAGCCCAGAGATATGCTTGAACGAGAGAAAAAGACCGTGGTTTGGTAGACTAGCTATGAATGGATCGTTATCAAAAATGTATTCAGGATCACGGCGAGTTATCATGCAAACCTGCCAAAGTGGATAGTAGTCGCGGGTAGAATGAATGATCTTGCTGATGAGGCCGTGCGACGGAACGGGAAATAATAAAGTCGGTGCGACACCCTGTATATGTTCAGAAAAACTAGAAGTGCAAGGATAGAAATGACGTACCTGGTTGATAGTATACTCAAGCTAGGTTGTGCAGGTCAGAAGGCATGCTCTGTGTCTAAAGAACATCGACTACTCACGGTATAAACACAAACTAGTGGTAATTATTAGACACATAAGCATCGCGAGTGATAAAGACTGCTCACATAGTGGAAGCATATACTTCAATAACATAGGTTTGACTAAACGCCATTTATCCGCAGCTGATAAGCGGACGGTAACCTTGGGCTCCACACGAGATTCTACGTCATCTTGAGCATCATCAATTTCAGTCTCAAGGTCATCAGCGGGGACGAGCGTGTATGACGCGGAGGATGACTGATGGATGAATGCTGCTGGACGGGGGAGCAGGAAAAAGTATGCCAGAGGAAGGATGAATGGAAGAACCTGTGATGCAATATGAGCCATTGTTTTGGCCGCTATGCCTATATTGTTACCGCTGAGATGCCAACACCAGTACTGACACCCAGACCCCTGAGTTCCCACCACATGAATGCTCCGACAACACCTGCAGCTCCTGTACCTGAGGCGAAGTACCTGTCAAGTATAATCAACATGAAATAGCTCGAGGGGTGAGACAATGCGGACCCAACGCTTCGACCTCCTACCGAACGGCTGTATGTTGTCGAAAGTTGCAAGAAGGTCATTTCTCCCAGACCTATAGTTTGTCGTTCACGTGAGAAACACTGGCGGGTGTGTATGATGCATGTGTAAACTCACCCGACGAAAACGACGCGAGACATATTCCCAGCAGCCTCGAATACAGGCTTTCGTGGAAGGCAACGACCTGTGTGTAACATGAATTGTGATTTCAAAGAAAGTCTGTTGTCATATTACCAGCATGCCTATAAAGCTTAACGCGCAGCAGGCGACAATGCGTCGAGCATAACGTATGCGACCTTTGAGAAAGTACGGCCACCCGAGCTTCACAATTAAGGCCGGAGCGATATTACAAAAGGCAATGATGCCCTTAGGTGTTGACGGAGGGACGAGGTCGAGTGCAGCCGAAAGTATGATGACGTAGAGTACTTTATGATGATCAGCGCAGCCATTTGAAGAAACAAAGATGGCACACCGTTGTTTATGAGTCCAAAGAGAAAGAAAGAAAGTCCAAGCTTCAAGGACAATCGTTTCTTGCCTGCCGAACAAGCCAAATCAGTAAGGTTTGAATCTCCATTAAAGAATGGCGTCATGGTACAAGGTAAGTACTAATTCTAGCTCAGCCCGGCGTCTACTCCATGGTTTGGAAAGCTTTGCTACAATCAACACAACACTTGCCATGCACATCGAACACTGACCTGTGCTTGGTATAATAAAATGTCCTTCGGTATGGAGAGCGGCTGTGCTGTGGGGTTCGACTGACATCTCCGAGAGAGCACCGGCTTGCCACTGGATATCGCGGGCACGAAGAGAGTTCTGGCGTATAGACTGGAGTTCCTGATTACCTTAATAAGGCTCAGATGGATCAATATCACGATGAAACACTGCAGCTGTGCGCCTGGGATGATAGCTGGTCAAGAATAAAGGTGCAACATGCAAAACACGATGCATCGCTGTCCCTCCGGATCTCAGCCAACCCCTAAAGAGGGGGTCAGTAACTTGGGGGCTCATCGACACAATTACACCAGTTAGGAGGCCCCGGGCCCCACGGTAGCTCTTACTCCCGAACTAGTCACTTTTATGCAGACATGGATGTCTTCGTGCTGCCGCCAGCTCTGAACAAAACTAATATGATATATCCTCGCCCACGTGTCAGACGCAAACAAATCTAACTGTGGGAATTTTTTTGCCATTGGCACCCGTCAAGACATAGTGTCTTCAATGCCCGAGCAGGGTTCACTGTGGCTACCACTCAGCAACGAACTACTTGCACGTCCGAGTCGCGTCGTCAACCACACTGCAACAAGGCGGCAAGAGCGGAAACACGACTTACTGTAGCTCGGCGGGTCACGTCCCCTCATTGTTGGGCCCAGGAGACGGGACAGACACCATCATCACTGACAACTGGCATAGACACTGTCAACTTGAAAGCAGCAACAACAGCGAGGATGAAGGAAAGGCGCATTATCTGTTAGATGTGTGCGGTAGGAAAACAGCTTGCTTTTATGTCCTGAATAATGTTCTGCTCGCCCAAAAAACTTCTTCAGAACAGATGTCATTTGTATTGCCAGCAGACCTCAGGTCTGATTTGCTCTATCTTCGACATTATCTTAGCGGCAGAACACTAGGAAATACCGGTAATATGTAATTTCAACCCGTTGTGGCATACAGCCTGGGATAGGTGACGACGATGATCCCTGGAGATGGATACTGACAGAAATTCAGAGTCTCGTCATGCATGGGAGAATGCTAAACTGGATACCAGGATATCAGCAGCTGGCTTGGGAGATCTCGAAAGACCCAGGTATACCTGTGTTTTCGGAACGCACACTATGCAATATCCTATAGTGCCAGACCCCGGCAAATTTTTAGCCCTGAAACGCGTTGTATATACGTGGGCTGACGTTGGTTCTCTATTATAGCAGGTACAGACGTGGCACTAGACACAATTTACCTGTGTTATCTATGAGAATATCGCGAGGACAGAGCGCTGGTGCACGAAACCTCTGGGTCCCCTGCATCATGCCATGAACGTCAGAGACTCGGAAGTTGCAAATCATTGTCTTCGATATTCACACATGTTCAACTAATGATTCTGCCTGATATCTTGACTTTTTGACACAGAAGATCAATTTCCATCCCCACCTGCAACTGCCATTACTTTCCAATTATCGAACTTGTCGGTAGATCTTGTGATGCGTCATGTTTTCTGCCATTCCCAGTCAAGCTTGTTCAAGACATATTCTCCTAAATAAATGTCTTTAATGCTCGAACAGTGTCTATTCACTGTGACAGGCTGACAGCCGAGCACTCGGCAATGAACTACTTACATGTCCCAGTTGTGTCATCAACCACACTATAGCTCGATGGGTCAATTACTGACACACATAAATTCGGTCTACCACGTCGGTAGTAAGCCACGGGGTTAGATGAAAACTACTCATGCTCACATCATAGGGGTCAAGGACTACTGGCTGGCAATCATAGGAAGGGCAGCAATCACCCACGTTGCAGTAGACAGGACAGTCACCGTCATCACTGACAACTGGCATAGACACTGCCAACTTGAAAGCAGCAACAACGGCGAGGATGAGGGAAAGATGCATCGTGATATCTTATATGAGCTTTCAAAAACAAATCTGAAGGGTGAGGTAGGAAGCTTACAGCTTGCTTTTATATCCTGAATAATGCTCTGTTCACCCGAAATACTCCTTCAGACAGATATCATTTGTATTGCCAGTTTTAAATTTAATTTGCTCTATCTTGAAGATCCTTTAATTAGGAAATGCTGGTAATATATAATTCCGGCCCGTTGTTACAGCGGTGACACGACGATTCCTGGAGCTACTATGTAGGCTAGGCTCAAGAATCTTGCAGTGGACACTGATAGAAATTTAGGGTTTCGTCATGCATAGGGAAACACAAAACTGGATACCGGGAGATCAGCAGTTGACTTCGGATATCTCAATTCCAAAGGAGAGTGCTCTCAGGTGTTATTTTTGTAGCACATAGCGGCCTATGCATGTAGGTCATTATGCGCTGATATAGTTATGTTTCACCATTCACTTTATATAATTGAGGGACCAACACTGCTAGTGCAATTTTCAATTCCGCACCTCAACGTGACCTTGGTTTGTGCGCCATTTCTCACAGAAGATCCTAGGCCCGCTGCATGTACACCTATCATCGCTTTGAACGTACATTACAACTGCGCAGAATTTTTGTGTACGTACTCAAACCACCCCGTCAAAGCAAAACCTACATCTCGCAATCACTCTTCAACATCCAGCGCGTATGTCCCCACCGGCTCGGAATACACCGGCTCGGATGCGTTTAATGTATCCTGACTCTGGGGTCATATGTACATAGACTCTTGTCATGGCGTCGTGCCATTCGTCAGGCATCACCATTTTCCCAATCGGATCCACGGTCTACCAATGTCCGCATGCGTAGGGTATAAAAAGCAAGCCTGCTTCTTACCGTGTCCACTCACCTCAGATTTATCAGATCCCGTATCATCCTGTACAGAAAATGCGTTTCTGCACCCTCGCCGTTATTATTACTTTGACAGCATCTATGTCTGTCAGTGTCAGTGCATGTGTTGGCCCACACGCCAAGTGCAATTTCGACACGAAGCCTTGCTGCCCTGGCTTTTATGGTTGTGACCCTGAAACTGTGAGTATGGATCGTTTGTTTGATTCAACACCACGGCTCACCTTTGTAATACTCATAGCACACCTGCGAAATCATATAGTTGTAGCCAGAGCTGACGATCACAATACTAGGTCATATCCCTGCCTTGATACCGTGCTTGATGGCATAATATGTAGTTCGTTGCTGGGTCGATCGAGGTTCTGTGTAGGATTGAACAATGTATACATTGTTTTCCAAGAAATTATTTGGCGCGTCAGTATGCTGGAGTGACATTGTAGTCGGTAGACAGTGATTGTACGCTTTGGCGTGTGTTGTTCCACGCTTAGATGGGCATTGAATTTAAAATACTCCCTGACGATAAAACGTGAAGATAAACATCAAGTTTTGTCTCCAGATAAAATCGATCACCTGACGATCACCCACTCACGAGCAGATCTCTCTGTTTGAGAATTGATTTGTGAAATAACACTGGTAGAAACCTGCTGCGACTAGGACTGCACAACGTAGAAAATCTCTGGGTTACTTGCTTATATATGTGAGACATACAAGGACATCCCTTCGATCGACTCTTCGACGATATATTGTGTTCACAGTAGCAACTCGTCCTTCGTTCGTTTCTCCAGATAGACATATCGTGTCTTTTCGTTGTTCTTACCCTCGACAACGCTGTGTACAGTTGACCGTGGGTAAAGGAATCCATTCGAAAGTGGAGCACGGTTCGTGCTAGTATTAATCCTCGATACCATCGAATGTAGTTGCATACGCGAGTCGCAGAGGAAACTCTTCGACTCACTGTCCACGACGGACAGTTTGGATGGAACGCAAAGTTGATGCGGGGGATGCGGTCATGGCTCTCAAATATATTGAGGAGTTGGACTTTGACAAACTGACTGTGTCCGAAGGTCCTAAGGTAGTGTCTTTGATAGTCATGATGCACTGATCTCCGGTGATGTTGTGCATGGTGGCCGTGATAATCATCAGAGAACTGGTGAACAAACTAGAATGTCATATATAGTAATATATAGTCCATAATCACAAGCATCAGCATAATTCTGCTATCGACCATCACATTATCATATTTGACCTTGTAGAGGAAAGAGGCGTTTTTGATGTCCCTAAACCAGCTCGTGATCGGGAAAAGACCCTCGCATTGCTCAAACTCAAACTTTGAGGGCAGGTGGAGCAAACGCCGATGAACAAGCAAGATGGATTCCAACTACCATCTTGGAATCACGGGCTATAATGTCGAAACTAGGCATAAAAGCGAGCACCGTCCAAAAAACGACAATGTGTTTACCGATCAGCGATGATACATTAATTGCCTGCAAATATCACGGTCGAGCCGAGCGAACCTTAACTGCCATGTTGGAAGTAATATTCATAACTTGAAAGCTAAGCGGGAAGGCGAGCACCTTCCGAAGAACAACCATGCGTTCACCAAGTGAACGACAATAAATTTGTACCCCACATTGAATTTTGACGCCATCTGTTTGAAATGCTTGATGTTCGTAAATCATAGGACCACTGTCCATGTAACACTGACGGCAGGCACTTTCCGGAGAGTGACTTTGTGTTCATCGTGCGACCAAGAATTAACTCGTGTTCTCCTCAGGATTTTGATTCCATCTTCTTTAGATATCTAAGTTTGGCCTGCCATATATCGGTTGGGAATCCGTGCGAAAAAGCGTTACCCTTGCGCAGCTGCCGCGTGTGTTCATGCTACCGCTATACACACCACCTGCTTGCAATGGCTAGTTTTCTTCAGCTGTTGGAGATTTTTTCATGTAAGAACAAAGGTTCGTATCTTTCAGGCGACGAAGATGTGTTCATCGAGCGAGCGAGTCTCAATTTGAGTCCCGCTGCAGCTATTAACGACGTCTTCCTGAAATATCTAATGATTCCATACTATACATTGGTTGGGAATATGTGTGAACATGCTGCACCATTTCGCAGTAGCACAGCATATGTTGATCAAGCAGGAAACAATCAATTCATACGATACCTCGAGTATTTAGGCAATCTAGTTTGGGCGAATAATGACTAGCATTGGTATACCAGTTGTGACTACGTCCAAAGAAGTCGCAGCTGTGCACGGACATTGTGAATTTTTACATAGTACTTTAGAAGAAAACTTCGCAGCCGAGGGTAATGCCTCACTTCGGTATCACGCATTCCATTTGACAGCCTCCCAGTGTTCATCCCACAGACCATTACGCTCTGCGCCGTAATTAGCACGAGACCATAAAAAACAGAGACCGTCGTGGTCCTGCTGTAGGTCCTGGATCCAGCTTATCGAACGTACGTAGGCGTATCCGCGAACTGGTGCCAGAATTGTGCTATTGGGGTGGGTGCTCTGAAATACAGACATAGACATGGTCACGCTGTACTTACCGGATCTAGCTCATCGAACGTACGCGGGTGCATCTGCAATTCGGTGCTAGAAGTTTGATATTAGTATGAATACTAAAAAATACAGACACGGGAATGATCGCGCTGTACTTACTGGATCCAGCTCATCGAACGTACGTAGGCGTATCCGCGAACTGGTGCCAGAATTGTGCTATTGAGGTGGGTGCTCTGAAATACAGACATAGACATGGTCACGCTGTACTTACCGGATCCAGCTCATCGAACGTACGCGGGCGCATCTGCAATTCGGTGCTAGAAGTTTGATATTAGCATGAATACTAAAAAATACAGACACGGGAATGATCACGCTGTATGTTCTGGATCCAGCCCATCGAACGTATCCACGATCTGGTGCTCATATACTTATGATGTTCCATGCGTTCGTTCCACAAAAAACAATTATTATGATATTATATTGATAGAGAATAATAGTATGTACTAGCACACTACAATTGTAAGCGAGCGACAGAGTTCAGGGTGAATCAAAAGTGAGGTCGTCACGCTGTGCTCTCTGCCTTGCAAGGGCATTGACAGACATGTTTTCCTTTGCTGCAGTACTGATGTCGTCACGGTAGTTCCTTCCAAAAACTTTCCTGAACAGAGGACAAGTGAGTCTTATTGGGACAGCGGGAGCGGTACCTAACGCACCTCGTCCACCACTCCAGGAGTCTGTCGACCCTACGATGGGCTTCTCGACCAGGGGCCCGTTCGAAGAAGTCTACGATAGTGCGCCAAAATTGAACGTAATCAAAATCCCCATCAACGGACCGCCACGAAGTGACAGAAGAGAGTGTGAATCGAACCTGAAAATTTGGTCATCATCTCTATCATGAATCTTGCCAAATGAATTTACCTGGCACGAAATGTAGGCGATAGACCGAGGAGTAACTTTTCTCATCTTGATGATCTGCGCTACGTGTTTCTTGACTTTGACACCAGCAGCGGATTTCTTAGCGAGTCTGTTGTTTTGGATGACATCGGCCCCATCACCATCGCCCTCGATGACCTTTGCGGAGGAAGGCGACGTGAATACAGCTTTGTAAGCCTGCCAAAACTTGTGAGATCACTGTAAGGTTACTCGGGTGCGACAAACCTGAAGAAGAATTTTGCCTTTAAAAAGCCCCTCCTCCAGATCGTCCGGGTTGGTGGTGTACTTGTCATATAGAAATGCCGGGAAGGACAGATCCGTCACAATATGGCCATCAGTGCGATCTCGAATACCTGCCCTTGCGCTGCTGAACAATCAGCGTCTTTTCGCAGCATGCCGAGCATACTACTTACATTGGGTCGTTCCAGTCAATTTCTGCTGGGCAGAGCAACCTACCACATGCATCGTTGATGAACCCACGTGAATGCTTGTCGTCGGGGTCGACAGGGGGTTCTGGCTTGAATTCTTGGTTTACCCATTCGGAAACGAGTGTCTTGAGTTTCGAGGTATCGTCACCTCGGGCGCCGTCAGCCCCCTGCCGAAGCTAAAGAAAAATCAGGAATGTGACAAAGCCTATCATCAACACGTAGAAAACCAACCATTTTAATCATGTGGACATACTCGTCATACTCCATCTCTACGGCCTTTTTATGGAACCATGGCAGGGTATTGGTGAGAGTGACGTACCCTACCTGCAGTCGATCTTGGCTATATAAACAAGCGCATGTTTAGCAATCGCAGACTGACTTGAAGGGAGAACGAATTACTCTACATTGACTTCCTCATCACCACCAGTCAGCTCGTATCTTCGGTCATTTTCGGTGACGAGATCCTCAACGTTGTCGAACAAAGAGACCACACGCCGGATCGCCCTTCCTTGAGCCATATATTGGTTCGATTGCCTGATCGATGATGAGTAAAGCCGACTTCATGGGTGGAATAAGTGACTATACCTTTCTTTTAATGCACGCCCCGCCTCGAGAACCTCCAACTTTTCCTCCAATTGAGCAATTCTGCGCCTTTGTCGAGCCTGTAGAGATGCCGCCGCTGCCGCCGTGAACTCTTGGCTGGGCTCGCCCTGCTGGCCCTCCGAGTTCAATTGTGCCGTGCTGCCTTCGTCCTCTTGGTGCTCCATGTGCTCCATGGGTATGAAGAAAAGATAAAGCGAATCAGAAGGAAGTTTCTCGAAGAAGGGAAAGGTGCGAGATGAGCTTGGTTCTATCCCAGCTCATCTTATATAGTGGTCGGGATCCCACCTCCTGCGACTAGCCTATAAACGCATAATCCTATTTAGGGAATCGCTAAATAATAACGTTAATACGATGCCTTTTTAGGGAAATATTGACGACATACGACTTTATAAAATATCTCACTAGTTTGACGGAGGAGTCTAGTGATAACGGAATAGACTAATCGTGTCGGATTGCGTGAAATGTTGATGTTGTGGTAAGAGAGATAGGTGTGGACGGGTGAGGATGACATGTTAAACTTGCCGTTGGACCATTCAAGGCAGCCGGCCTTCGTTGCTTCATCGATATTGTCCATGTGAATCGGTATGATTTGACGGAATCTTGAAGTTTACCTGCCCGAAGGAGTGCATGACAAAGTTTCTGGTGTGCAGTGAGCCACATTGATTTGAGATTCGAACCGAAGAGCTGGACAAGGGACTCGGTTATAAAAAGAATTTCGGATGTGTATCCACGTACCACTACCAAGTCCTCGTACATATAATGAATAGGTGAACTCGATAAAAGCGCGCTTGAGTTGAGAGCGGCAGTAAAATGGCCAGCGGCTTCTTCATGACGTGTGCCATCCAAGGCCTCGATTCCGAGTTGAACACGCAGATATGCCTGATGTGCGAGTTGCAGATATCAGCGTCGATGACCAAGTGTGGATGATACTTACTTGCACGACACAGCACCCAAGAGTATCGGCATTCGGACAACCAGCAGCAAGGTCTTTGAAGAGCAGGCTTGCCTCGCCATGTTGACCTGCATTGAAGAGGGCGATAGCCTGAGATACGCGATGAAGCAAAGGGTAATATGTGAGGCAAATGTAACATACTTTGATCAAGAGCAGTGAATAGAGGATTTACGAATCTTGGTCTGTGTACAGTGATGCGACATCAAATGCTGCCCTCCCATCCGGGACGCGGCCTTTTCCGCAGAGGGCAATATGTCGCCGTCGAGTCAGCCTTTCGTAAGGGGGCCATGATCAGTGCATATAACTCACCTTGATTGCATCCTGCAGAGCGTTGTCCCAGTCGTTTTGTCGAGCCGTCACGGATGAGCGATGGGCGTAGGAAGTGTGGTCGTTCACATTCCTGTTGATATCTTGCGTGAGTACTAGGTCTTCGGCGGTAGATAAGTCACCATCTGTGCATGCATCGCGGGCTGTTGTGATGGCGAGAATCTGTATAGGCCGTTATCATATCCTCAAAATGGTTTAGAGTCTCCAAAGTACGGCTACATAAAAATACCACTTACAAAAGCGTTGTTCCAGTTATAGATGATACATTGCTTAGATCATACACCCCGCAAACGAATGTAGCCACGTTTCCTGGAACCCTTGCGCCCAATGCAAGGTTAGAGTGTATTTGCAATTCCAGCGGATGACGTAGATGATAATGATACTTACTACAAGAATACCCAGAAGGTAAAAGCTACCAGAATCAGGTCAAACGAGGCTAAGAGTAGCGATTGGATTGGATTGGTGAGTGATTAAGAACACGGTGGTTTGGAATCAGGTTGATGCCATGAACTTTTCGATCGCACATCTCTTGGCTCGAGCGGCTTCAATGAGTCACCCTGTCACAATTGATACCGTAATGTATCAGATCCCCGTTCGCATTTCGGTCGTGTGTAGTCATATCCTATGACATCGCCGCTAGAGATGGAGAGAAGACACATCGCCACATGAAGGAGAAAGTCAAAATGTGTCTCGTGATTCGCGGTATTTGAACCTGCTGATTGGCTTGGTTACTGAAAAGCCTGGGCATAGAAGATAGATTACTTTCCTTCCACATGCTAGACAGCACGAGACAAAAATTTGTACATCTCCGAGGAAGCGCATCTCGTGACAGGTTGAAATCGGCTGTAGGGCGATGTACGCATTTGTGGAAAGCTGCGAGGGTTTAGTATGAGGACTGCTGGCATGAACTGTGTAGTCTGGATCTAATGTCAGTTCGTAACCTCGCAGATGCAAACACCGTCTCCCTTTAGGTTTTTCTGCCAACAGGAAAGCATGAGCGCATGTCTTCTGGTCCTTAAGCTGTGTTGCACTTACCACAATTTCATGTCACGCGACAGATGAAGTGATAACCTTTGCTATCGCGCTTCCGGAGAGCACGGCATGTGAAATAGACAGTCGGCAAGGGCCTTCCTGTACAGTGTAACACGTTTCTCCAACGCGTCCCTGAACGCGCCTGGAACGTGAATCTTCCTTATAAGGTGAATGGGTGACTATCTGCAGGCTCAAATAGTGCCGAATGGAATGGAATAAGTAGAGCCGAATTTGCAGAACAATGTTGTGTACATGCGATGATGCATGATGGTCTGACCAAAAGTGAGTGCCATTTCCTGACAAATTTGATTTCCAATAAGTCAGATAGCAGCGTCATTTCATCCGAGCACGAACCGAATGGACCGTTCTTCATACCTTCAAACAACAGCCTCGATTACGATAGATGTGAACATGCTCGAGTTGTGATACACGAGTCAAGAATGGAAACTTGCCGGGCGTAGGAAATTTGAGTTAGGAAAGTCCGCAGTCTGGTAGTATTTGGCAGTGTGCGACTGCGTGCTGACTCATGCTTGTCGGTCAGTGACGTCAGTCACGGTGGTGGGCGTGCAAGGTAATAGTACGTATGCCGAGGTTGATGTAGACGTGTAATCAGGTTCGAGAATAACTAAGATATCGAACATTGGTCATGTAGTACGGTACTGAGTAACAGATGTGTGAAATATTTCGAGACAGACGTATGAATACAACTGCAGAAGTCAAAATCAAAGGTCAAAGACAGCAATCACTGAGCCAATTGAGCCAATCTAGCCATAATAGCCTTCTTGAAGTCCTCCCATCGCTTCCGCAAAACAGGGGACTTCTCGATCGTCTCCTTAATGTAATTCATCAGTCTCGTATACAAGTCTTTGAAAGCTGCGCCCGAAAATTCGGCATCAGAGGATATTCTGCCCCTCACCCTCTCCAAGCCACAGCAAACTGCAGCAGCAGCAGCGCAAGCGAGACTATTAAGATCCTCCAGGTACCGGAAGAGTTTGAGCTCCTGAGCAGTGTCTAAAATGACGTTCAGAACTACCTCATTTTCAAGGAAATACCACAGGTTGTCTGTGCCCAGTCTCATGACAAAATTTGGGGGGAAAACCCGATCGTCGAGGAGGTGTGCAATGACAACTTCCTGGTGCTCACGTTCGGAACCTTCAGACCATATAGGAAGACGTAAACTGAAACCATCCACGACGAGATTGCAGGCGTGTTTCCTGCAGCACTGCATGATGCTTCTGCACGTTTCGGATAAAGTCAAATATAACGTCCCCAGATTGTGCGACGCCCATTCGGCTCCTTGCGCTATCGACGCATAAACGAGACATCAGTCAAGAAAGAGGCAAGGCTTACCCTTCATGACTTGTGTAGCTGCTCGTGTCAGCTTACTTTCAACTAACTCAAGTCTGTCCGCCTCATCCGACAACGAACTGACATTAATGGCATGTTTGGTGATTTCTGTCTTTGCAGACCTTACGATATGCCTGTGGTCCCTGTTTTTATCGTTGTATATGAGATGAGCTTGCGCCATATATCTGGCCCCACGCTAGAATTTTGTCAGTCAATAGGTATTTGAAAACCGGAATCACTTACGTTTCCCCTCCTTCCTCGTCGGTCATTCGGCCCCCCGTAGAAAAGGAAGGTTCTGTCTTCTTTGGGCATCGTCGCATTCTCGATGGAGTTTCGCATAGGCTCGTCGTCGGTATTCGGTGGTAACAACACGTCCCTGTCCTTAGAAAGGACCGGTTGAGTAAATTCTGGGATGAAAGCATTGAGGTTTATAGGATAGCGTGGTGTGACAGAGACGATCTTGGAAGGCGTGATTTGAGTAGGTTCGATGTGCACGATATTATCATGCATCTGAGACACAGAGTTATTCACATCCGGAGGGGACATATACGTGGGAGCCTCTAGGTTAAACGGATCGTGTATGGGATTGAAGGAAGGGTATGGGATGTCAAGAGCGATTCCTTGGTTCGGAGGTAACTGTGGCACAGATGATATATCGTCATCAAGCGCCAGATTGCCTGCAGATGAGGAACTAAAATTTTCGTAGAACTGCGGGTTGGCAGGCAGCAGTTGGTTATCAAAGAGGGATGGGGGTGTATGGACCTGAGGGTAGCTTGGAATGTGCCATGGCGATGGCGTCGGCATCACTGGCATTCCCTGCAGGTATGGATTGGTGGATGGATCATAGCGGTGTTCAGAATAGGCGTCATTATGGTCATGGTAGATAGGGACATCGGCGGGGGGAAGCCAATGACTCGGCTGGGGAGCAGAACCAGACGCATGCGGCTGAACAGCTCCTGCATGCTGGTGACTGTGCGCATGTTGCGACAAGGAAGGGCCAAGTTGCAACGACATCGCAGTAGGGTCGAATCCTGCATTTCGTAGCATGTCTGAGTCAGAGTCATCATGATTGGGGTATGTATTGCCAGCCAGCGGTTGGCCAATGCTAGCAAATGGCTTCATAATCAAGTGGTCAGAAAATGAGTTAAATCAAAACGGCGTGAGCCAGTTTTGAGTAAGTCGGAAAGTATGACTTACTAGTACCACCAGCGACTCGGATGCGAAGCAACTACGATAGGAAAGGCATCAATTCTCGACACACGTAAAATCATATGCAGCAAGTTACATGAGGCACACGCCTGGAATCTGATAGGGTGATTGGGAGCAGAACAAACCATTCGACCTTTGAGCGAAGGATAATATTCGGGGAAGTATACATCAAATCAATTTCCTAATAAGGTAATAAGACTTAATGTTACCGACTGTAACCGACAATTACAATCATAGACCAAATAAGGCATCAGACATATGCTTCTAATAGGAGCGATGACAAGGTACGAACTATGGAACAAAGTTCAATATTCAACTCTGGAAAGACACGTACAGGCTACACGTGTTGAAAGCCGCTGGTCTGCTGATTGATGCCGGTTGAGACCGGGTTTCAAGAAGTGCATTTACGTGCACTTGGCAGGGAAAGTGCAGCGTTGTAGTAATTAAACCCTTCGCACCCTCTTTTCCCAAACCCCAATTAGTCAACAACGACTCATCTGAAACGGAGACTAAGGTTCGAGTGTGCTGAACCGGTTTGAAAATTTTGCAACATTTCTCCCTTACCTCCCAACGTAATTCAAATACGTACACTACCTCGTCCCTCGGTAACGCCACTAGGCTGGAATCCGCTCCGGGGATCGCATCATGATATATGCCTCGCGGCTGAGTCGTCACCCCCATAAGTTGTACCTAAATATCTCATTTAATTTACAACTTAAATCATTGTTACTTATCGATTTTTGTTGAAAGCGGACAAAGTCACGCTGGGTGACAGCCAGCCGAGCGCTGCCGTGGCGGAGTTCTAAACCAATACCATCACTGGCTGCGACGCGTGACGACGTGGACATTACCTTGCGAAACAAGGTGCCATCATTAATGTCATCCTTGCTTTAAGTCTGTAGGTATCCGTTTGAACCCATGGCGGCTTTGAGACACAATAAGTATAACAATTTCATAGATGTAAAAGAACATTGATCACAGGACACGTAACGTAAACAGCGAGACACGAACTTGATGCTGTGGAGAAATACATGATGTAAATATAAGTGTGAATGGGCAAGTATCTTGATCTGAACACTCTGCCAGGAAATACGTCATTGCAAAATGTCAGAACTCTACGAAACCAAACTAGACATCAGTGACCATTGGGCCGTTGGCAGCACAATTTGATGTATCGCCCAAGTTGCGGATCGACTGCTTCAGCTTGAGATGATCTTGTAAAAGATCAAGCTGAGCATCAGTCTCCCGAAGAGATGTCTTGTTGCATTGACGAGTTGCAGTGAGATACTCGACATCTGCCGTAGTACGGGAAAGCGTCTGCTTCGTGACAAGTGCTTTCAATAGCCCTTGTGTTTCTCGTTCTGTTCTACGGAACTCCAAGTCTGCTTTGGCATAAAGAGATGTAAGGAGAGTGCGCAGCCTATTCGTTTCCTCGAGCTCCCAGTACGTTGTGAAGAGGCGCATACGTTGGCGTTCACGAACAGCTTCCTTGTAATGAACGATATAGCGGCAGGATGCAGGGCTAAGCTCATCCATAAAATTTAGAAATACATCATTGCTCTAGGAATTCAATGCATATAATGAGAGTTATGTATGACTTAAATTTAGAGGTGCCTACCTTGCTGTCCGGAGCTCCCAATTGATTGTTGTAATCAGCCTGCGGTCTGCCTAGTTGGCTATCAAAAGTATGAATATCTTGGAAGCAGGGAGGCTGGCGTAAAGGATGAAAAAAATGATGGTTGTTGTTGCTGTGATGCTTCGCTTGATGCGATTCGGCTCCACGAGAGGTGCCAATGAAAGGGTAATGTGCGCCGCCTGAATATTTGGAATCAGGGGTCGAAGGGAAGCTATCCTCGGGATCTGTCTCTGAGACTGTGCTCGTCGTCGCTGTCACTGGTATATAAATACATTTACACCATGTTACGAGTGGTTTTACCTCTTGATGACAAGGGAGAATTTGGAGCAGGACTTAGATTACGACCAGCATTGCTGAGACCGTAAGGACGTTGAGGTGATGTAGATAGTGGTGTGATACACGAAGTTTCGCATGGAGGAGGAGCACACACATTCATGTTTCAGCGTAAACTCGGAAGGTGGGTTGTCTGGGGGAGTTCACCAGAAAGCGATAAATAAACCATTCGGACTTTCAAAGACCGTCTTATTTCCTTTTCTCTGCTGTTCTGGGAATTCAATATTCACATCGGGCAGGAACTAGTACGATGTTGGGATATTAGTGATTGCCAAATTTGGCATATGCGGAGATTGAACACTTACTGGCTCGTGTGATGACATAGAAGCACTGGCAAACCCTGGGAAGAGGATCTCGTGAATAGACAACGATTGGACCGCTGCTCATACATCATGATGTCGCGATTCCTGTACGGCGAGGGTACACAGAAGGGTCATGGTATCCTCAGGCTGTGCGCCATCCCGCACCAGAGGGCCCACTCGATTTCAGGACCCAAACCTTAATTGGGTAGTGCCATGACTCGTCTATGACTAGCCTGTGCTTGGCCTTGAGGACTCCGAGTCCAAGTCATCGGTTCTCTGATTAGTAGGACACTGTTATCGTGATGCTGACCTTTCTCAATTAGTTACCCAGCTTAGCACAATGAGAACAAGTCTGGACAAGAGCCGCGGTGTCCCAATCCTAACGCGAATATTTGGCAGTGAAAGACCAGTCACACAGTGACTAGGGTATTCAAATAGGCTGCCTGACATATCTGAGTCACGGCATCGTGGCATAGCCGCAATCACCTACTATGATTACTACTGTAAATAAGCATCACCATCGACCCACTAGTCTAGTTACTCACATGCAACCGTGACCGTGCCTCTCCGTGCCCCCCAACGCACAACACCCCACTGTAGCCGTCCTTGCCCTCACGATGCAAATAGTAGTGCAACCTGGAGGGTAACGCGAAAACACTCGGGCTCGGTTTGTCCTTCAAAAGGATGGTTCACATGAGGCGGCCATGGACGAGGCTGTGTTACAGAGTCCCGCTGGTACTAGTCGTAGACCCCAGCACCACTCCAGAATCAGTTCTCTCCGTGTCTCTCTAGCTGGTTCTTTTGCTACCCGACGAAGTCGTAGATCTGAGCGATTATAGAATGCAATAGAACAGGGGTTTGGTGAGGGCAGCGCGTGTCATGCCTATGAGTGTTCCATTATTACGATTACCAATTTTGGTATATGCGGGCTGAGTTGTGTCATATTAGGCTAACAGCTACAAATTACATATTAATAAATCGCTGCTAATGTCGCTGAAAATTGATCAAGCTCTGAATTTTATTCAACCTAGAGGCAGACAAATTACAATTTGTGAGTGGATATGCCGTCACTGGTAACACAACTATAAGAACTTACCAGAGCCAGCTTTGAATTCTCAAATAAACAACAGCTGGCCATGTCTGACCGTACCCATTACGCGAATACCCAACCCTCTTGGATCGAAGACATGATGGCGCATGTCCAAGCTGATCGACTGTCCGAATTTTCCACATGTGGCGGCGGCGACGACGTATCGGTTTACTGGGAACCAGAATGGTCATCTTTCACAGACCCTTTTATAACCAACTCACCAACAGATACCATCCTCCTTCCTTCGTCCTTCAAAAATCTTCCGACCCTTCCATCATCCCCTACCGAGAGTCCCAGCGCTAAACCCTGTATGCAGCTCGGTGACACTGACGTGTCGCATGAAATCGAATCCTCTGTCACGGTATCAATCAATGTTCCTGCCAACGAGAAGAGGAGGTCTCGTACGTTTCACACCCGTCATCAAGGTACTGCACTTGAGCAGTTGCAAACTGTCAAGCAGTTGAGCAATAATGACATAGCGGGCGTTCGCATTGGGCAACCTGATGAACCGAAATCTGTGGTTAGTGACGGCAGCCTTGTTTAATTGTGCTATACTAACGAGAGGTCAGCAAACCAAAGCCGGTCGTGTAGGGGCCATACGAGTTAGCACCACCAGCGCTCGTCAGACTTGCAAGAGGAAATTCGAAGATGACGTCAGACACGACTCAGATACAGAACAGATATCTCCGAATCCCGCTCCAATTAGGAAGCGCATTTGCCGGGAGAAAACAGGTACAGACTGGCAGACGGTCCTCGACATAATTGAGTATGGTGATGAACGAAGTAGGAGTGGAAGAGCCCTGTGATAAGGTGGTGATCGCGAAGGTATGGAGGGTTTTAGTTTTAAAAGGTTTGGATGTCGATCATAGTAGGCACGCCAAATATTTTCATTTACACCTGAGAAAGTATTCACCAGTCGTAAATTCGCGACTGGAGTGCGATAAGGTGCCTGAAATTGGTGAGGCATTACAAAATCATGAAGAAATGAAAAAAAAACTTGCCTGGCTCGTTGAAATGCTAATTCCACGAACAATCCAACGGTTGGGGGAAGTTCTCGAGCATCTTTGAACCAAGCGAGCATCACTCGGACTTGCTCGATTGTGTCTTGGGTTGCAGAAGACATTGACTGGACCAGCTGAGCCTCTACGACAGATGTCGCATTGATTGCACACTGGTGATGTATTTATTTCAATTAATATTGGTGGACTCGATAGAAGATATGCCTCACAAAACCCCCACTTCCTGTGGGTGTTCTACGACGAGTGAGTCCGACTGAGTCGTAGCGCACTCGCCCGATGTCCACCAACATCGTTACTGAAATCTGTGGCCTCCTAGAGACTTCGAATACGAGAACCAGCCACTTGAGAGGTGGCTCGTGATCTTGAGGCTCGCAACACGGTGAGGCTTTGGCAAAGTGCGAAAGCTGGTGGTCCGTCAGCTCGAGAACCTCGACCTACAGCCTATCGACAAGATCAAGATCTATTCTGACTTCAAGATTAATGCCCAGCTGCTGATACCATCATACTCGACATTAGCAAAGAGCCCCACGCTCCCTTCTTTATCAGAGGCTGCAAAGCTTGACATCGAAACGATTCTCAGGCTCATTATGGTGAGGGAAAGAGCGTTGCAGAAGGCGGCAGAGGATGGATGCCGTTCACCGACGAGTGCGAGCGCTGGGGATGAATACGTCAGAAGAACCATATGCGAGATCTTTGGTCTCCCCAACTCTTTAACGACTAAGCCGTTAAAGACTGCTGCTGAAGGAGCTCCCGCAAATGGGGTTCATGATACCACGGGAGGCTCGGTTCCGATATTAGGGAATCCCACTCCGGGGGAGAGGAAGAAGAAGAATGCCAATGCAAATGGCACCTCCAACGCGGTGAGTGACTGTTGTACATTCAAACTCTTGTTTACTTAGTCTGCCCAGAATGGTCAGCATACAAATGGAAAAACATTCTAAGGTACGCTGCAAGACGTTTTGTTGACACTGGGCTTCTCTCGTTAATTCACAATACGATCGTCCATTCAGGTATAAGAATATGCGCTCGCAGTAGAAAGCAGTCGCACGAGATTTTGTCTTGCATGTAGGCGAAGGGAGAAGTTCGCGTAGGCGCACATGTACTCTCTGTGGATATATTGGTCCAGTGTATATTGTGTGTACAGGTTGAAAACATTTGGACGATACTCACCAAGCAAGGAATTCAACTCTCTGCCTCGATTTTTTTCCGTACTTGGTAGACCAGTCAGTTGGCTGCTGTGTGTGACGGCAGGAGCGACTCACTTTGCTCCAGATCTTTTCGTTCCCATTCACCACTGACACCAAGGTCTGCAGGCGTTTTTCGGCCCCATAACACAGCCGTCCATCCAATGTTAGTTCCGTCCTTGTCGGGAGACTGTTTTCCCTCTCCATGTATACAGGCAAGGTTACGCGACTTCGTAATATCTTCGTCAGATATAAGCTTGCCCGAACGAAGTTGCTCAATGAGTTCTTGCAGAATGGAAGTTTGAGCCTTGAGCCTTGCTCAGTCTTCGTCGGCTGTTTTTCGCTGCCACAGTAAGTGCATAGAAATTGAGTTCAAGGCTGTTGAGTATAGTATGTGAAGGATATACTGAGTACCGGACATGATGGAAGAGAAATAAGTGTACCGCGGCAAATGCCGCACTGTCGCCGGGCAATGGGCATCGATGCACGTTGTATCGAATTCGCTGAAGGATCGCAAGCAGCTACTAGTGATGACAATCCACACATGCGCAGAAGAGTCAGCTTATAGTATAGCAGACAGGATTTGATGCGAATCTGGAAATATAATGACTATGCAGGCAAGTGGCAAGTGGCTTTTTACTATGTGGTAATAAATGTCAGGCAAGCCATCATCGCAGTAGGCTAGAACTCGATGGCCATGAGTTGACAGTAACACAACTAGCAACCATGGTAGCTTGAGTGGGTCGAGTGGAAATCAGGGGATCCATCACCTCATCTTCAATATGGGACAGTGCCTGCGTTGGGCTGCATGTAGTATCGCTCGTTCACTTAAAAGTGCGATGCGCGGGTCCACGACCATGGGTCCCAGATAATGCGCCGTTCATACATTTAAGTAATACACCCAGACCAAGGTAGCCCTCTTGCTGTGAACGTGAATCTGGAGCTTGACCAGTAACGCGGCATGGCATTCATAAGTGGTCTGCTTATTTGCGTACACACCTCTTAGTGGACACGTATGATGACGTGCACAAATAAGCTACACTAACTGTATCGCCTCAGTCTGGTCGAGACAATATAGGTTGTAAGCTGCCAGCCGCAACTGGCTAACAGCAGGCTCGAAGACTCCATCCTGCCCGAGTTTCATCATGATTTCTATTTGAAACGTGATAAGCATAAGATTGTCAACTGACGGGGTATGCATACCTGTGGGTCTAGAATTGGACCACTTATCCAAGACGCGAGTTCAGGTTTATGTCCAAAGACTTGCGAGAGCGAAGTGCAGACTTCATCGCGTGAAACAGGCTTGCCGTCCATACAAACGCCTTTCGTCGTGATCGAAAGTTGCTGTTTTCTATTCCCCGGCGTGGTAACAATCAATGTCAGCTCAGTTTGCGGGTTCTGCAGTGGATAGGCAGCAATTTTTCACGTCCAGTGCATCGCCCCGTAGACCAAAACTGCCAAACCCTTCAAAAGTCGCAAGCTTTGGATGCCCGATTGCTTTTCGGGTTGACGTGGTCAAACCGCCTTGTGGACGTGGTGGAGTCAGCCAGATCCTCTTTACATTCATTCCACCTTTCATGCCAACCATAGATGCCACCCAACCTCCAAACGCGAGATGCATAAAAACTAGACCAGCACGCTGGTCGGGCGGAGTTTGCACTGTGGCTTATTGCCTATAGTGTTGGGGTCATCGGGTATTGCGGGCTCGGTTGGTTCCACAGGACGCGTGAAATAGTTCCAGGAAAGCTCACACATTGCTAGTCTGCACACCATTGAAGTTAAACCAGCGCGTACAAAATCAGAAAAACTCACGTGCAGACCGCATCAGCTATGAGAAGTGTCCAGGTAAACTTGATTAAGATGCTGGGGTTCTTGAGTTCATAAAACGGTTGTCCTTTTGGTATTTGGGTTCCTTGAGCACGGCCAGGGAACAGGAAAAACCACCTTGAGCGATGTGCAGTGAAAGTAGATCGGTTGCAGCGGACTAAAGCTTTAGTAGTCTTCCCGGTCACGTTCCTGTGCTGTTTAACTCGCTTGCATCCGGCGTCTTCCGCTCCAATAGAAAGTCTGCTTTGATTTATGTAAGCTCGGATCACAAACTTGAACGTTGGAGTCTAACTGTGACTGACATTCATGTCAGCTAGCTTGATATGCGCCTTTTTGAAATTGTATGGACTGCTTTCTTCTTATTTCTTTTAATGGTCTCTTGTGATGCTCCGGGTTGCCCTTGGGATAGGCCGACGGACTTTCGAGGACTCAGTAGACATCGCGCCAGCTGCCGTTTCTTCAAGAGAGTCAGCACTCTTGCGAGTGAGAGGAGACGAGGTCGCGCAAAAGATTCTGTCCTTTCCAATTTTCTTCCAAACTCTTCGGCGACTACATCACTCTCAGCTGTTCGACATGTGAGGGACGGCCCGACTCTGAAGCCGGTTGCCCCTCGCAGACTCCTAAGGTCGATGTCTATGGCACATGGGCTAAGCCGTGCATCCAGTCCCGTGTACTTGCAGCACTCAGATGGGGGACATAATGACCACACTGATTTTGAGATGGGGAGTTATTCTGGAAACATGATGGACCATCACGATACCTCAGGTTGGTGTCTTCTTAGGTGGCCGCTTCCGAATTAATGCATTGCCAACAGGAAACCAGACCTCCAATGGGAAGGCAACCAGACCTCCAATGGGACGAATTCCGAGACCTCTCGATCATATCGAACATTTGCGCGATGACCTCAATCATTCTGACAACGGTGACGTCCAAGTCCCATCGGTTGAAGGTTCAACTCCCCTTTCCGCTCGGTCACGAATTCAACGTGTTATTCTAACACTAAGGGATACTCTTCAAACGGCGTTCAACTCGTTTAGCCTCTGCAGATTGTACCCTCGGCGTCCTTCGTTTGAGCCAGATGCCTTCGTCCCATCCACGCTACTTGCACGCACATCCCCATCAGCCACTCCAACAACAGATTCCCCACCGGACGTCTTGCCGCCGCCTCACCCATTCCCCAACATGACCATATACCGCCTCATGTCCTGGATGAACTCGGGTTCTAACCTGGTATCTGAAACTAAGGTCTCGCAACTGGTCAGGGAGGTGATGCTGGCCGGGGATTTCGACCTAAAGCACCTTGATAATTTCTCAGTCAGGCGCAGCTTGCAACAGTTGGATATGGAGAGCGGGAAAGGAGTCACTTTCCCTGATGACTGGATTCAAACGAGCGTCAATATCAACATTCCAACGAAGTCACGGGAAGACGGCCCTCGCCCTTATACCATCTCTGGGTTTCATTATCGTCCTCTTATTGACGTAATTCGCGCAGCATTTGCAGATGTCCAAGCACGGGCCTTCCATATCCTACCTTTCCAACGGTTGTGGAAAGACCCTTTGGACGGCCACCAGGAGCGGATATATGACGAACTCTACACATCTGATGCCTGGTTGGAGGCTCAGGACGGTCTTCAGAGGCTACCGAAGCAGCCTGGCTGCTCACTGGAGCGTGTCATCGCAGGCCTCATGTTTTTTTCTGATGCCACCCACCTGGCAAACTTCGGAACTGCGAAGGCTTGGCCGCTGTACCTGTATTTTGGAAATCTGACCAAATACGCACGTTCATCGCCTCAATCAGGCGCATGTCATCTTGTTGGATTTTTCCCCTCAGTAAGTTTAATTGAACATAGCATGATCTCTACTTCTATTGACACATTTAGCTTCCTGACAGCGTGAAAGACGTTCTGAACGGCTTGTCTCGTATATCGAAAACTGGCATTGCTTCTCTCCAAACTCATTGCCGCAGGGAGTTGTTTCAAGCATGCTGGGAAATCTTGTTGGATGAAGATTTTATTGACGCATACCGCCACGGTATTGTTTTGAAATGCGCTGACGGTGTGTTGCGCAGGGTCTTTCCCAGAATATTCACGTATTCAGCGGATTACCCTGAGAAGTATGTTGTTCTACTAACTTATGAAGTTAAATTACTCATCGCCTTGCAGGATTTTAATCGCGACGATCAAGGACATGGGTTTGTGTCCGTGCCCTCGCTGCGTTACGCCGAAAAACTTGTTCAGTTTCCTTGGGCTAGTGGGAGATATGAAAAGACGTGTAACTAACCTTCGAGCATACGCTAGGGCAAATGTTGTTAAGGCTCGTGATTTTATCTATGGATTGGGAAATACGGTAGATGGTGCTAAGGTAGAAAATGCGCTAGGGGAAGGATCATGGGTACCGACTCTGGTAGGCGGAACGCCTTCTCTTCAATTTTACGATCTGATTCAGAATATCTGGTGGAAGAATCGTTTTGTAGATAAGCTCGGACACCTCGGCCTCGACCCGTTCAGAATGCTTGTGGTCGACTTCATGCACGAGTGCGAACTGGGCACCTGGAAGGCGTTGTTTACACACCTTTTAAGACTTCTTCATGCCCTTCCCCAGGGTAGTCAGCTTATCGCGACCCTCGACAGCAGGTACGAGTTTATACAGAGCGTTATTGTCTGCTGACCAGTTGGTAACTTTCATTTAGATTTCGCCAGATACCAGCATTCGGTAACGGCGTGATTCGAACGTTTTCAAACAATACCTCCGAGATGAAACGGTTAGCAGCGCGTGACTTCGAAGACATTTTACAGGTTTTTTTCGGGTCACTTATTTTCTGCATCAGATTTATTGACATGCCCTCTGTTGTCAGTGTGCTATTCCAGCCTTTGAAGGGCTATTCCCCGCCGACCATGACGCGGCCGTGCAGTCTCTACTTTATCGGTTTGCCCAATGGCATGCACTCGCGAAGCTCCGGATGCACTCCGAGTCTACCGTTACCTTCCTCGAAGACACGTTCAAGAAACTGTCTAAGAAGCTACGTAAGTTTCGAGACTACACTTGTGCTATTGTCAACACCACGGAATTGCCCAAGGAGAAAGCGGCTCGCCTACGAAGGGCTGCTCAACGGTCTGAAACCAGTAACGCCCCTCCAGAGTCCAGCGGTACAAAGGCAAAGAAGTTTAATCTGAACACATACAAATTCCATGCGATGGGAGACTACGTGAGCACTATTAGGTTGTTCGGGACTACTGATTCTTTTACAACTCAAATTGTGCGCATGGATGATTGCATTCCTACTTTGCAGCTGAGCTTAACTTTGGCTAGGGGGAGCTTGCCCACAGGGCGCTGAAGGCATTTTATCCGCTAACCAACAAATTAGATACTCCGGCGCAGTTAGCCAAACATGAACGCAGACGCCGTGTGCTACGGCGGGTAGCAGACGCAGGAAATGTGCCCTCCTCTAGCAGTCCGTCGCAAGCCGAGACCCCACCTTCATCACTCTCTGGTCATCACACCATCTCAACTAGTCGAAATAACCCAGTAGATCTATTTGCGTTTCTCCGAGAAAATAATGGTGATCCCGCTGTCAAGGTATGGGTACTAATGCGTTTTTGATATTTTACTCATGGCGGTTTTCAGAATTTCATGCCGAAACTGAGGGATCACGTACTCTACAGGCTTCGAGGGCTAGATGTCGCCTACTGTGACCACACGTTCACTGATCAGGAGCGTAATACAGTCATTATCCCCAACAACAGGATCTATTCGGTTCAGACTATGCAAGTTCACTATACCACTTACGACTTGAGGCGCGAATACGACACCATTAACCCCAGAAGCCATGGGGATATCATGGTGCTTTCAGGGGAGACTATGCCTAGCCACCCGTATTGGTATGCCCGGGTCTTGGGTATCTATCATATGGAGGTATGGCTTCAAGACCATGCTGGGGGTCAGCCTGCAAAACGCCACCTTGAAGTTCTCTGGGTCCGATGGCTTGCGGTGCTTCAGGACTGGAGTTTTGGCATGAAAAACGCTCGTTTACCCAAGACTGCATTTGTAGAGGAATCGGACCCTGATGCGTTCGGCTTCCTCGATCCTGGGCAAGTAATTCGAGGAGCGCATTTGATTCCTGCGTTTGCCTCGAAACGTGGTGTAAGCTCCCTTCGCCATGGGAAATCGTTGGCACGTCCTGGGGGGCAGCTAGATGATTGGGAAGAGCATTATGTTGGAATGTAAGTGCGAATATATCTTCCCTGACACATTAATCCTCAAACTTCTGAACCAGATTTGTCGATCGGGATATGTTTATGCGCTACACTCACCTCGGTATCGGTCATTCAACTATGCTGCGGAGGATCTCCAGAGACTGTCTTGGCTCTGATTTGGTGACCCCAGACAATGTCATGGATATCATACCTGGCGGGCAAGATTTGGACGATGGCGACGGTTCTGATGGCGACAGCTTGGATGGATTTCATGAGGATGGCGAAAGCAGCGATGGCGAGGGTGATGAATGGTACGATGATGAGTTTACTGATGAGGAACAGGATGGTGGCGCCGGGGATGAAGGGGACGAGGATGAGGCTGACGAGTTTGATGAATTATCTTTCTGAACTTTTTCGAAACTTATCCTTCCAGTCACTAGGTCACTAGTTGCATCTCCAACATACCGCAGTTTCAGCACTAGAACCACCCTCCCCGACCCCTACGTCAGTGGAGGAGAGCCTTGTTTCGCTTGGCTCGACTGTGATATTTTGTGTATCATCGTTGATTGGTGAATACATTGTCGGTTTTTGGATGATGCTCGCTTTCATGCCTAGTTTCGACATCATGGCGCGCGATTCGAACATGGCGGTTAAAACCCATTAAATTTGCTTGTTCAAATCTGACATCAGCGCTTGCTCCACCTGCCCTTAGAATTTGAGTTTGAGTGATGCGAGGGTCTTTTCCCGACCACGAACTGGTGTTACAAGGTACGATCGATAACAGAATCATGTCGATGGGCTTGTGGTTACGGATTATATATTAGTATATGTCAAAAAGTATTCTAATTTGTTCACCAGTTCTTCTGATCTGAGTAACCCAGGCGCATCAGGGCCGGAGTCGGAGTCGGTTATGAATTGGGACGGACAACAGTGACAGTTGAGTCAGCTTTTTCGTTTGCAAGTGTATTACCTTGTTTGCTCCGTTTGTTATCGATCGCATGGATGACTTGAGCGATTGAACCAACACAGTGCGCAACAACATTTCTGTAGGGTTGTCACAAATTTGTGAACACCTCCAAGTCATTATGATGTTCCTCAGCAAAGGACGTCGAAGGCGATTGCGGCAATGGCAATACTGCCGTCTGGGGAAGACTTGGAATGGAGACATCTGCCACACCTCATCGTCATGCATCCGCACTTGATGGCTGCAGATTTTTCTGTTGACAGCTGCTTCAGGCTAAACATCGAGTTATATCTACTACTGATAAACACTCAGGCTTACCAAGAATTCCAATCGTCTCTCTCAAGACCAGCCTTGTCTACCGACTGCTGTGTATTATGCCCGTTTTCCAGACTTCAACATTTGTCCTGTCTGTCAATGGTATCTCTGCGACGCCTCCAGGCTTTCGATGAGCTGTTACCTCTCGGCGATGGGCATGCGTTTTAGACAAGGACACTACAGGTGCGATATCAGCTTCCACTTCCTGCACTCATTTGGAAATGTGTTTTCATCGACAGACAATCACCGCACCTCATTCTCTCGAGATTAAAAATATATCGTCGACCCTTCAACTAAGGCGTTTAGCAGTCATTCAGCAAGAAATTCGACCCCAAACCTCATAAGGGTCAGTCGTCCGTTCAATTCAAATTTCGTGGCCGGTGCCTGAACTGATCTAAGCCAACAGGTAGTCATATGTATATACCCAAGACCATAGTTAGGAAGTTGCCAACCCGCAGTTCTACGAAAATTTTAGTTCCTCATCTGCAGGCAATCTGGCGCTTGATGACGATATATCATCTGTGCCACAGTTACTCCGAACCAATGAACATACCCTTCCTCCGATCCCATACACGATCCGTTTAACCTAGAGGCTCCCGCGTATATGTCCCCTCCGGATGTGAATAACTCTGTGTCTCAGATGTATGATAATATCGTGCACAGGACGTTATATTTGACTTTATCCGAAACGTGCAGAAGCATCATGCAGTGCTGCAGGAAACACGCCTGCAATCTCAGTCGTGGATGGTTTCAGTTTACGTCTTCCTATATGGTCTGAAGGTTCCGAACGTGAGCACCACTAGTAATTCAACCATTGGCCTTCACCATCAATGATATAAGACCGTTTAATGTCCCTGTGTACGCACTTTGGTTTGGGGTATTTGTCACCTCAAGTTGATTGGTTATATAGGGCGTCTGCGGTAGACTATGTTGGACTCATCTACCTCCTGATTTTGGCGGTACGTTCACGACTTTCAAAGTTGATAGGGATATGTCTAATTCTCTCACATCTAGTTCGTGTTGACGGTACGACATTCACGATGGTTCCGGACAATGTTCATTAATATGGTGTGATGGTTAGAACCAACTTCTGGCGGCTCGCGTTGAATCAGGCTTTGAGAAGCGTTTGAGGTTGCGACCTCTCATCCTTATCCGCCTGCTATGGCCGGTCACTCTCTACTTCTTTGTCTCCGTATGGTGTTTTACTCATTTCCGGATGATCAACTGAAGTGTGTCATTTATAGCTAATGTACTCTCTCTTAAGTTTGGCGTTCGGAGTGCCATTTGGCAGGAAGTGAGTGTCATATTTTTTGATGTAGAATTGCGATCTGACCTTTGTATCTTTCTAAGATTTGGGCACGCAGGCTTTGTCATCTCCTGGATGATGTCGTGGTCTTGTACCACGTGTCCGGCAAAGGGAGTAGAGGATTCAGCGTGTTACTAGACGATATTGGACAGGCCAATCTTTTATGGTCCGCGTCTCGTCTGCAAAGTTAATCAGCCCCAGACTGAGCCCACAAAACAAACAAGCCCCTGCAGATCCTCAGCTGTTCCGCCTTCGTCAAAGTCTGGCGGACTGACAAGGAGCGTTTGGAACACGCGCGGATGGACGTTTCAGGAATGGAGAAAACAATGCGATATAAATAATTCAGTCACGAGTTATACATTCGAGGGCACTCCAATTTCTCGCTGAACCAAACTCCGGCAGATTAGACACGGCCTCGGATTCCAGTGGACGAAGGTTAGGGAAGAGTAATGCGGGAGGGAACCACACGGAATGTAGGACATATGCACCCCAACTTCACAACGGACTGAAAGTGCGATGCAGTACATCCTGCTCGCACATTATGCGCCGCATCCCCATTCCATCCCATTCCCGTTCCCATTACTACATCCCGTTCCCGTTCTCATTCCCGTTCCCACCACCATCAGCACACTGACTCCAGCATCAGCCGGGAGAGTGGAGTGAGTCTTCCAAGTCCAAAAATTGATACGAACGACAGCATTAGTTGGCCCACCGGCAAGCTCTCGTGCGGCCATCATAGCTTCCCACAGTTCTGAATCGGATCAAAACATCCACCCAGAAGTTCGGTTGATGGTGTAGTCCTGGTCGTCCAGCTGTAGATGCCTTTCCCGAGTCGAAACGCACAAGACGCAAGAACTTGTCGAATTCATTTGATGTATAGCATGTCCGCTTGTGAGTTTTCACATACCTTCTGCGTAGAATCTCAGTGACATTGTGCCATGTGTGCTTGTTGGTGCTCGGTTTTTGGCATATGGCTATCGTATGTCACCACTCATGAGGATCTCTTACTGAAGATCAGAGATATCCACTAGTTTTGATGTTTGGCTTGAACCCCTTCGAGGATACAAATCACTCGGAGTTCATGGCGTTCGTCACGGCATATCTTCAGTGCTAGTTGTGTACGCGTTCCTCCAATTTTACGTTCTCGCGAGCGCACTCTGGGTATCCTGTGCTTGCGGCAGGGAATTTCTGGATACTCTCCGGTAAGTCATACCTATCATTACTTTACCTAACTTCTGACGAGTGCATCAGATCATCTCCCCCTACTATTCCTACCCCAAATAACCTTGCACCAAGAATGCGGAATGACCCAATCACAACTGCAGGGATTTTACGGGTTTCTTCTGAAGGCAATTTTTTTGTGTTTCCCTGCTTTATTCTTCAATTTGACCATGCCATTCAGAATTTCAGCGAAACGAATTCCTTGCCCGTGTTTAGAACAGACTCCCAGTAAGTATTTCAAGGGTCGATAATACACATTCTGAAGATGACGTATGAAGAACCCGGATGCTGGACTCTGCGCATAACTTTGCTCTTGGATTTTTTCGTTACCCTCTGGAGGGTCAGTACCAACAAGAGATCATGATTGGAGCCAAAGGTGTAAGTCATTTGAACTACTCTAAGATACTCGATTGATAATATGAGCATGTCAGATCAACAATACTCTCGCCCCTTATCGATTTTGCCCCAATAATGACATTCCAAATATCGGCTACCGCGGCGCACCACTTACTGATGCATGGAATGCAGTGTATCTCAGGGATACCGTCCCTCGTTTGCAACGATATGTTGATGGGTTTGAATTGGATGTCCGAGATGTTTATGCCATGCAAGAATTGTGTGCCTACGAGACGGTCGCTCTTGGTTATTCCAAGTCCTGCGAACTCTTCACGGAGAAGGGTGGGAAGGCTTTGATTATTCGTAAGAAACCTCTTCTATACAGTTTGCACGCCGCTGATCTTAACCAGATCTGCCTTAGCGGTCCAGAATAGTGCTACTACCAGTACTGTTCCCTCTTCATATGCGGTCCCAGGAGCGTTCCCAACTTCTCTCTACCCTAATTACTACAATAATCCAACGGCCACCTCTGCGCAGCCACAGCCAGTCATTTCAGATCCCGTCACAGTAATTCTCTACTGTAACTGCTACGTAACTGAAACTAACTCGCTCTTCAGCATGAAATCTTTCCATTTTCCCTGACAGACCCGCAAAACATTCCTCAGGTAACTTGCATTCCCGATGTGTGCCGCGTCGGTTTCATCGTTTTGACCCTCCGGCTTTGACAGAATGACACCGTGGATCCTCACCCACTTCCACCCCAGGCGTCCTCTCAACAACTTCTTCAACAAGCTGTAGCGCAGATCAAGTCAATTGCAGTAAACCCGATGTTCACTACATCATGTGCACGGTGCCAGGCTTCCCTAGAAGTGGCCAAATTTCTTGCTTTTGCGGCTCCTGAACAAGGGACCAATCTCGCTTTGACGCTTTGCGAGTACTTCGATTATTCGTCCTCTTGCGAGAAAAATTATGGACCTCTCGTGTTGGGACCGATCCTTACTCAAGTTGCATCTTTTGCTGATGTCGGAGGATATGACGGACAGGTGGAATCAGTTGCTGAAACGGAAGAATACTGCTCATGATGTTTCCCAGTCGATTTGCTCCGAATTTCTTGGCTTATGTCCAGCACCTACGACAACGACTCTCATCCTCACTGGCTGGTTTGCAAAGCCGAAGCCAAATCCTCTTCCCCCTCCCAAGCAGCCCAGTGGCCAACTGATGAAAGTTCTGCATCTTTCGGACCTGCATATTGATTCCCGTAAGCGGCATTTGCACGCATGCGTTGATTATCTCCACTGATATTCTAATGTTCACTATTGGTGTGTTCTCTCCTTCACTTGCCGCCCCGAATTGAAGTTTGATTGAAAAAAATATATAGGTACAGTGTAGCTTGGGGCTCACCTATAGCCAGGGCACAAGGAATTGGCTATGTGCGAGAGCTTGTGTCTCGTCTCACTCAAACGCCGATTGAACGCACAATAGTTCCACTAATGCGACACTTCATTACGCTGTCACTTTCCCCCTTGGAGACAGCCTTTATGTGGACGCAACGCATGAAACTGTAGTATTAAATGGTCAGCTCGTTGATGAACCTGAACTTGAAAAGCATCCTAATTTTTGTTCATGGACAGTTCTTGCTGCGTTGAATATTTCGAGCTTTGCGGCGATGGGACAATTGCCGACTATCGGCGGTGTCCTTCACCGCTGTATAGGTTGCGAGTGCGGTGAGGGTCATAGAGACATTTCTTTTGTGCAAGACGGCTAATGTTCTTACATAGATGACTATGATTTGTGTGCAGCAGTTTCCTGACTGTCACAGAACTATTGGATGCCCACGCACAACAGGACGACGACAGAGTCCGGCTCTTAGTCCAGTCAGAAGGAGAATCTGACCACACGATTCCTGCAGACAACACAGGTGATTTTGCTAGGTAAGTTTTCGCCTTTGATTTGTATTGTCTACGATTGAGCTTTCGGGCAGTCTACGCGATACTATTCTCCGAGTGCGCATCCATGACTCTGACATATCGCTTTTCCTACACCGTCAATCTAATCGCCCTCTCCCGAATCCCAGAACTTTCAACAGCCCACGCCGCCACCTCGACACGATACGAAACGTCTGTGCTGATCGTGAGATGTTCGCCCTCTCCCTCGCCCTCTCCCTTTTCCTATCCCTTTTCCTCTCCCTCTTTGCCTCCCTCTCCCTCTTTGCCTCCCTCTCCCTCTCCCTAGCGATCTTCCTTGCACGATCGATGCTGCAGAAGCGCTGATACGCCATTCGAAGAGTCAGCGCGTCTGATTGGATGTCACGATGGACTACTCACCTCATCCTGAGGTGCCATCGTAAAAAGTAAGCGTTTTCGATTATAATTTGACGTTTTATATACGACATAGCAGATGGATGTTATCGACGAGGTCGATTGCCTTTTTCGGCGCAGTGCCTCACGCTTCAAATTCCGCCGAACTCAACCAATGGTTCAAGCGCCCGTCACTCATAAGGCTGTCCTCAACATTCAACCTATGTCCTGTGCGTTTTCTCGTCTTTTGGCCTGCTTATCCCACGTTGATAGTGTGATAGTGCTCTTATCGGACGCTGACGGTGCTACGGCCATCACTTTCTGGCTTGACTACCACGTCAAGGACATCCGGCTGATGTAGTGGCTCTCTGTGGCGGGGCTGTCGACCTTGACCTCCGCAACAAGAATGGCGATACACCACTTCATATCGCTTTAAAGGAGATGGAAGAGGATCAGGATCGTTTTGAAATTGTTCAAGAACTAATATGTTGTGGCGCAGAGTGCAAACGGTGCGTTCTTCGCGTCTCAGTCAAACGAAGTGCTGAGCGCTCTCCCTAGGGCAATGTCAGGCGGCCTCACACCACTGGAATATGCGCAAAGTCGATATCCTTTAGAAAACGGATCATCGCAAATCCCCCATGTGATGACGAGGATGACGAGGTTGAAATACAGCCAGAACAACTGAGGAAGCAAATGTATGACAGAAGTGATTTCGTAGACGGTAAGATATTCGTCGATTCTGCCCTGATGACCACCTTCACGTTCTACTTCCAGATGTCGAAGATGGAAGCGAGGGATCAAGCCTGGAGGCTGAATAGATTATATATGCCGCTAGTACTGTATTGTTCCCGCGCACCTGCTTTTATGCCGCCGTGATATTGTCGTAGCACGTCGTTTATCAATTCATGGTTTCTACTGCACTACATGATATGTTGTGATAAGACTATATCTGAAAATCAAACGAAAAACTTATCCCATCGGAGGAGATCGTGCCCCATCATGCAATATATGTGATGCCTACCGACGTCGTATGTTTGTCTCTGATTTTTTGCATAGGTGAGAAAAAAAACATATCACGCCCGTTCTCATCGTGCCACGCCATAGTGGGTTTTCACTGGGAGTCACATATCTTCCCTTACAGGCTGTGATGCTACAATGCAACATTCGTTTTGCCAACTCTACGCTACCTTAATCTCGAAGATCAATGCTAAAGTTATTTGCTACGATAATGCCTTATATAGCCTTGTAATTCGAGACATGATAAGGGAAAATGTGAACACTCGACAACCTCGACACAATTACCCTGCTATCCCTTCCAGGTTATGATGGTGTAATGTCACAACGTAGTCATGACTTGTAATGTTCATATATATTTGATGACCAAGGCTAGTGCTGCTTTTCATCATAAAGTCATGAATAGCTTTTTATTGAAAATTGAAATTATGACAAGTGAGCATGGCTAACATAGTGGACCCAAATTCAACACGATCCCCTGTTGGCCGTCATGTTGCTGTGTTGTACCCTTGTCATGAGTGCTTGAAGGTACTCTAAATTTGTAGATGTATATACCTATATATCAATAAGTCAAATTTATCGGCGTATGAATGGTGATATATGGCAGAAACATAATTATTTCTTTCTGTAGTTATCACGGGTACAATATCACGGACTCATGAATTCACTGATGATAGGACTCGGAGCCTGGCAACACTGCACAGCATGACGTATGAATGCAATAGTACCCGAGCCGGTTCTCGGTCCTTGCGAAAACTTCGGTCGACCCAACAAACGGACATGGTGGAAAGTCCATTATGCATCATGTGGAAGTTTATCATAGGACTGTCACGGCACATTACCGTGAGTCTGTGACCAGCCTGTGACCACCAGTGCGCTAGACTCATTTGTACCGTGACAGGCACTCATACCTCTTCTCTGGAGTCTGGAGTACCCATAAATGTTGTACTTAGAACAGCACATCGAACTAGGCCAAAGACAGTAATCTGGATCCCTACTTCCTAGTGCTACCGTATCACAGGTGACCACACAAGTTATAATGGGGTCGGGTAACTCCTTCCGCGGGCGACAGCAACCTGTCATTGAAAAGTCGTCTGACCGATTGAACATCTGACAGAGTTTTCAGATCATGGTTCTTGAAGCTTGACAAGAACGTACGGTATCTCTCAGGGCAAAATGCTAAGACTGACACCATCTAATCCCACACTTGCTCCGCGTTAGGTTATTATACGAGCACGGCTTTTCTCGGTGCACGGATGATATTCGTTCCGTCTTGCGTTTAAAAGAGATCATATGGGTGGTTTTTGGTCTCCTTCGATCCATTCAGAGGCACAATGCCAAGTCTTACGGTTCCACAAACTCCAAGATATGTCCCTGCCCTGCCTACTAAAGAAAAACGTGGGTGATATAGAAGTGACACCACTGTAAGATGCATGCATCTAATGTACTTCTCATATCCAGTCCAATATGCAGATCTTGCCATCATCGACCTCTCCAAAGCAGCTACCACAGAAGGCCGCGCAGAACTAGCGGTTGAACTACGAGAGGCCTTGACTAGTCATGGGTTTTGCTATATTATCAACCACGGGTACACTCAAGCTCAGGTGAAATATGTATCAAGTATTGTTTCTCTCGCGTATTCTCACTTTCAAGTGCAGAATGAGAGGATGTTTGATATCGCAGATATTCCCATGTCCGGCGTACCTGAAGATGAAAAACGGGCGTACACAGGAGACAGCAAGAAGACAGGCATATTTCAAGGCTATAAACCAAGACAATACTGGGTAGACCGTTTGATGACCCCTGCCGTTTCTACTGTTGATTCCTTATGAGCAGCACATTGATGCAGGCGTGCGTGACCAACACGAGCACTATAACTGTTCGTACACAGTCCATATTGGCGGAGAGAATCTAACATCCTTGGCTAGGCAACCGCCACGTCTACAGCCTGATGCACCCACAAGCACTCAGACCGTTTCTTCCCGATATCGATGCCTTTGTGCGCCATAATCACCACAACATTCTTCATAAAATTTGCAGGCACGTTTTCAGCCTTGACTTCAGAACTTGGATTTGACTGTGCTTCTCAGGCTTATGGCATTGAGCCTTGAACTTCCAGAAGATACATTCGTGAAATTGCACGACTTTGATGCACCCGGAGTATCATATCGTACGACTTATTTCGTTTCTCGATGGCTTTCGGCACTCTGATATAGTCACTAGTGAGGTTTATGAAATAGTAAACATACGACGACATGATCCATGCCATTGTGTCTTACTTTTTTAAGTTTCCCTAGGTCAGAAGAAGAAGAAGTTCGGACAAAAAATGTCTGGATGAAAGGGCACACAGGTTACTCTACTCTTTTCCAAATGTTGCCTTGCTCATACCGTAGCAGACTTCGGGAGTATCACCCTACTTTGGAGTCAGCCTGTTGCTGCCTTACAGATCCAAACGAAGGAGGGCTGGCGCTGGGTCAAGCATGTCGAGAACGCCTTGGTGTGTAATTCTATCCCATAGCCCTTCTATCTGACATGAATGCTTTAGCTCATGAATATTGGTGATTCGATGGAGTTTCTCACAGGAGGATTCTACAAGGCAACCATCCATCGGGTTGTGCAACCCCCAATTGATCAACGTGGCTACACTCGGCTAAGCATGATCTATTTCTCCTTCCTAAATGACGATGTCAGATTGGTACCCCTCATGGACAGTCCAGTCCTTCAGAGGATTGGGGTTAAGCGCAAGTGTGAAGACGATGTAGCTCCTACCATGAAGGCATGGAGAGTTGCAAGAATTAGTGCATATGGCGCTAGCGATCTGCAGAAGGGCAAAGAGCCTGGTATAGAGGAGGAGGTATTGAATGGCATTGTTGTCAAACATTACAACTAGGTACATCCGGAAATTAAATCTGCCTTTACTAGGCCTCTACTTGCGCCCCACGTGGTGTTTCGAAGCCAGGATTTTTCTCACTGTGTATCAGTCAAGATGTGCACAATGCGCCCTGATAATGAGGTGATTAGTTGCTTCCAATACGGTCCGGGTGGTCATAAGATCACCAGAATTATAAGGCTAGATCAAATATACAATCCCCCTCCATCCTTAACCTTCTGTCCTTGATCACCATGGCCAGCCTCACCCTACCCTACGTACCACATTATGTTGCCGCACCTCCTAGCAAGGAAAATTGTCTGTGCTAAGTTATCTGCTTAACGTCGAACGCTGAAGTGTGAATTGACAGTGGAGTATGCCGACCTTGCTATCATTGACATTTCAAAAGCCGACACTGAAGAAGGTCGAACCGCGCTAGCGATTGAAGTAAGGGAGGCTCTCCTCGACCACGGTTTCTTCTATGTCGTGAATCACGGGTATTCGCAAGACCAGGTGAGGCAATTCTTCCATATCGTGTGGATCGTTAATATCATCTCAATGCAGACAGATCGCATATTTGACATCGCGGACCTACCCTTCTCGGCGGTCAGTGACAGCGAAAAGCAAATTTATGCTAGAACAATGAAACAAAGCGGTTCATACCGAGGATATAAATTGCGACAGTACTGGGTGCGTGGTCGTCGTGTCTCGCTCAACATATGAGTGTTTGGTTTACTCAAGTCAATGGAATTCAGCATATCGATGCTGGGATCCGTGACCAACTTGAGAATTATAACAGTGAGCAGGATACATTTGTGTCCTTTCATTGACTCACCTGACATCCCTCTAGTCCATCGTGATGTGACCAGACGAGGACACCCGGAGACCCTCCGTCCTCTTCTCCCAGAAATCGAAGAGTTTAGCAAATACAATCATTTCAACGTGGTGCATCCATTACTAAGGCACACATATATATCATTGTCGAGCCTGAGGACGAACACCTGATTACATTTCAATCAGGCTTATTGCACGCAGCCTCGAGCTACCCGAAGAGACGCTAGTCAACATTCATGACTATGACGCCGTTGGCGAGACGATTGGTAACATACTTTTTAAAAGATTCCAAATCGTCGCTGACTTATTCATCAGTTGGGTTCATGAAGTAGTAAGCGCTGCCTTCTTCATAGTCTTCACAAGTTTCTGTAGTTTAGTTACCCACGGACAGAGGAAGAAGAAACCAAAACAAAGAATGTTTGGCTGAAGGGACACACAGGTCAGTTACCTTAATCATGAAACAAACACCTGTGCTCACCAGCGTCACCGCAAGACTTCGGAAGCATTACGATTCTGTGGAGTCAGCCCGTCGCTGGACTGCAAATTATGACCCCTGGAGGCAAATGGCGCTGGGTCCGCCATATCGAAAATGCACTTGTAGGCGGTCACGTTCTACGTCTCAATGCATCACATGATGAAAGGATTGTAGGTTGTCAATGCAGGTGATGCACTGGACTTCCTTACCGGAGGGTATTACAAGGGCACAATCCATCGTGTTGTAAAGCCTCCAGAGGATCAGGAGAACTACCCTCGCCTCGGAGTCTTTTACTTCGCCATGCCTAACGACGATGTCAAGTTGGTGCCGATGGCTGAAAGTCCAGTCCTGCAGAGAGTTGGAATTCATAGGCGTTGCGTCGATAGCGAGGCACCAATGATGGAACAATGGAGGAAAGCGAGGACATCTGCCTATGGCCAATCAAAACTGGAGAATGGCAAGGAGAAAGGCGTGGAACAAGAAGTCCTCAATGGAGTGTTAGTTAAGCACTACAACTGAAGCTCGGAACTTCAAGATGTTAGATGTACTCACTCTCTCAATGTACTCGTACATCCGAATACTAAATCTACCTTCACTAAGCCTCTATACAACCTTACTTGCGCCTTAGGGGCTCACGTGGTGTTTCGAAGATAGGATTTTTCTGACTGTGCATCAATCAAGATGTGCGCAATGTGCCCTGATAATGAGGTGATTAGCTCCTCCCAAATTACTTACGGTCCGGATGGTCATAAGATCACAGGCTTATAAGGCTAGACCAAATATACAATCCCCCTTCGTCCGTGACCCTCTGTCCTTGAACACAATGCCCAGCCTCACCCTACCCTACGTACCACATTATGTTGCCGCACCTCCTAGCAAGGAAACTTGTCTGTGCTAAGTTTTCTGCTTGACGTTAAACGCTGAGATGCGAATTGACAGTGGAGTATGCCGACCTTGCTATCATTGACATTTCGAAAGCCGACACTGAAGAAGGTCGAACCGCGCTAGCGATTGAAGTAAGGGAGGCTCTCCTCGACCACGGTTTCTTCTATGTCGTGAATCACGGGTATTCGCAGGACCAGGTGAGGCAATTCTTTCATATCGTGTGGATCGTTAATATCATCTCAACGCAGACGGATCGCATATTTGACATCGCGGACCTACCCTTCTCGGCGGTCAGTGACAGCGAAAAGCAAATTTATGCTGGAACAATGAAACAAAGCGGTTCATACCAAGGATATAAGTTGCGACAGTACTGGGTGCGTGGTCGTCGTGTCTCGCTCAACATATGAGCGTTTGGTTTACTCAGTCAATGGAATTCAGCATATTGGTGCTGGGATCCGTGACCAGCTTGAGCATTATAACAGTGAGCAGAATGCATTTGTCTTTTCATTGACTCGCCTGACATCCCAAGTCAATCGTGATGTGACCAAACGAGGACACCCGGAGACCCTCCGTCCTCTTCTCCCAGAAATCAAGGAGTTTAGCAAATACAATCATTTCAACGTGTTGCATCCCTTACTAAGGCACATATATATCATTGTTGAGCTTGAGGATGAACACCTGATTACATTTCAATCAGGCTTATTGCACGCAGCCTCGAGCTACCCGAAGAGACGCTAGTCAACATTCATGACTATGATGCCGTTGGCGAGACGTATGGTAACATACTTTTTGAAAGATTCCAAATCGTTGCTGACTTATTCATCAGTCAGGTTCATGAAGTAGTGAGCGCCGCCTTCTTCATAGTCTTCACAAGTTTATGTAGTTTAGTTACCCACGGACAGAGGAAGAAGAAACCAAAACTAAGAAAGTCTGGCTGAAGGGACACACAGGTCAGTGACCGTAATCATGAAACAAACACCTGTGCTCACCAGCGTCACCGCAAGACTTCGGAAGCATTACGATTCTGTGGAGTCAGCCCGTCGCTGGACTGCAAATTATGACCCCTGGAGGCAAATGGCGCTGGGTCCGCCATATCGAAAATGCACTTGTAGGCGGTCACGTTCTACGTCTCAATGCATCACATAATGAAAGGATTGCAGGTCGTCAATGCAGGTGATGCATTGGACTTCCTTACCGGTGGGTATTACAAGGGCACAATCCATCGTGTAGTAAAGCCTCCAGAGGATCAGGAGAACTACCCTCGCCTCGGAGTCTTTTACTTCGTCATGCCTAATGACGATGTCAAGTTGGTGCCGATGGTCGAAAGTCAAGTCCTGCAGAGAGTTGGAATTCATAGGCGTTGCGTCGATAGCGAGGCACCAATGATGGAACAATGGAGGAAAGCGAGGACATCTGCCTATGGCCAATCAGAACTGGAGAATGGCAAGGAGAAAGGCGTGGAACAAGAAGTCCTCAATGGAGTGTTGGTTAAGCACTACAACTGAAGCTCGGAACTTCAGGATGTTAGATGTACTCGCTCTCTCATTATCCTGGATGAATATGTCGTCGGCGATATATACAATATGAGAATACAGTGCAGTCATGCCTGGACTGCTTATTGGGTGTTGGAGAGCATATAGATTTCTAATGAACTGTATACGTACAGCATCTTGACCCTATCTGCGGTTACGTAGCAGCCGAAGTGCAAGTTCTTCCTCATCTTCAAGGCCATCGGAATCTGTTTTGGTTGAAGCTGAGCGTTTACTCCGCTTGAGTGGCGGTGGCGACAACGCGTCCTGCACTTCATCTTCGGACGCCAGGTCAAATACGGGAGACATATACCCGTCCTCATTAGAGGGTGCAAGTTCCGCAATAGCTCCCCCATGAGCATCATCGCGCTCAACCTGAAGAACACATTCTGAACAAGATCTCGCAACAAAGAGACACTGGACTTACACCTTTCTCACGATCCTTTCGCTTGCGTTTCTTTTCGCGTTTTTTCTCCTTGGCTTCCATTTTATCAACCACATCTGCACCCTTCAGTTTGTGCTTCTCCCCTTCCACAAAGGCCTGGCCAGCTTCCTTCACCTCTTTCAGACCCCCTTTGTAGAATTCTGCAGGGTCCACCATTTCATAAAGTTCGTGAGGGTTCCCCTCGTCATCGAATATCAACTTATGTCCCAATTGGCCATACTTGACAACTGCACGTTTCGTCTTGGACAGCTTGAGCTTTCTCTTCGACAGGTTGTCTATCTCCGGGTTTGCGTCGGTATCAGATAGGTCATGATTTGCGCGCTTGAGCGTGATGAAGTCTTCATCGTCATCAACCGCGTCGCCATGATCAACCAATTTCGAATAGTGCGCAGAAAGAATATTTTGATTTTTGCGCTCAAACATTCGATCGTATTTCGTGCGCACACTAGGCTGCAATACCCGAGTTAGGAGCAATAAAATGAATGCAATGTCACATACTTTAGTAGACGTGGAAAGCTTTGAATCATCTTTAACCTCGGAGTCTGAGGCAAGAGCAGCATTAGTTAACGCATCGTCATCGGACGACACAGAAGCTTCTTCAGAGTCATCTTCGTTATCAGAAGACCCTTGCTTAGCCTCCGCTTCTATTTCGGCCTGAATAGCTGCCACCGTTCGAGACGAGTTCTTCTGTTTCTTTACAAGTTCTCTGTTTAAAAACTTGATCTTTGGCGCGCCTGGCAGCCCAAGAGACTCGGCAAATTTCTCCACAGGAAGCTCGTCGACTTTGAATATCGATTTATCCTTGTAAAGGTGGACAGAACGGACATAGGATACGAAAGCCTGAACCTCCAGATGAGCAACAAAGTTCACCGTGCAGACATGCAGTAGAAACATACACGTTGCCCGAGATACTTGATCTCTGGCTCTTGAAAAGAGAGTTTCTGGAGTTGGTTTTGTATATTCTGGGTTTTGCTAGGTCTAATCTTGATGTTTTCGATCTTGATACTTTTCTTCTCTAGTGCGGCTTTCATACCCTGTTCCTCGCTGGGCATGAGAAGTAGCAAGCCACTTCCCGAGCTCTCATAACGCGCCGTTCTTCCCACTCGATGGATGTAGGTGTCAGCATCCTCTGGAGCATCGACCTGCACAACCCAATCGACCGAAGGAAAGTCCAAACCGCGTGCAGCTATGTCAGTGGCAAATAGTACTGCATGTTGAGAAGATGTAAATCGAGAGTACATCGTTAGTCTAGCAGATTGTTTCTGTTTCCCATGTAGATGTAGTAGCGGCATTCCAGGATGCATCTTGCAAAAAGTCTCGAAAACGAAGCGAACTTGCTTCCCAGTCGACAAGAAGACGAGGACCTTGGAGTGTAGGTGAGTTTTGATGAATGACCATAAGACATCAAGCTTCTTGTCCAATGTACAGACGGAGTAGTACTGCGTGAGGGAGTGAGGAGTAGCTGATGAGCTGCCGGATCCATCCACGCCGATAGGGACAGGGTCTTTGAGACTCAAGCGAGCTAATTGTGAGACGGACTGGGTTTGCGTAGCTGAGAAAAGTAGAGTTTGGCGTGATTTCGGAAGATGAGAGAGTAATGCGGATAATGTCTTGGCAAATCCCATGTCTAGTATGCGATCCGCTTCATCCAGAACTTTACAAACATGGTCAATCCTTGGAAAGGGTGCGCGGTCTGGAACTTACTGAGAAGTTGCAGGTTATCACACTCGAATCCGAATGTCTGATCCATGTGCTGCAGCAGTCGACCTGGCGTAGCGACCAGAATATTCATTCGAGCGAGGCGGTCCCTCTCGTCCTTTAGGTTTTTTCCGCCTATCACGAGCCCTGCGGAGAATGCGTGAAAAGCTCCAACGGAACGCAAGACGTCGAAAATTTGTACAGCCTTCATGATGTAAATATCAAGTGACTGAAAAACCAAGGATAGGCAGGACGTACCAATTCACGCGTCGGTGATATTATTACCGCGCCTAGACCATCCTGGGGCCCCCATTTTCTTCTGTAAAGTATCTCCAGCGTTGGAATGAGAAAAGCAAGAGTTTTTCCGCTACCAGTGCGAGCAGCTGCGAGTACATCTTTGCCCTTCAAAGAGACTGGTATACTGGTTGCTTGGATTTCTGTCATGTTAACGAAAAACGACTTTTTGAGTCCTGAATGTGTAACACTGTCATGATCAGTCGCGTCCGGTGAGATTTATATCACACCTTTTTTCGAGAATTCAGAAATAGGAAGATCAGAAAAAGCTTGAAGACTGTCTTGCGGCTCCTGAGCCGCCCTTGAGATGAAGTCGCGTTCGACAATGCAGAGGAGTTGAATAACTCACGAATTCCATCACTGCACGCTTCCAAAGCTTCAATCTGCTGCTTCTCTGAGAGCCTTTTGGCTTTCGCCAGACGCAAACCGTGCTTCACATTCTTCTGTGGCTTTTTTGACTGCTTCAGTCTCGAGGGTCCTGCTTGATCTGCCATTTTGAGAATTTTGATGACGATCCAAAAATCAGAGTTATCTCCCGGTTGCAGGGGACTGAGGGGTTATGGCTAACGCGCTGACGGCTCACCAGCCTGAGTCCTCGGAGAACTTCATCTCGGAGATATCTTGAATTTGTGCTTACGTCAGCAATTTTACACAACCAGTTGAATGAAGATTGGACGTCGGACAACACTTCCTGAAATGAGCCCCAATGTGTTTAAGAAAATGCGAGTAAGAAATCAAGAAAATTAGGAAATAAATTCAAGAACGCAATCAAATGAGATAAATCCTGGGACGTGATGAACGAAGGGTTTAAATAAGTGCTGTGAGGAAGCTGTACATTTTGTATCCAATGTGAATGTCCTAGCTGTGAGATGGAGGGTCCAGATGCGAATGATCAATGCACGAGACAATGCTTGCGAGTGAGAAAAGAACGGCTAGTGTAAAGCAGAGTTCCGGAACTCCTACTGAAACGGCCAAACATAGATGTCGAGGAAGGCTCATACAGACGAGCACTTATACTCACCGATGATTTATAAGCTACAGTTGGCGGCACACCAGCTTGTTGCTCTTCCCTAATTGACCAAGGACTGGAGTAGAAGCAGAGGTTGCGATGGCTGTGATTGTAGCCCCGCTATTGGTTGTTCCGACAGGCACTGGAGGAGCCTTTCTTCTCTTGGGCGGTGCAGGTGCCGGCCTTCGAACCTTGTGGTTAACAGACTGCGGTCGGAGGAATGTTCAAAGAACTAGACGAAGACGGTCTAGGTTGTTGCGCGAAAACGCTCTTCTCTGGATGGAGTGTGACAGTACTAGTGACATCGTCAACAGAACTAGCTTTCTCTCGTTGTCTAGATGAAGTGGTGGTTGCAGCCGCTAGACTCGTTGTGCTGTCTGTGCTAGAACGCATGTATGATGCTTTCACCGATCTTGGGGAGGGTAGCCGCTGGAGATGTAGGTTTGTGTAGGCTTTCAACACTTCTATGGTGCTTTATAACCTTCAGCTTCGAGCTCAGCGCCTTGGAAGCAGGGTCATGCTCCACGTCTGGCGAAGTTGGTGCTCGAGAGGACACAGTATCTTGCGTCGTGGACGCAATGATGTCGTGACTTGGGCTGTTGTGTCGAAAATCTCCTTGACGGTTGAGTGCCTCTTTATCGTGTGATGTCCTTCGCAGCTGCACACACCACTCCCCTCCGAGACATCGTTCAACCAAACGTTTCGTTGTGGGGTTGATGTCTCGGATATTTCCATTTTGAATAAGGGATTCAAGGGCAAGAACAATCTGCGGACGTTTATATGGCACACTCCGCATTTGCGTCTTTGTGAGCAGTGGATGCATAACACGAAGATAGGTATGCCGAAGCTGTGAAAAATACATTCAGGAACGCTTCCGTGTGCAATGCTGCAAGACTTACAGATTCACTCTCCTCATCAAGGTCGACCAGTTCGCGTAAGAAGACATCCACAAGGACACGTAGGTCGTTTGTATAAAAATATTCTGACGTTGCCTTGTTGGTGAAAAGAATGTAAAGAAGCTTGAGCACCAGAAGTTGCATACACAGGTCTTCAGCAGATCGCGCTATCAAACAAACATCAGTCAGTGACTCGACCATGCCTTTAGTTACTCACAAGCACGATTGAGCATGAATATCATGTTTTCACCAAAAGTCTTGCTAGATCCGAGACGAGATATAAGAACGGTGAGCACTCGATTTTGCAATTCTGGCTCCTTGACTCCAGAATGTTGATTATTGCTTAAACAGGCTACCATGAACTGCTCATTTAATGCAACCTGACAACGAAATTAGGTATAATCTTCATAGAAATTCGGCGGTCTCACGATCAATTTGATTATGGAGTAATTCAGAGTTTCATCAGACATAAATCGAGTCTGCTCTACAAGCTCAAACAAATTATCGAGAAACTGATCGTTGAAAACATCTGCGCAGGGTTATTGGTCAAAAAGCAGATCATCGTCGAAGTAACAGGACCACGTACTCAAATCATATAAAGACAGTTTCTGGACCCGGCACACTTCATAGAGTAGCCTCACGCCCAGACCCCTTAACTTTGCCTCTATAGGTATGTGGCCAACCACCAAGCTGGAGCGTGAACCGGAACCACTTGATATAGATGATGCCCCGAGATAGACGTCCTCTGTATCTAGGTTTATTTCCACCAAAACGTGATCCATGAGAAGCGGTATTAGGGGTTGCCAATGTTTATGGGAGCGGATAAAGTTCGATTGACGGCGACCGTGGAACAATAGTACGCTGTATAGAATGAGTTGTGAGTGAGGATTTGTTTTCTGTAAGACAGCTTCAGGACAGGACGAGTGATATGTGAACGTTCTGCGTACAGACTTGACATCCTCGATGACCAACTCGCACATCCGTTCAGAGTGAAACACGAACAATTCGGAGTCAAGCAGAAGATTGCATGCATGTTCCAGCTGCATGGGACTTTGAAGGAACTGTTCTGAAAACAGATATAAAGCATTTTAATACATGAAGAGCGACTTATGCAATCATGGCGAAGCTGACCGTGATATGAAGCACAGAGCGACACAAACCTCCTGAGTGCAGTGTCTAACATGGATAACGTGGCAGAGCCATCACTTGGAACTCGAAGGACATCGTCAAGCTCTATAAAAACCAGATTGACAGCCCTCGATTGTAAGTTCAAGCCTTCTTCCATGCCCCAAAGAGACATTTAAAATATGTGATACAACGCACCTGACCAAAACTGTTGTGCATTCTCTATAAGATAGACAATTCCGAAGTCATCTTCAGCAAGCATGTTGACCTTTGATTCGGATGTCTGTACAAGCATGATTCTAATCGCCGTGTGGGTGAAACACGAGGCGGGGTAGGAATCACACTGGAATGTCCGATCAGTTTTTTTTGCAGCTTTGCAGGCCTAGATTTGGAAGGCGGGATTGCAGATTCGGACGGCCCCCACTGATTCTTGGCAACAATTGCGAGCTGAGTGACTTATAGTGAACGGCGAGCAGACAGTGAAAATCGTGGGCAACCGTTTAACCTTCACTGCCGTGGAGATCCCGTTTCGGGGTCTTCACGGTGTGACACTAGGAGTCCTGCCCAGTAACCGCTAAATAGTGTAAGGGGCAAAACTAGTAGGCCATATGTAGACTATGTGTACGAAATTCTCAGTAACGATTATGCCTCCGGATGGATCCATTATCCTCGCCAATGTAATTAATCACCTCAGCCTCACCTAGAATAGCCTGTGTTATCATTCCTTGTTCGACATGATCCGACTCGTCAAAATCAAAAGCATTTTCCTCCAGCACTTCGACTTCGTTAATGTTCTGAACTTCTTCAGCTCAAGTTCGAGAGCTGCAAATTCGCCACCAATGACATCAGGCGAGATAATCTCTGGACCAGTATGACTCGGAAGGTTACCACGAGGTTCGGTCGAAAGCGGAGGTGCCCACGCGAAGGATGCTTCAAGATTATGTGCAACGTTGCAACAGCAATGTCAGGGTTGTATCAAATTCAAGTTAGCATCTCTGGGAGTCCTACTATTAAGTTTTGCCGAGGACCAGCCAACAACACTGCCGCCAAACAATTAATTACATAAGCTCAACTGAACACCTCGGCTTGCGGAAAACGTCAAGTGTACATTTTATGTACTAGTTATTGCATGCAAAATCGGAAAACAATAAACTACGTACTAATCTAACAGATTATCTAATCGGTACACGAGAGACCATAAGACCACAGAATTAACAGAGAAAACATTAGTGCCTATGATATAGATGATCTTTCCACTGCGATAACCAACCCGTAGGCTGCAGCGGCAGCGAATCCGCCAACAGCCATCGTACTGATTGCTCCCCAAATGTATCCCAAGATACTCCTCGCTGCTCCCGTAACTCGTGATTTGACGGCACCAAATATGAGAAGAACTATCCCAGTAATTATGCAAGAAATTTTCAATGCATCAAGTGCTTGAGCAAGGAAGAAATATGGGATAAGGGGGATGATGCCGCCAACGAGGTATGACATGCCGATAGTGAATGCGGACAGGTATAGTCTGCGAGTCGGAATATCCTCTAAAGAAGTAAAAGGTAGCGACAATTAGAACCACATCAAACGAAAGAATTACGACAAGATGAACATACCTAGCCCCTCTCCAAATTTGAGTAAGAAAGCTGATAGCCCAACCTCGCTCTTCATCCCCAGTGATGATTTCTCCGCATCGGTAGGTGCGGATGTACTTGCGTCAAACCCAGATTCATCCTCCGCCCTCCGCAGGCAATTCGTGACAGCCTGGGAGGTCGGTTCATCGACACCGATGGGACCCAAGACATCGTGTACCTCTCTCTCCATTTCTCCAACGCAACTCCGCATCACCCGTGAGTACGTGCTTCGTCGCAAGAACCGGAAATGGTCCCGTTCAGCCTTGGAGGCAAGGAAACCACCTATTCCCATGGATATGGCACCAGCAATGATTTCTGCAAGGCCACCGACAACAACAATTCTTGAAGTCCCTAAGCCAGACAGACCAGCTGTCAGCGCGAAGGGAACAGTCAAGCCATCCGACAACCCAATGATACTATAGAAGGGATGTCAGTGACTTGTGAGGAAGACGCAGATAGAAGGCTGCGAGCTGGAAGGGGAAAACTTACATGTCGCGGATAACATCAGGATCTATCAACATTCTATCATCTTCGTTCTTGAGCTCCTTGCAACAGATACCATCTTGGCGGCCAAATTTATCGCATTTTTCGGAGAGTGGTGGACTTGAGCTTCTATTTGATTCCAGTGACCAAACTGGTTGTGGTTTGTTCTCAGAACCAGCATCTCTGCCAGGTAGGGGAACCGCGGTTGTGGTAGCACTGGTAGACACCTGGTGAGTTGAGGTCATGGCTGGGTAATGGGTGAACGATGAATGCAGTAAAGAAATTATGGGAGCAAGGGAGCTTATATAGGAACATGACGGACACAAGGGAACCAATGATCAGACATTAGAAAAAAGCTGTAATTGCACTGGACAGAGGCTGAAGTGATGATGGATGGAACGCCCCCCCGTTAGTTACCGGCGGCCAGGTTAGCCAATGAGATCATGGCTATTTGAGACTCATTTGCTTTGCGCCAGCACAACAGCAGCGCAACAGCGCCTTGAACGGCCTGATGATCATAACCACGGTGCAAAATCGAGGCTCCGACGGTAGCCGTGCCTCAACAGTTGCAGTACATCACGCAGAGAACGTTCCTAGTACGACATTCAAGTATACCACACAATTTTAATCGACAATCACATGCTACAATTACCGCGTGCATGAGCTCAAACATCCCGCCAAATTACAAAGGCCAGGAATTGCCATATTCGGAAGAACTCAATAATTGTGCTGAGTTTGATTTCGACCAATCCCTAACACGGCATTTGTTCAGAGCAGCCTCTGATTGGATGGTGTTCCGCGACTTGCGGTGTGCGACAAATTCACGCGATACGCGTCGTCTTCACATGCAAGGCACTGTCCATCGCCTTTGACAAATTCTAAGTTTGCCCTGGGTAGCTGATGGTTTCATTTTTATCAACCTCTTTCGATCACCCCGAGGATTTTGCTGCCAGGCCTAAATCTTATCCCTGGGACAAAAGTGTCGCTGAAAAAATAGAGTAGATGTGCTACACCCACAACATGAGGCGACACGTACGGCTGGGTTTTGTTTCTTTTTGTTGTTTTCAACGTTGACTATGTTTTAGCGGCCAGCTCACAAATTGTCACCCCTTTAGCATCTCAACCGTCCACAGTGGAATGTTTTTCCGTTCTTGTGCCAGAATTGATTTCGCGGATCTATATCGTAGGATTTTTTCCTCGATCTCGCGGAGAACGAATGTTTGGGGTGCCAAGATGCTCCGCGCTCACAGAACTCGAAGCTATTAGTAGCACAGCTGTTCGCTGAAAGTTCACAGACAGCGAACTTGACTGAAATAAGACGAGTTTGTGGTCGGAACTTTCAGACTTCCAATCTAGCAAGATACTCACACATTTGACGGCTTCGAGGTCTTCTATGGCGTCTATGTGGAAAGAACACAGACAGACTCAGGGGTAAGAGGTCACGTTTGAACCAAGGATGGTTTCAAGAGTCGCGAACGTGTATGCTCTCCCGCATGACAACAAGGACAACATCATTCACGAAGTGTCGTGAACCTTTACTTCGGGTGACTTGACAAACGTGGAGACTTTCCTTATGCAGGGCTACAGTCATCATCATTCAAGTTATAACTGGTACTCAGCCCGTCAGATGGAGCTAAGCCGCTGAGTCATTAAGCAATTACGGTATGTACGCGTATATTTCAGCTTGATAGACCCACCTTATCGCGCGTACAAAGTCATCTCATCTTAGCGCATGGCACAGCTAAAACGACCGGCGGGAATGACGGACTGATGGGGGTACGCATGATGATTAGCCGAGTCATCGGGACGTCGGACGTCGGACGCGCAAGTGGTAACTCACTTTGTGTGTCATTGCACATGTGCGGCACTAGCTGGCTGACGATATCAATGCGAAGTACTAATATTGTTCAATTGTGAAACCAGAGCTGATAAGCTGAAGTTAACGGAATTGGAAGGTGACGAAAATGACTATCAGGGAAGGTGGTGTTCAATTGGATCTCGCGAGATGTTGACGATCACTCAAACAGTTAGTGATACAAAGTTACCCGCACCCGTTCGTCACCTATCATCGTGTCATCACCATGTCATCGCCGTGTCATCGCTATGTCACTACTACTTTGGTGAAACGCCGATCCAGGCGGTGACAATAACCTCCTTCCGGTTTCATGGTGTACACAGAGTACAACTTCCAAAGGACAAAAATTGGAATTAAAAAAAATAGCGGTACAGTAAACGAAAAGAAGAAACATACTATACGGTGAATATCTGATACGCGACATGTGCAGCAGCTGACCTTAAATTGACGTCGCCTCCGAAGTGTAACAATGTTGTACTGCTGAATCCTATCTGATGGGTGCGTCGTGCGTACGACTAACATAAATATCCCTACCATGTGCGCCAACATCATTGTTATTAATTCAGGGTAGAGAAAAGAGCCTGAGAGAACTCCTTGAACAGTGGGAGCGGGGGTGGAGTGATGCGCTCATTCTTCCAACCGACACACGACCTGTGTTCTCTGCCGAAGCGTTTCTATATAAATATACATTAGAACTCATGTTGCTTCCAGGGAAAAAACCTGTATTCGAATCAACTCTGCAGCTGGTGTGACTTGGGAAACCTTTCTTTCGGAGCCGTTACTATCCTTTTGACCGGCTTTCACGAGTTTTTCCGCCGCTTCTTTTCATTGGGTGGCTTTCCGAGTCGGCGAGGAGCTGCTGGCATTGTGGTGCTGCTGCAAAGCGCCAGTCCCCGACTTGAGATATGACGATGGATTGGCGCCTTGGCAGCAAACAGTCATCTGCTAAGAACTAGAACTCGAACACTGTTGCGAAACTTGTAGTGCTGCATCTGATATGAAAAGTTATATATCGATAGGAGACTAGCCTCCGAGCTCGTCAGTAACCTTCTTTTTGCCTTTTGAATCGTGAAGAGCTTTCCTCGGGTAGGCTGCGCATGGCAACAACTGCCTACGCCCCAACATAATTTGATATACGCGGGACCCATCAACGTCGTGACTGCCAGCGCTAGGTTCTGACTTCTAGATAGGCTGATATGTCATCAATTAATTGACAGAGCGCGAGACAATTTCCTGTGAAAGACGTTCGGTAACAAGCACGACAAATTCATGAACTAGAATGTGACAGAGAACAGCCTTGTGCAACGGACATGTAGGAAATGGCTAGTCTGTATGAAGTCTGTGCAAACCCCGCGCCAAAGTCTGGGGACATGTCTGTGATCGGAAAGTTCCGCGCGGTCAAGGACTGCTTTCATCATTGCAACCACCTTGGCGCCTACATCAGTCACCATCATGCATGACGTCATCTATGTGAACCATCATGCCAATCTCGTCATCCATGTCAGCTTGCCGTCACGGTTATAGTCACCTGGAGGGAGGACATGGGAGCTGTAGGCTGTGATCTGCAGACAACGACATGGAGTTGGCAGGTGAGCAGGAACTGAGTAAACACTGAGGAAGTGGTAGACAGACAGGCAAGCGTGAGAGACTCGCAGGAATCATGGAGGTAAATATTCTGATGGCAGGCAGGCGGGACGGAGGTTGGGCGGGATGATAATGACATCGTGCCGCAGCCTTGACAGACTTCCCAGCACTTTCTGAATACTGACAAGACAGTGTATGCGAGTGTATTACACGTTTTTCAATGAGAGAGGTTGTTGTAGAGTGTGCGATAGCGTGGCGCCAGTCGACGAATACGTGGCTGGACGTCAGCGCGGTTCAGCTTCTCTAAACGGCGAGCAAGATCATTGATAGATGCTGAAATCCACGGTGAAGACATGGCTTTGCAATTCGGGACTCGCATAGCTGCTGAATCGAGAGCAAGAGATGCGGTGATGACTGGAGTACGTAGAGCAGTGACCACATCAGGACTGTACAAGTGCTGAAACCCAGCAGCAAGTGCCCCATGATCTTGTGCAAGCGGGTTGGACAGGTGCAGTCGAAAGATATGACTGCATTGACACTACGTTCTTTATTTCGCGCATCTGATTGTTTAGCACTAACTGCAACACCACGCAGAACAGGGGCGGAAAAAGCAGACAAATGTTCTGCATAGCAAACATCGGTGTAATAAAACCATCGAGAATAAACTTACACGTCACCACGGCAACGCGCATTTAAGGACTGGAACAGGTACGAATGAACGAAGGGGAAACTCAATCAGATGACAGTGATGGTGAGGAAGAAGACCTTTCGATCAGTAGCTCAACACTGGCCAGAACATTCCAGGAACACATCAAGAACTTTTCCGTGAGTTCTGTGACGCCCTTGAGTATCAAATTCAGTCTGATGATTATAGAATGCTTACTATTCTCGAATGAAACAGTTCATTATTCCTTCTGCTTGCAAACAGCTGTATCAGTCGGGACTGGGGAACGACAGGAAAATTTGTCGAACACGGAGCCCAGCAACATGGGGAAGAGAGACTGCAAGTGCTATGTTTGAAACCATCATTTTTTGGATGCCGGCGGCACGTCATGTGATGTGTCGAGCGCGACTGCGAAATTAATGCCATCCACATGAACAACTCATACCAGCAGCTAGCCATAATAATGATTATGCACGTAGTGACCAGTCTCCTTTTGGTTGCACTGCATAGCTAGTAAACGTTGATGCCCGCCCTCATTTGTCTCATCATGTGTCACCCGTAACGAAGCGAATTTATTGAGCGCCATGGACCGCTGCCAAAGCACCCGAGGTTGTGCCTATTGAACCAGGCCTGAGGCACGCATCGGCATAGGTGAAGCTATGTTTTCCGATACAACATCTACCCTTTGCCAAGAGCGCCGACTCGGACTAGATCCATCTGGGTAGTATTGAAACTATACACTTGGGGTTACAGCGCTCTTTGAAGACGAACATCCCATTTTACGTGTTCTTACCTCGGAGATATAACCCCTTTTCGGAGTCAGAATAGTATGGTCGTACACTACATAGGTTTGGCATAGCATGGTGACTAGTCTAGTGGCAGTGCTCACTCTAGTGCAACTCTAGTGTGATAGATGATTAATCTGATTGGCGCATTATAATTAATCCCGGTCAACATTGTCGATTACAGACACAGGCAATCATGATATCAGCCTAATATCAGCCCTACTCTTATTTCCTTCCGAAATAAACAAATGAACTGAACAACTTGAAGGGTGGCTAGACTGGAGACCAGCCCCCGACGGTTGGCCTGATTGACCAGACACGACCGTCTAGCGGAGTTCGAAATTAAGCGCGAAGGCTCACGCGCACGCTACGCCGGAATCTTACTGCCACTCTGATCTGCGTTGTCACCGGGGTAGGAGCTACCGGGCGTTTTCGTATAGGCACTCGTGCGATTGACTCTCCAGCATCCTGTGTAGATTAGCATGGATGTACGTGTTTTTTTACTAAGACTCCGCTCGTATGTATATTGATCTGTGCTTCATTAACTACTGCAGCCTTGAAGTATATCCGTACAAAACGCGCTGATATTTCATATGTGGCGGGCGGTGACACCGGTGATGGTGAGTTTCCGACATCAAAACTTGATCCGCAGTTTTAATGGTTCCAGTACGGCGACAATTCAATATATGTTGTGTTATAGCGCTTGGCATTCCTTCAAAGTGTTGACTCGATCGATACCATTTGGTACTAAGTGTGGCGGTATCTGTCTTGGCGTGCTCAACTAGGATAGCGCTATACTCAAGATGCGGCATCTTTGAATGGCTATCCACATTGGTGTGCTATAAAGTGGACAACTGTGAAGCCGAAGCCCTCATCACTACCGGTCCAATAACTCCAGCCATGGTCAACACCACAACCACAGCGGGGCTCATCGGTGTTGTTCTTTTGGCTCGCCACGGCGACAGGACCGGATACTACCAAGACCCAGCTACATACAACTCTACCCAAGCATACATCACCCCTCTTGGAGAGGTGAGAGCTCTGTTATAATACTGGATCTCGCTCACGAGTCTTTAGCAACAAGAATATGAACTCGGCACCTTTCTTCGTAACACATATCTCAATTCCGATTCGCCGTCTTTCATCCAGAATATCAGTACTGATGTGGCAAACATCAATCAGCTGGCTGTCCGCGCAGACGCTGGTGGAGGAAATGTCATCCTTAACTCCGCGTATGCTCTACTTCAGGGTCTCTATCCATCCACAAAAAAGTCAGAGATAACTTTGGCGAATGGTACAACGGTCGTTCCTCCTCTTGGGGGATACCAGTATATTCCAGGCAAGTCAGTCAAAATTGCTCTTTTCTCCTCTAATTTATGTGCTACAGTGGAATCTTTGGAATTTTGGCAGAGTCCATCTCTCACGAGCTGGATGGATTGCGAGGTATGAAATCTGCACCTTCAGGACCTCATTTCATAACTCCCGGCAACAGTATTTCGTAGATCACCTGGACAGACTTTACGTTTCGTCTACATTCTTAAACATGTCCAGCACTGCCGCCCCCTTCTTGACCGCCTTGAAACCTTACTTGGGGAGTGTCAGTAACAACTTCACGAATATGGTATGTCACCTCATTGTATTTGTGAAAACTTTTCTAACAAAAATTTTCAGTGGAATGTAAGAGGCTCATTTGAACATCGTCAGACTGAGCCCACATCGTCTCGCAGATATACGACCACGTCAATGTCCAGTACACATATAACAAGACATATTACGAAACCCTACCTCCCACCTTCCTCCAGCAAGCGCGCTATTACTCTGATTGGCTCCAACGCAATGTCTTCACCGATTCCGTGCAAAATGGCATCGGCCAAAGTAGGTTTAGATTTGATGCTGAAAATGCATCCGACTAACGTTGCTGCAGTTTCTATTCGCACACTTCTACCTGAGGTCATCTGGGCCTTGGGTAACATGACAAAACCTTCTAACCAAGTCAAGATAAATATCCAGGAAATCGATTACAAGCCATTTATCAGTCTGTTTAACGTCACAAATGCCACCTTGACTGACCCCGAGATCTCTGGTACCGGTCAGTATTGTTTCATTAGTGTATGAATTCAGCACTGCAGACTGATACTAGTTCACAGTCAACTACGCCTCTGTCGTTGCTCTTGAGTTGTCACAGAATTCGCAGGGTCAGCATGAGGTCAGCATGAAGTTCAAGAACGGTACTCAAGACAGCCAGTTCCGTCAACTCAAGATGTTCGGCAACACAAGCATCACGCTTGATAGTTTGATTCAACAACTCTTTGTGAGTTGCTCTTTACAGCGCATATGTTTTCTTGCTCATGGCTTCGTTTAGTGGACTACAATCAACTCCACTAACAACTGGTGCTTCTCATGCAATCAGACTATCAACCGCGGATGCTCTGTCTTCAACTTCAGTAATGACCCATTCTTATACGGCTATGGTACCGGTTATACGGGCTAGAAATCATGAAACCACGGATGCCTTTTGATCTCCGTAATGTAGAATGTAGAATGTCTAATTCTTTTTACTAATACACCGTTCTCCGGAACCTCCTTTCAATGAGCGAGGACAACTTCCAGCAAATAAGAACAGCGACATCGCAAATGCATTGCAATTTCCCTCGCCCTCGCCTTGGACCATGCTTTGAAGGATGAATAACTCTCCCCTGAAAGGGTTCTCATTGTACCCATGTGAGACATACCTGGAATTTCCAGTACGGGTGGGTTTTTTCGGGATGGTACTACTGTGGGTTTGGACAACGCACTGCATGAAACCCAGACTTGTGTGAGATCTTGGACCACACAGACGTATATCCTATAACCCTTACACTCGATTACACACCGAAACTCAGTCGGACCTGGCACCACTTCAAACGACAATATGTAGATTAGTAGTCGGAAAAACAGGAGTCCCACATGAGTCAAAGCGTAGGGTTGCGTGGGTAACTCTTTGCCCCACCAAACTCCGCTGTCGATAGCGTAGTATTGCACATCCGGATCCAAGTGTCTGCTCGCATTCATGGCGACAGCAACTCCATAACTGAGGAATTTGGGTGGATATCGTTCGACTTCATATCCGCGGTGATCCTATCTCAGTTTGCCTTGGGAATCTATCTTGCTCTTGCCCGATATTTGAAATGCGATCGCATGGTGATATCACACGCGGAGTGTTTTCGTGCGGTGACTCAACTTTTTATAGATTTGAATGCAAGTGATGAAAACCCGAACGTCGGCATGAAATGTCTCTCAGTAGTTGAGTAAGATTTCAGCCTGCATTTGTCACTGATCGTTCAGTATTAAGCGAGGGGCGCCGCCAGTCATAAGTATGGAGGCTGTAGTTGGCGCCGGCGGAGTTCTGTATCTGCGGCTAATATGTCGGTCCACTTCTGGGACATAATGCATTATCCTTGCCCCCCGCCTGTCATGCGAACTGTGATTGCATGATGTCGCCATTGCAAGCGCGCGGTCATTGGCCTTCGATACTCGATTGAATGTGGCGACACAGAAGTACACTTCAACTGCGACGTCCTGTTTGCCTGCATGCTGCACTGTCCTCGAGGCTTGAGCGAATGGGGTGCATTCCACGTGGGAACTTGGGCTGTGAGATAGAAGTGCCTGTGCAACGCTCGATGTTACTGGTAGCCAGACAAAGAGGTTCCATGTTATCTTTAGAATTCACCAATGGCAAGAGACATCTGTGCTTCATCATGTTACAGGCAAATAAACTTGCTCCGCCGACCCAGCGCGCGAAAAGGGTTCACGCACGGGAGAAGAGTTCCCGCAGCACTGGATTGTGCCAGTCTGGCATTGGCGCGGCCGCCCGCTTTAGCCATGGAAGCGACGGCGGAAGCCATTGAAAGAATGCAGAGCATTTCAAAGAAGAGAGGGTTTGGAGAGCTGATAAGTGAGAGAGTTCCAGGGCTGGTCAGATGGTAACTTGTAGTGGAGAGATGGAACTGTGCCCGTCTTTTATAAGCTAGCTAGCGCGGATCAAAAATTCTTCAGGCATTTTACCTGGACCATGAATTTTGTCATGCTAAGCAGACGATATGATTGAAGGACGTAAGATCGTAAGCCCAGTATGCCGCGACGCGTAGGGGTTGAACGTGCCTTGACTCGGACGTTTTTTGATCTTCATGCTGACCAGACGAGTCTGAATTTTAACGCGTTTGTCACTCATCACATGACTCTTGTGACCACTACCGATGCCCGGACGTTGGTCTCGTCCTCGCAGCTCTCCCTTGATCACGCCAACCTCACGCCATGTCAAAATCGCCCAAGAAAAAGCGTGACACTTGCGCTGCCTTATATTCTGCTGGTATACAGTGTAGTATGCCGACTGTTGATGGTCCACTTTGGTGCCCGCGACACAATGAGGTTAGTTCCTCAAACACACGGTGGCGGTACTCTATGGGGTTAAGCCGGTGGTTTGAATCTCGTTCTAGGAACGACTGAAACTGTATGCAAACTACAAGGCGCATCATGCACTGCTCGACACACTTGTCGATAACCCGGCGTGCAGCGATGTTACGACAATCCTGGGGTGCACCGCCCTTCCGCTCCTCAAGGAATGGAATGATTGCTTGAGGCTCAAGTATAATTTGTTGACCAGGTACATGCCTTTATGAGTTTCATTTCACTGTCATCCACTGAGTGCCGGTGGAAGATGTATAGAAGCTCGAGTCTACTTCTCCGAGCGTTTTTTCGGGTGAGTAGGCGTCTTCAGTATCATTTGACCTCATTGATCGCATTGCTTTTTTACCATGATAGCAATGACATGGTATGAGATTCTAGGCGGAATTTTGAACCTGATTTCACCTGCAGGATAATAGGACTTTGGTCACAAAGCCTTTTGGGAATCCCTCGTCAAGAAACGTGCTGAAGTCGAAAGATTCTTGTACTACGTCGAGACGCGGGGCTATCAACTCATCCTACAGGCACAGAATGCGCTTTGGGTCTTGGATCGCGACCCTGATGCACACGATCCAGGAGACTGCTCAGGATATGAAGGCGAATCTCTTGTTCGTGATGCCTCCTTCCATTCTATAGAGAGCGACCGGGATGCAGCTATCGACGATCCTCTGGAGGCGGTACTGCGCGAGAAGTCTGTGGAATTCCTGGAGAAGATTAGGTCCCGTCTGGCCCGATACTGCTGCACCCCTTCTACCTCCAGGTACCACGATGAACGACTAGAAGTCATATACGCCTATGTGCGCCGCGGAATTTTCACGGAGCCAGCCCTCATGTTCTTGTCTCAGAGCTACGACAGTGTCATGGCGCTTCTCAATGATGACAACCTGGACCTAGTGACCTTGGAAAAGATCTGGAATGCTGTCAAGGCTCTGTGTGTCCACGATATCAGAGATGCTGTGGACGACGTTCTGCGGGCCAACAGGGAAGGCGACTACGTGATGGTCTTGGGGGGCAAGGTTTTCAAGGAGACCAGCGGTGAGGAATGGCCTTTGCACGCCTGGGGCCACATGATGGCAATCTACCATTGTTACTCCTGCCTCCGCATGGCGTGTAAGACGGTACGTATCTATACCATGCACCCGTGAGTTAGTAGCCTATGCTTCAGTTCTCCAGATGGACGAAGTCATTGCCATGACCCGATTTGCCTTGTTCTCCGAGACAGCCCTCTCCCAATCGTGTGTCAAGTACGAATACGGCTTCGACGGTGCGAAAGAACTGATCTTGGCGGGTTTTATTCCCAGCGACATACCGCTCTCCTCACCTCGGCATTCCATCATTTGCACGGATAGTGGTTCTCAGTCGTTCGGGCTCATGTGGGAGGAGACGAAGCGCAACCTGTCTCTGTACGGCTCTCTATCTCTCAACGACGCTAAAGCACAAGCCTTTGTCAATGGTTGCATCCGACATCCTGACCTCATGGTCATGTTGCGCAAGGGGGCAGACGGACGTGTCATCCGCTCGCGGCCGGTGGTATGGACCTCGCGGAAGCGACACGCGCGGAGCCGCTCAGCACTAGCATCTGTACCATGGGAGAAGACACGCGACGTCGTGCGCTGCGAGGACGATGACCTGGAGGAGGCGCAACCCCCTGGGTGGAACCACGAGAAGATCGCGGACTGCTTGATGGTAGTGCTCGTTGATAGCGGCGAGGGTAACATGGGCGACTTTGTGCGTAAGCTGTTAGAGATTTGGTGCCAGGTGTACCATGTCAAGGATAAGAAAGAGCTTTACTGTGCATTGGAGACGACGTTCGTAGAGGCCGGGGAGCTCGAGCAGTGCACATGTGGGCGACACGACATCGCATTCACGCCATCAATCACCCAAGGAAACGTGATGAACGCGTATGAGAGTTTGTGGGGGACGCCGCCGCCACCTTGGTTAATAGAGAATCCGAATAGGTTCCGCCTGGCAACGGATTCGTTTTGAAACGGGTCTGGAGTTTTCTTTACGACAATCTACTTATGCAGGAAAGCAACGAACTTGTAACAAGTTAAGTCATTGGTTTCGTGGATATACTTGGTATCATAGTGCCACTCCCTACTTTGGATTATATATATACCTACCCACAGCTAGTGGTAATCCCCTGCATTTTATATCCCGTGGTTCATAGTATTACACATAGATACAGCGAAACAAAAACAACCCGACTACAGTACTAGTGGCACTGAATGCAGAGTAAGATCCAACTACCCTAGAAATTCTCTGCACAGAACGAGTCAGCTAGGCCTGGCAACGGAGGGACAAGCAGAAACGCACCCTTGCCAAAGAAGAAGCGCGTGCCTTTGGGATTGGAGTATTTGTTGGACATCTGGTGGAGCTGCCTGGAGAGCACTGGGGGGCCACAGAAGAACTAGAAAAGAACGGGTGAGCGGATGAGTTAAAAGTAACAACAAGCTACGAACCACTCCAACATCAGTTTCGGGGTGCTTTTCAACCATGGAACTAAACACTTTGTCCCAGTTTGGCCTGCCAAAATGAGTGGGAGCACGCAGCGAAGTAATAGCGTCTTTCTCTGCACCGACATCTTGGACCTAAGGAAAATATAATTAGTACAAAAACTACCAAGAATACGGGGTACCGCGCACTATAATGTTGTTCATGTCATCCTCCTTGATCTTTGCAGTAAGGTAGATATTGATCTCGATTCGGTTTGTCGTGTCCTGCTCTTCAATAGCCTGCAGTAGCGAGTGGAACCACTCGGCGCTGCCAAAGTCGCGGATGACCCAAGTGAAGTAGACCTTGGAGAGACGGGTAGGCTTGGAGTTGTTCAAGTTGTTCATGCGGTACCAGATGGACTTCAAAATGCTAATGCATATGGTCAATAATGTCATCAAGTAAATGAGGGATGTGATACGCACGAAGCGAAGGGCGTGACGCCAATTCCAGCACCGACAAGGAGGACAGTCTCGTAATTTAAAAAGTCCTCGCTGGCACTACCGAACGGACCGTCAACCATGATACGAGGGAGCACACGGTTGAGCGGCGGATTTGTGTTCGTGCCAATAACCTTCCCACCGCTGGCGTCGACATCCTTGGAATCCTTGGAGTCGAAGTTACAGCCGATAGCCTTGGCAAGCGCAGCGGTGAAATCACCAGCGACACGGATGTGCACAGAAATATAATCTTCCTCAGGAGCACTGTGGCATTATAAGCATTTCCTCGCAAAAGCGATTAGGGAGTTGACTTACCTCGTAAGGGTGAAGGGATGCCACTGGAAGTAGGAGATCTCTGGGCAAGAGATGAAGATATATTGCCCTGCCCGAGTAGTGGTCTTCTCTTTTTTGATTTGGATTTCGACAACTTTAGATGGGTGTTGGATGACCTTGGAGATAAAAGTCTTATGACGTGAACGAACTTCACGTAAAATCCGCTCGTATGTCCAAATGAGGCCACCGATAAGCCAGTATCGCTGAAAAAAATCGTTGTCAAGCGATGGCACAAAATTAGCTTGTTAAAGTTCACGCACCCAGAAGACACCAATAGTGTTGAAGGAACAGAACGGTTCTCTGTCCGGCTTGATCATGCACCACATACCATGGAACTGCCAAGCGAGGAAGAAGACGACAAACAAATGGTGTGTGTACCAAAACCTCTCAAAGTTAGCACGGCGCCTTTTCTCCATAGCGAACCAGACCATGACGCCCAATGCAATAGTCATAATCCAACCCGTAGCACCGGGACCGGTGGCAAAATTTGCTTGCAAGAAGACGAGCACACGCTTGCCAAATGTATTTGCATCTGGATCAGCGAGAGCAAGCTCGTAAAAGTTGTGCATGTGAGCACCGATGTGGATTAGAGTAAAGACAACCATGGACCAGGCTGTTGCCTTGTGGAATGTTATGTTCTTGTCGAACGGGATAAACGAATTAAGGGGTGTTCTGCGAAGCAGGGAGATGAAGTTTCGGCAGACTGGCAAGAGAATGAAGATGACATCGGTGTGTAGTACAAGTGCTGCTGATCTAGCGATAGCTATGGTAATATTAGAGGGGGACCTACACGACATATCTGAATGCTTACCGTAGGTGACGCCAAACGTTGCGCGGGCTCCAGTGAGGTCGTCACTGAGCTGGTAATTCATGAACCCGAAAGCAATAACAAGCATGTGGAAAAAGATCCAAGCAGAGAAAAAGAGGCGTTTTCCACCCTCGTTGATCATCCACAGGTCAAACTTTTGACCGAGAGTTTGAGGACCATCAGGAACTTTGAGTGCACCAATGCCAGCATTTGGAAGAGGCTGCTGGATACCCTGAAGACGGAGGCGTTCTGTTTTGTTACGCTGGAGGTGGTTTGGTAGTGCATAGTCACCCGCGCCGTCGACGAAGGGGTCTTGGTCTCTGAATGGGTTACGATCTTTGAAATCAAGACCGGAGGACCGTTTGAAATCGGACATGAGTTGTTCCGGTCAATAGTTGAATGATACAAAGAACGACCTGCGTATATAACAAAAGAGAGGACCCGCCTGCTGTAGAAAAGGAATATGTATGATGGGGGGGCACGGTAGGATTAGTAAAAGGTACTATGACAAGACAATTTATGCATTATTGTTCCCCGACGATGATCATTCCCACGACGAAACTTAACTACAGGTAACTACCCCGTGTTCGTTACTACTTGCACTTGCAATGCTATGTTTCGAAAGTGTGCATATCATTCTGATAGCCAGAACATCACTAAGGCTGCGCCCCCAGGGCCCATCACTCCTCATATCAGATAAGTAGCGACATCCGGCTGTGTTCTAGAAAGCCTGTGTGGCCGCGTACGGTACAGTCAAATTAAACTTATTAACAGAAACGTTATGGTCCTCATACTATCTCCCCTGGTATGCCCTGGCAGTTACTTTCTATCCTCGTGCCTCAACTTGATCAGGTCCATCATTATTGCGGCATAAGTTTCATCACTGTTTAATCAAAATTGATGGAGCAGGCTGTTCAGATAGCTCCGATTCGTAGTTCATCATGACTGCAATACGCACCCTTGGCTCAGTCACGGTGAGCTTGAGCTGACAGATATCTGATAAGACTATGAGTGGTCTCAATCAAACCAAATGGATTACCGCGGCGCTCCTGGGTCCAGGGCGAATATCTCGCCATTCCTATGGTTGGGGCACAGGTGTTTGACAACGGTTCCGTTAGCACTGCGAGGAGCTAAAATTGATAACACAGCATATGACCTACACGCCCAAATTCAAGAGACCAGGCCGCCGACAGTCACTTGGTGACCGGGACCTGCCACAGTGACAGTGACTTCATGTGAGGGTATTCTCCGACTCTCCGACAACCGGGCCTTGAGCTTGAGTCCCAATGGGCTGCCTCTCAAGCCCGACCCACGACCTCAAGCTAAATTTCACAACAATAGTTCTGCTGGGCTCGTGATCGGATGTCGACATGTCAGTGGTCGCTGGTGCTGCTTGCCCACTTACTGACAGACAGTCTGGAATTCAGCATCCCGCAGCGTAAGTACACATGAGTCCAACGAAATTATATCAGCTGTCCGTCAACTGTAACATCGAATGACTGCTACTACACATTAATATATTAGTATCCAGAGCCTCTTGTACGGTTGGATTCGAGCGAATGATCATCCGCCATTGAGATCAGCCCATATGTATTCTATCCTACTTATCGTCCCTCCTGGTAAAATTTGAGCTGGAGTAGTATTTGCCACGTACCCTACTTAGTAGTAGCCCATTCTACAAAACAATGTGTAGTTCCTGATAGATGAGTTGCAGTAAAAAAGTAACACGCCCGCCGTGTGTCAACGGTGACATGTGAAACCTCGCATACCTATACTCCGCTAATGTGTTATACCTGTGGCTGCTTCATGCCATTCGAAGGTGAGCAACCTCTCTTTGAACGCCTCTGCGTCATCTGGAGAGATAGGAGGCCCACCATGTACCTGCAAAACCTGCAAGTTGTTGAAAGGGGCCTGTGATGTGATGTCTCTATCCCGCGCTCGTTGCACCGCATCGTTGCGTGCATCGATCAAGGCCAGAAGCGCATCTGCGGAGAACTCTGTGCAATTGTCTATCTTTAGTTGGGACCAGTTTGGAGACGTGAGTTTGTTTGGATCCCAAAAACGGTGAATGTCACGGATGGTACGATCGTCGAACGTGGGACAATTTTTGATGGAAAGACAATTGCCGTCCCAGATATTGATAGCGTTAGCCATGTGTGAGAAAGGACCTTCCAGCACGAGGGTGTCAGCCTGAGTCAAGCGAATGTGATATACACAAGGTGAGAGCTCGTGCTTGATGTGTACAAGGCGTGGAGCTGGTCCGGTCTTAGACATAAAGATGGCACGGACCGTCGAGAGGTCAATGGACTGCAGGCTCACAGCTTCGATCTGAATGTCGTAGCCGTCCTGTCGCGTAAGAATGCCATCAAATGAAGTATCTTGAAGAGTCAGCTTCTGAAGTATTCCAAACAAGCGATGAAGTCTGTCGACGACAAGCAAAACGTCGTGCAGGTGCAACTCTCCTGTTGGGTATTTGCCACCGGAATAGCGCGAAACACATAGGTCCTCTAGGTTTTGAAGTGACTCGACCCAGTGAAGGGCGCAAGCGTCGCGGAAATTGCGCCCGTTGAGAAAGAGGTGCCGAAGCATTGGAGCGTAGAAGCGCCACTGCTCAGGATCTTCGCTGCCTACGAGGGGATGCTCGCCATCATCGACCCCACATTGCAGCTTTAGCCGTTCAAGGAGAGGTGCAGTGGCGTTCAGATAGCGAAGAGCAGGCAAAGAGGAGCTGCGAAGGAGCTGGAAACATAAAGCCCTGCAGCGATGTAGATGGGGAACAATCAGCGCCATGGCTGCGGCTGCTTGGGCGCCCTCGTCATCATTATTTGTGCGAGAATGAGAAAGGAATCGTTGATCTCGCGTGACGGTGATTTCGAAAGGGAGCTTTCGGGAGAGATGAAGGTATGTGTTGATATCTGAAAGCTTTGTGGTGTCAAGATTGATTATGATACGTGTCCAGAAGCGTGGCACCGACGCAAGAACATCTCTCCAGGCCTTGCATGCGGCCGCGGGAGCAAATGGGAACTGCGTGCGAGACTGCGGGCTACACGCAATCCACTCTCCGTTCAGCGTACTATCTGCGTAAACATGCTCGAAGATTAATAGGAGCAACTCTGGTGGCAAGCCTCCATTATTGAGTCGACGGTGATGAGCAACAAATTGGGGTTTCCTGCGTGAAGTTTCCACCCTAGTTAGAACTGGATGCATACGGGGGAAGAAGGGAGAAGTACTGGTCATGCGAGGTCTGGCCACTGGAGTTAAGGTGGAAACCTGCAGGCGCATAGACAAGTGATTTCTGGGTGATCATATGTGGAGACTCCAAAGATAGAATGCTTATTCAAAAACAGTTATGTAGCAACCAACTGAAAGTTTTTAGTGTGCAAGAGCATTACCATGGTATGTAGTATGGAAGCAATCGATCATTGAATATGAATTTAAATATCACAGCTGTTATATTCCCACAAAGGTTGAATCAGACTCCCGGCTAACAACAATGGCCTTGATCGCCGACGTGGCTCATAGCTTCACCGAAGCCTTCAAATTCGAGGTCTAATATTCATCATGCACCACTTCCATGGCAGCCTTGGATACTAACAACGTGTTGCAAGGTCCGCTACGACCCACTTATAAATCACCAGTAGTTGGGGTGATCGGCAGTTGCAGCATGTGTAGGTGAAATTGCGCTGTTGCATGTCAAGATACGGGGGTCATAATATAGGTATAGGCTAACGTCGAGTGCGCAATTAAGTCTGCTCCGTAATAACCATCTTTTTGCGCTCTGCGTTTGGTTTGCTCTCTCCGGCACATGTATGTTTCCGCCGACGTTCTTCCTTGACGGCACGAGTATCGAGCATAGTGCGTTTGAGCTTCGCAGCCTGGTAAACTGGCTTTGGCAAGTGTCGGTTGCTGTGCTACTAGTGAGCACGAATCAAACTGAGCAGAAAAATTGTTACCGTTGAATCCTGCCAACTTCGTTGTCGTGCTTCCATTTGTCTTTCAAGGTATCCCGGTATTCGATTGCGGCGCGCTCCCGGGCTGTGATGATACCAAGTTTTTCTGATGCTTTGGCTTTCCATATCCGTACATTACCATCGTCGGAGCCCGTCAGTACAAAACGTGCGTCGGCAGTGAATATAGATGATGAGACCCTTATCGCAGTGTGTGAACAAACTGACGAACGGAGATACATGGACTTACCTTTGCATTCGTTTAGTATGATACACTTCTGGTCTCGTGCCCTGACCCTCCTTCCATATTCTTACTGTTCGGTCCCATCCACCACTAACAAATTCCAATCCAGTCGGGCTCCAATCACAGCTCATAACTGCTGCAACATGTCCTTTGTAGATGTGAGTGGGAGTTTTCAGTTGCCTGACATCAAACGTATAGAGATTGTGATCCTCAGATGCAAGCAAGACATTCGTTGGAAAAGTTGGTGACCATGCAAGCGCGTTTGAGCTCATCTGCATGACAATACGACGCTCTGCCTTTCCTGTGCGAATATCATAGAGGGTGAAAGTTCGATCTGAGCCAATGCTGCCAAGTACACTTGTTTCACTCAAATTGAATCGCACAGACGTGATGGTCTCTGTGGACGTGGGGAACGTCAAGTTGGATATTGCGGCGCTCCTGAATGCGAAATCAGCTGAGACATGATCATAGAGATGGACAACGCCCACTTTGTTTCGTCCCATATTTGAACAATGTTTGAAGCTGTAGCAAAAAGTGGATCTGAACGATGGTGATCTATTGAACTGTGGAGGGACGCGTCAATCAGATGTAGATTCCAGCGTATCTAAGCAGCGTACTTGAATGCTGATTTCCCCGGATATTCGTTCAGTGGGCGCTGCTCCTAGATGGACTGGGGTAGATATACAAAAAAACTCATCGCCAACTGAGAAACTGACTGTTATATCATCTTGCGGGCTCGCGTCCCAAAGTTTGATTTTGCTGTCCACGCCGCAGCTTAGCAGCCGGTCGTCTTGAGCAAAACAAAGGCCCGACACTTTGCCCTTATGAGCACCTTGTATTCGACGGATGTGTTTGCGCTCGGAAACATTATGCAAAATCACGCCTAAGGGAAGAAAAAATTTGGGGTATGAATGGTTGTCAGCCAAGTCGATTTCTCAACGCACCTCCATCCCAGCTACCACTGGCAACAGCACTCAATGACCCAGGCTTTTTGCATAACACCTCGACCGCGTCTATGTGACCCTCGAGAGCCCCTACGAAGGGCTTTGCAAATAGTTTGTCCATTTTGGCAGCATTCAAAGCACGATTTCGCTCACGAGCACGAGCAAATGGGTGCATCAAGGGATCGAGATTGCGGGTGGTAGGCGTAGGGTCTCCAGGACGTGCAGGTAGGTGTACTGAAGGAGCATGTTGGAGAACAGATATTTTCTGAAAGGGCTCAATGATACCAGTCTACTTGATGCGACTAGTCTAATGCTCACCACCATGGTATGTCCGCAAACAACTATTCTGGTGTCACTTACTGAAGCGTTTCAATCCTCTGCAAAGTGTAAATGCATCGTGGGAATTTGATACGGTTTGGTCTTTTTTTTTTTTCGACACCTGGGTACTACTATCGTGGTGTTGAATCACATTGCTCAGTTTATGATCGTGGAGTCCATCGTACGTTCGCTTGCCAGATGTTGGACATTCCTGCCATTGATATAATTACACTCATTTACTGTCACGAACTGCAGATACGACGGCGTTTGTCATCAGCCTATAATGGCCCTTCAGGGGATTTAAAATTTAAACACCATTCCACGATGCGGCATATACCATCCCTTGAAGATTTCCGAGTTACTTGTTGAATTTTCGTTCGCTGTCACCGCCACCTTCTCTCGTCACCTTGCATCTCTAAATGTGGTCATTTCTGTCGAGTAGTGTGAGCGGTGGTAGTACTACTAGTGGTATCAAGTAAGTGAACATATCTGTTTGTGTCGATAGCTTTTCATCAATTAACACTCACCCTCACACTTGGGTCAGTCGCATTAGAAAGTTATCCACCGTTTGAGCTGTTTTAAATGGCCGTCAGGCTTCATTCTGCTCATCATATGATGGTGTTCCGTAATGGCTGCCAGGGTATATGGTGGTGCCGCTCCGATGGAGGAACAGATACAGGAGTGTCCAGGTTTCCGCTATGTTGCATCATCCATATTTCCACCAGTTCATTTGCGTCGCGTGCAGTTGCTACTGAGCAACTGCGGATCAGTCGCTTCTCTCCATCGCGCTAGAATGAGATCGACTTTTGCACCTGGCCGGGAGTCGGTGCTGGATCTCTGTAAAACATAGTGTTTGCGCTGCCACATTTTACCATCACACAGCAATGCAGCCTATGTTCCTCGGAGTCGGAGACTTCCGACGCCAAGTTCAATCAGCGAATAATTCATTCTCCGGATCATGCTGATGAGTTGCGTTCATAATTTCATTTGCTTTGACTATATCATCATGCGAGGGAGACTGGGCACTACAAGGTCTCGATGTGACAGCACATCGCCCGCCTCTGCAATTCGTTTTTCCCTCGTATCCTTGCAGTGATCGACTCGTCGTTGTTTCCATGTTGGAAATAGTCTTTGTTAGCCGGTCGCTAGTTCGGTCTTATACAGACACAATTTACAGAGAAGATCAAGAGCAGGTAAGTTTCGGTTGCCGTTCGTCGATGCCACATACTTAGTACATTGTTTCATTGCGTCATTTTTCTCGCACGAACTGAGAAGGGCTGAGAAGCAAGATTAGCAAATGCAGGCAAATCAAATTTGGCCCATGAGGCCGTACTAAGTGAAGCTGCGACTGTGACTCGGCGGATGTAGCAGTACCGTCTCGAACCAGACGTTTGGTACCTCCAAGTCGGCAATCTTCAAGCTGTTGGCTCGGAAAGTGCCAGCGGTGTTTGTATTCGACACCGCTTCCCAGGATGTCCAGTAGTATTACTAGCTAGTCGCAATCTGTGAGTTATAACTTATACGTGTAACGTAGCCAGGGTCTCTCTTCTAAATGGGTTTGCAGCCAGAACTCAGCGATCAGCGTTAGGATCAACCCAGCTGTCACGTGAGAACAGGAATTTGCCGACGCATATTGGTGGAGGGGGCCCCAGTAGTGGATACGCGTCCAGTGTCGCGACTCGCGCGCCTATTGCCAATCCTGCCTTTCGACGACAATTCATTGTGCAAATAAGGTAATCAGTGCCGATCAGCATCTGCCACGTGGAAATCCAAAGTTCTGATGGAAGATTATATCTGTCGTTCAAAGGTTGTCCAACGATTAGATATGACTCCATTTGTATCCCCCATCATCTAGCCAGCTATATAGGCTGAGCCTCTCTCCCGCAGTGCCGCCTTCGCAGCAAGTACTGCATTAATATTATCGCTCGATCTCAGTCTCTTCCAGCCAACTCTAGCCATCGTTCATTGGCTTCTGTCCACGATCCTTATTCACTTACCACAAGCTTATCGTTCTTCTTGAGCAGCTGCTTGCTAGTATGAGTTCACCATTGGGCTCTGTAGCTTGTCTGCTTCCTGCAGAAAATCTTCGCTGCATTCCTCTGAACCCCATTCAAATTCACACTCTTACCATACCTCCTGTTATCGGGCTCTTTTTCTCCCTGTTTTTGATTTATACGACTTGGAGATCGAGGAGGTGCGTCAGATTTAATTTTAGCTGAAAAAGCTTGGATATCGAGTCCAACGTTTCTGCACCGTTCCTCGCGACGATACCCTTTAATATCTATCACCATCTGTCACATTGATCGGCTAATGACTTCACATCTAGAGAGCACCTATTGCTAGCCGCAGATGGTGTTTTTTATTTTATCTTGGCGCTTGTCGACCAGTTATTGTATCTATTACCCGCTGCGCGGAATTCGGTTGCCACTTCTAGAATGGCCGAACTATTCCTTGGTATGTGACCATGCACACCAGAGAGCCTGAACGCTGAGACCCACACCTACTCTTCCATTGCTGCAGGATCTGTTTCTTTTGTTCCTATGCTATCATACACTTCCTATCTAGCCTGGCTGAGTCTTAGGGAATTCATCCCCTACCTCCCTCGCCGTCACCAAACTGTAGCCAAATATCTATTCACCGGTTTCGTTCCCGTGATTGGAGTGTTGAATTTCGCAGCATCGCTCGGAATGTCTATCCGTGAGAGATCTAATCCATTCGTGTTGTTCATGACTGATGTATCGTCAGAAAATTTATCCTTGCCACAGACCCCGCTCATGATCGACTTCACCAACAAAAACGAATCGCTATGGCTGAGTCTCTGCCAGCTGTCACTTGCACTGTATACGAACTATCAATGTCTAACAGCCTTTTTCGCGTTGTACCGGCTCTGTACAGCCTTGTTCGATCAACTGCGCATCGACACCCATAATACCGACGAACGCCATTTTTTCAACGGCACTGGGTGGATTGCTTTCGGAATCAAAGTAGGAGCTGTTGAAGGCATTATTGGATTTGCAGCGGGCGGTTTCGCTATTCCACTTTCCAGAAGAATCCTACGAATGGTTTCCAGGGTTTGCATGATTATTGGCATACTAAAGGGGTGGGTTTCCTCGGAATCACATTTGTTCAATTTACTAATATTCAATGCACAGAATGGACGAAAATGAAAACTTTGAGTTCCTCAACAAGGAGCTGGTCTTGTGGCGTCGTGGCAAGCCTATATCGACCTCCCACTCGCTCATAGCCAATCGACGTATGACCATACGGTCTTCACAAATCCCAGACCCGACTTGCGAACCCACTTTAATTGAAAAGGATATGGAACGAGGCGAGGCAGATCAACGGGTAACAGTGCACGATGAAGTTGGCGAGCCGCCGGTCTTGCACACAGGCATGCGCTTTTCCGCACTCCCTCCTCCCGAATGGGTTATCCATGCAGATGAATTGCGGAGGCGATCTGACCAGAACACATCTGCAGAAGTGCTTACATCCCGCAATGATGCCAGGCGCCAGTCTGCGCAGACTATCTTCGACGATGCAGGCGTTGTCCTTGGACTGACCCCTGACTTGCCCCCGGGCCTTACTGGCACGTATCCCCAGTCTATGCTCAGTCAAGGACACGGGGATGACAAGTTCGAGCTTCCAGCTCTTGACCAACAGAGCACGCGTCGTAATGCTGCACAGTCATATGGCGAAGAGGACGCAGCTATCGAATATGCAGCGCTCTATGCTAGAAAATCCATGGAACGCAAACCCAAATTTCCGCTTATATCCATTCCGCAGTCCACGCATGCGCGCGTGGAAGGATCCATGCCAGCATGGACAAGACCTGTATCACAACAGCACAGCGGAAAATATCCGGTCCGTTTTCCCACAAGACCAACACGGGCACGAATCACTATTCATGCCCCTACCGCTCAGCTAGGAGGCGAGAGCTCGGACTCACTGAAACGCCGCAATAGACAGCTGTCATCCCTTCACTTGCTTGAGCGTGCGAGCAAATCCCACAGTGATGTCACTACGCATTCTTCACAGTGGTCAACCGTCGCACGTTCCCAATCGCCTGCGAGTACCAGGATGTATGATGGTGGAATGGCAATCAATCCACAACGCGCATCTACTCATCCTGACGATTTGATGTCCCCATCGAGCGCAGAAACCTTGCGCGACGGTAGGCTGCAGATCGTCATCGATCGGATGCATATTACATCTGCGGACGCTGTCATACACGAGTTCGAGAGCCAGGCAGCGCTCAACCGAGAGAAAGCTTTGCGGAAATTGAACGGGGAAGTAGGTGTATGAGATTCAAGACAGAGATGTAGGGAGAAGACAGTTGAGGAGCGAAGACAGTGTTTGACCAGACGGTAATTTCTTGCTTGGTGACTGGATTCCGCACCGCGACAGCAAATTTGACAAAAAAAAAAAGAAAAAAAACTACCTTCAGAATCGATTAGTTTCGCTGTATCTGTATAACTTTCTTTTTTACCTCTGCTCTCCGTAATAGTGTCTCATTCCTGTATTGATAGAAACTGTCATGGATAGAATGCGTAAAATGCAGAAGCTAGCATCATTAAACGAGACTGCGAGTACAAGAATCATGTAGCGCAATATTGGTTTAGTTCTGCACGGGACAATTAGTCTGTGAAATACGACGCAAAATTTTGTAACGTACCTCTGGTATCCTAAATATCGTTATTTCCTGTTTGTTAAGGTCAGGTAAATGTAGAGCAATGGAAAATAACACAACATACCTGTTGTTTGAAGTACCGCCGATTCTCCTCATCGATAAGCACAAGATTCAGGTAGTAACGTGTGCTAAATTTCTTGTTCACTTCGCGAAACGTCGGTGTGAGATCAAAGCCACCGAGAAATAGTCGAATAGGGATGGTTTCTCCTAAGAGTCGGTCAGTAATGAGCGTAGAAAACTGTGTGTTCGCGCCTACCTCTGACAGGAGCGCCATCCATGATTTCAAACTTTGTGATTGTCTCACTCTCGTTGTACTGATTTGGTGGGGAGCCAGTTGTCTCGCGTCGTATTATAGAAAGCTCCATATGCTTGATTTTGATACGAACAAGCAAAAAATATATCTTGCCAACAATCACGTCCTTCAGGTGATACCTGACGTATGGTCAGTACTCTGGCTGGTTGTGTAATAAAACATAACATACTTTGACTTGTTGTATTCGAATTCAATGTGCAGACAATCCTCAATGCCGACCTCCATCTTGATGGAATTGTTACTGTCTGGAGGCATGCGATATGAGTGTACCCAGATATCTCTCTCCTTCGTAACATCCGCCATTCGCCTTGCAACAGATACTCGTATAAAGTAGCTTTAGAAAATGTCAATTGGCATCTGCATAGCGCGAGAGATGTCGCACCGTAGCTTGACGTTGATGCCCTGGTAACTCTCGAATTGCTTCTCGACATTCTTGAAGAGGAAGTCAAAAGTCTGAGCTTGGCGCAGGTCCCCAGGCGATGCCAATTCTTGAGATAATGATAAGAATTCATGATGGTGCCCCCGATCGTAGAACAACTCTAAAGCCAAACAGCAGTGAGATGTCAATGAATCATGACAGGTAGGTGAATGCCCACCAATGCTGCCAACAAACTCAACCTTGATGCCCTCATGAGTCATTCGCTTTCCATCGCGAACGCGAATGGTCACCTGCAGCGGCGTGAGCATCTTGGACGTAATCATCCGGCGAAGATGCAACACATACCTGCCCTGTCACTGAGTCGCCGTCATAATAGACTGGAGATGAGGCTGTGCGGTCCTTGTCAGTCTTTATGTCCACTTGCTTCCGCAGCTCTTCCCCTTCCAATTTGATGTCAACATCGACGGGGGATGCGAAAAAGTATGCCATTGCCTAAGTTCGCGGAGGAGGAAGTCCCGAATATTTACTGTCTCGACTTGAATCACAAAGACTAATGGCTAGCTATGAGTGGCTTAGCTAGACTATCAAAATTGATGTTAGTCGGACGCTGACGGTGTAGATAATGAGTTTGAAGGAGATGACGGGTCGTCCATTAGGCACAGTACCAGTGATGATTACAGCACAGTGCAATTACTTCCAAATAAGGCAAATGAGTTACACACTCTCACCCCTCTGTTAGGGGTCATTGTAAATACACAGCAACACAGTCGAACAGCTTTCGAAATTCGTACCACACTTTTGCTTCCTTACTTTTTCCACCATGTCCGACTTCGAAGGTGACTTCGATGATGAGCTCCTTGAGCTTGCTGGCGCCACTGAGAAAAAGCGTAAACACCAAGCATCAAGCTCTAGGGCTTTCGCAGCCAAGAAACGCAGAACGGAGTGAGCCTTCTCCTTGATCCGGCTCACCGCTGTGCTCATTACAATTGTCGGGGAACCACAGAGTCTCAGATGACAGTGACGCAGAGGATGGGCCGGAGAGTGAAGAGGAATCGGACGTAAAGTTCCCGCTTGAGGGCAAGTACATAGATGAGTCGGATAGGGAGCGGTGAGTACATCTTGAACACATGTGCAAGTGTAACTTTGACACTGCCTCCATCAATCTATTGCTACGTGCTAGGCTACTTTCTATGCCTGAGATTGAAAGAGAAGAAATTCTCGCTGGGCGGCAAGAGGAGTTGATGCGAATACAAGACAAGCGAAAGCTACATGAAATGCTTCAAGCACAATCTGGAGATCCTGAGAGTATTTCGAAAGCTGCAAAACGTACTCAGAGTGCTTTATGGTGCAGGCTTCCTCTGATGCTATTGTTTTGCAGGCCAACGTACTTCCCGAGGCGCCACAAAAGAAAAGTCTCGTACACTAGACGAACTCAAGGCTAGGCGAAAAGCAAAGGACGAGAAGAAGCGTGTGCGTATGCTGATCAACAGTGTACTCACATCTCTTATATTTCAAGCAGACGAAGACGCACTCTCCCAAGCGAGACCGGTCCTCCTCACCCAATGACATGGACATGTCTTCGGGTGAGGAAGAGGATGGTCAAATAACGCGCTACGAAGAGGAAGAAGAGAAAGACAGGAAGCTATTTTCAAGGCAGCCTGACCCTGCGGATGAGCCTTCGTCGCTGGAGGACCTGATGGGGTGCAGATTAACGCGAGACCAACTTGCGAAATATTGCATGGCTCCCTGGTTCGAGGACTATGTGAAGGGTGAGTGCTGCAGTAGTCTATAATGTGCTATATGCTCAAGAACAAAGGTGGCTGGGTTCGTTATCTTGTGGGCCAAGACGAAAAAGATCAGCCACAGTACAGGATTTGTGAGATACAAAGTGAGTGTCAGAAATTGGAGCGTGAATGTTTTGCCTTATTTGAGCCAGACCTAGGAGTAAATCTCACGAAGCCATATAAGATTAATGATGTCACGGTGAACCAGACGCTTGAGCTGAAGCATGGCAAGTCGCTCAAGGCGTTCCATATGGACAAGGTGTCAAATGCCCCGTTCACACAGGTTTGTTTTCCGTCGCCAGTGGCCGTTTGCATTCACTCTATTATGATCTAGCGAGAATTCGAACGTCTAGGGAAAGTGTGCCTTGCAGACGACGTCAAGTTACCATCCAAGCGCACCCTTGAGAAAAAGGTTGCGCAGATGTCCAAGTTGATCACGCAGCCTATGACAGAAGTATGAACTTTTCCATTACCTTTTCAAAGTTGTCACTGCTGAACTGGGCTTAGAGCGACATCACCGCCATGTTGGCAAGGAAAAGCCAGCTATCGAACTTACCATCTGGTGCATCCCTCACATTGCAGCGTTCATCACTTGTGCAGGCCAGGACACTTGCAATCCGGCGACAGGACTACGCCGAAGTTGCTGAAATTGACGTCAAGTTGGCAGAGCTGCCCGCGGTAGCCACTCCTCGGAATGGGGGTGAAGAGTCGCTCAACGACAAACTCGCGAAAGTGAATGAGCGTAATCGCAAGGCTAATTTAGAAGGAATCCGCAAAGCGGAAATGTTGGAGTCCGAACGGAAACGAAGGGAACGCAAATTGAATGCCTCAGGCACCGCAACCCCAGCGGACCCGAGTGCGAGATTAAAAACTGTCCCAAGGTTGTTCAACGACACAATATCAAGGTTTGTACTCACTATTATGGTTGGTGTCACTTGGTCATCTGTCTTGCCCTTGATTGCATTATGCTTCGCTTCTCTGGTCATCAACTTCAAATGCAAATGGAATGTCATACAGATCGGGCACACCGAATATAAATGGGACTGGTACGCCTGCACTGCAGGCCCATGATGGGGCCGGTGGACGATCAATATCGCCGCTCCCACCTTTAGCATTGTCGGACCCGCGAACAGGCACGAAGAAGGACAAGAGCCTGGAAGTGTCTGTCATCGAAATGATAGAGGTCGATCTTGGAGATTTTTAGAATTGTGTTTCAAGCTTTGTTGGATTATGATCATCATCTTGCATTTGGGACTGTTTGTTGTAAATAATATTATTGTTCAAATTATAACCACCTCTTCACAGTAAGGTCCCAAAACAAATTTTGTTTGTTGATTTATGTAAAAATCTAAAAGCATGGAGAGAGGATATTTATGTATGGAATATTTAAAGTTCAAGATGGAGGAGCACTCCCCACTGGTACACTGGTTCTTAATCTCATTGAAAATATCTGGATTGTCCTCTCCACACCTCACCCTCAAACCCAACTGTTCACTCATGCTCCTTCATAATATTGATCCTTCAAGTGACCTCTGCAATGGAACATGTATGGTGTTATTGGAAATTTGGATGAGAGTGTTGAAATATGTATAAGATTTGGTTGCAAAAATTATGTTTCAGTGGTATAGATGGCCACATACACATCGATACACGTCGATACCCGGCAGGTGTCGGGGACTGGCGCAGCCGAGCGCTGTTACGGTACAGGTATCGAAGACGCCCCAAAGGAGCGCTTTGCGCTCCGTTTCCTGTGGGCTATGTAGTTATCTAACAATTAGTTCCGCTATTCTATGTCACGTGAGACAAGACACGTGTGGATGAGATTGCGCACGGTCCAATTAAACTTCCATTTTCGGACGATCATCTTTGACCAGTGCTCGTCTTCTTGCTTGCTGTCGCCCATGATGACAGGCTCTCCAGCCTCACTTGAGTCATTGAGCTCGCCCTCTCCATCGCCACCGCCCCAAGAAGATTCGGGTGCCGGCTTGGATGCCGAGTCCGAGCTATCAGAGCTTACGGACGATGAGCTCGTCCAGGAGTCTCAGTCGCCCAAAAAGAAGACTAAGACATTCATTGACGGAGATGCTGAAGATGGTTCACGTCGTCGTCAACCCCGTCGCGGAGGAAGAAAAAAGCGTGGCGGCCTGGTCCCTGCCCCGATGTGGGACTGGGCATACAAATCGAAGAACTTCAACTCAAATTCAAATTCAAAGAGTGAAGGAAGTGCTACACCCGGGGTCGAGGAAGAGGAAGAAGAAGAGATGGCTGGTCCGCCTCGAGCTATGGAGGAGGAAGAGGATGACGAGAATGAAGATGATCCAAGGGACGACCTCGATGGCGACAGCCCCGACGGGGATGCCGACGCTGACGAGCCTCTTGACGATGTTGGCGTACTTATCAATGGACGTGCGAAAGATTATGACGATGAGGACGGTGCTGCTGACCCGCAAAATTCTACCTCTAATTCGGCATTGGACGAAGAACCAGAGCCCTATGCCTCTGACGAAGACGAGCTGGCACCTGTCCCTCCAAAGCGCCGTCGCGTCGACGACCCAATTTCCTCTCCAAAGCGTCGTAACCTCCTTGCCCTATCAAACGGATTGCTTAAAGTAGAAGCCGACGGAGATGATGATGACGATCCTCCCGCCCTCAACGACCACGAAAACGACACCGAATCTGAGGACAATGACGGGCCCCCAGATGCGGGCTTGGACATAGACGTGGATATCGAGGCAGAGCCGCCCTCAGCACCGGTCAAGACAGTCACAACTGTTCCGTTGATTCCCATTGACATCACAGCTCCGCTGCCAGCGTCCGTCGCGCCCATCGCAGCCGCCGCCGCCTCACATTCAATAATGGCAGGTTCAACAGTCATTCATCCGCCATCTCCTACTCCGTCTGCATCTTCTGTGTCTGGGTCCCGCTCACCCTCCTCTTCGCGTTCTCCGTCGCCCAAACCCGAGAACGGCAGACCGCAACGTAAGAGTAAACGAGGCAAGAAGGACAAGGATGAAGACTGCGACGCTGCGACATTAACAGCTCCAGACGCTGAGTCCGCTCTCCTTGAAGCAGAGGTGGACGATGAACTAGACATGGAGATGGAGTTAGAATTGCAGCCTGCTCACCGTGCAGAAGCTCTGGATGTGCTTGCGACTATCGAGCTGAAGTTTGCACTATTACGGGAGAAGGTGTATGTCGAGAAAATGGAGGGGCTCGCGTGGGAGGAGGCATTGGTTTCCGAGGGTGTGCATGTTTACCCGTTTCAAACTTGTCCATGCTGAAGACCTGCTTTAGGAGCACACCCGGAGCTCATACATCTGCAGGCCGAGCTGAATAAACGTCGCGACAAACGTCTTGCCCTTGCTTGCAGAAAGCGCGTGTATGAGGTTGTATCCGCCAACAAACGGCGGAGGACAAACGAAGACGCGGTCTGGAGTTGGTGGAAGGTGCGTTTGATGCGCGTCCTGTCCATACCCGCTACTCACATTGTGTTTGGTGATTCGACTTAGGTCGCACGAGATGACCTACAAACAGAGATGATTGCTGAGACCAACCGTAAACGCCGTAAATTGGAGCGCGAACGCAGAGCTATCGAGAGACCTCAACCAAGTAAGATTATTTTCTCTTGCTTGTGTCTGTACGGTTCATGAATGTTCTTTTCGCAGTGCGCCGCATTCCTAACGCAATCCCCGATCCACCTCCCGCACCCACCATTCGTCAAATTGCACAGATATTACCTCTCACAACATCCCGACGCCACGTGCTTGCGACTGCATACCCCGACTTGAACGCGCTCCCTCAAGCAGATGCGGCTGCAGATCTCGATTTCCTGCATCAGCACCGTATGATGAATGCACGCATGGTTATGGGCCCAATGTATGGCGCGCCTTCCATGGATACTCTAGCATTCCATGGTGGCCCAGACGTGCGCATGCCGCCTCCGCCCCCGCCACCTGTATTCCAACAACCCAGCCAGGCGTACCCATTGGGTGCACCAGGACGCCTACAGCGCTTGCCGTCCGGACCTGCCCCAGCACAGTATGATGGCCTCCCTCCTCCCGCATACGGCCCGGGAATGCCGCCACCTCCTCATTCAGAACAACAATTTTTGAATGCAGCACTACAGGATACAACGCGATTTGCAATGCCCAAGCCAGCAGGTGGGATGGATTGGAATGTAGGAGCGGAAGGGCGTCGCCGTGAGGAAGAACTGGATCGTGAGCACCACCATCGACACCCGCACCATACGCATGCCCCACCACATCATCATGTTGGCGGTCACCACCATCACCGTCACCACCACCACGTGGTGCATCATCACCACCCGCCCGAGCCGCAGCCGCAACCGCAACCACAGCCAGAAATGGTTAATCATAAGCAGCAGCACTGGAATAAACATGGGAGCCGTCCGTCATCCACTCATCCACCTTATGAAGAACGTGACCGACCTGTTGCAACGCCATTCGTGTTGGCACCGTCGCATAATAGCATTGCAGGCTCGGCCTCGGGTCCTGGATTGTCAAGCGGGCCTGCGCCATCACCAAGGCATGGCTGGATGCATCAGGATGACCGCGAGCGCCCGCCCCCATTCCAAGCTCCGCCAGACCGCTACCATTCCCCTGGACCTCATCGGTACGCAGGACCTTCGTCGAGTCACTCTCAACATACACAATCTACCCTATCCCGTCAAAACTCATCGGGAGTTTCTCCACCTCGCGCCCGACCCCTCCCTCCCAGTCCGTCATCAATACCGCACCCTGGGTTGCGTTCGCCGTCACGCTTTGAATCTCATGCGTCTACGGCTAGTAGCCCAGTGATGAAGCCCAGGCGACCATTGTCTCCACCTCCGATGTCTTCGTCAAAGCTTGGCATGCCGCCTATTGGTCCAGCATCCGGGTTTTCTCCTCGCCTCGCGGGTCCAGGAGCACCGCCTAGAGAGATGGAGGGTGGCATGAACGGTGTCGCGTCGTTATTTGGTGGGGGAAGCAGAACAGCTTCCCCCCTCATTTCATACTTGCCAGCCACTCAAGGTCCACGACCTGCTTCATCGAAAGTGAATGCTATGCAAATAGTAGATGGACCCTGATTCTATACGTATTCTTCACCTTTCATCTTGTTTACTACAGCTATATCATCTTGTTGGGCACCGTACATATTGCATTTTTTTCTCCTTTTCACGGTAATTATGCCACGGAAACCTGGAACTTTGTATATTCTCTTGGGTCTTATTACAGAGCCTGAGGCCAGGATGGATTTCGTGATAATGTATATATGGGTCTCTCACTTGCCGGGACTTGGGAGAACATCGGCCGAGCGTGGTCGAATTATGTAATAGGGCACAACTTGTGTTTGACTTTGCAATCACACTGCAGCTGATCCGACCTTCGTCCCTGGTCGTACCCTCGCACTGCCTCTTTATGACTTGCATGCGCCGCCGGATCATCCCTACGTGCGAACGCCGTACGCATATTCAGCGCTGGTACAGCTCTATGCGAGATCACGCCAACTGGACTCCGCGAGTGTACGGTTTGCCCGTATGGGAGACATATCACCGTGGTGCCAGTTTGGGTGTGAGTGTCTGGAAACGCCGCATCATCTATTTGTCAAGTGTCCTCGTTTCGCGGAATCGCGCAACAAGTCGTCGCAGGAAGTGGTAGATACAACTTCCATGCTTCTTTTTGAAGCAAAAACCACTGTTCAAACAACGGATGTTTATCTACACTCCACACGGCGCTTGTTCGTCGACGATGCTTCGGTGTGGCCTTTGCGCGAGACTCGCTATTACTTAGGAACTGTACCTGCGATTCAAACACCTGATCAAATATCCAGTGTGTTGGCGACAAAAATTGCGCACGTATGGCACGGTGCAAGTATTCGTTTGGCAGGGCAAATTTGGGGGATGTACAAGTGTACTACGAATCCATTGGTCGGAAAGGCTGAACGTGTGTTTGATTTGCCTAGACATTTGCGGCATTTACAGTCACTTTCATAACGGCTTTGTATTTCGAAGAGCTGGCGAGGCACTTCTATATGTAGTACCTGAGTTACATCAGTAACGTAGTCAGCCAATAAAAGATCGTTTATTGTTTATTGACAATAATGCCAAAAATCTCAATATTAATCTTGCCTTAACTGACATTATTTGCAATGCGGCTAGCCTTCACTTTGAACAGCCACGGTGGATGACCTGGGCGCAGGGTGGTGCACACAAAATCATTAATCCCACCATCCGCATCCTTGTCCGTGAGACACATCAATTAGGGCAACTGATCGCTGCGACACGTGCTCACTGCATCCCCAAGCTAGCCTCTAAGGCTCCTTGGGTTGTCAATTATCTTCATACTCACGGATGCATTCTTATTGCTCAAGGGGACCAGGCGCCCCAATTTCTGCAATATCTCCTGTCCCTACGTCGCACACTCGCTCGCATTCGTTACGTTGAGGGACGTAAAGAATTGCGAAGTCGAGCCCAACAGTCAGCACAAGGTCATATTTGAGCTGTGCTCATGGGATCCTCTGCAAAAAAACTCTATCCCCGAATATATCATGGTGGTCCGCCTCTCGCCCTTGCTCATCTGGGAGATAGGATGAAATTCTTCACGTCCGCCGAGGATATCCAACGGGAGACTCAGACATATTTCACTGACCTTTTTACTCGGCAGGATCATCCCACAGTGCAGAAGCCATGGCTGGAAACACTGTCCGCGCTATCCATCAAATCATGAACATCACAAGACCCCTTTACTTGGCCAGTGGCAATGACAGTCGAGTCCCTGCGAGCAACTTTGCGCAAAGGCAATCCTCGCCCGAGCCCTGGACCTGACAACTGGGAAAAGTGGTGTGTGAAGTCACTCAGTGACACTGCACTCCGTCTCGTGCTTCAGCTCATCAACTACGAAATTTGCAACTCACATTTTCCAGCATCGGTGAAACCAACCAACATGACAACTATTTACAAACGAGGCCCACGGACATCACTCGCCAACTACCGTGGAATCTGTTGCAGTAACTTCTTGCTCAACATCCCTTTCACATGGCTCAATTCACTTCTTATCCCTTACCTCGCTAGACTTCGTGTCCTTCCCAAAGGGCAGGTTGCAACACAACTGGGTGTTCAAGGAAGGGACCTGACATCCTTTCTTTCGCAGTTGGAATGTTGGTCAAATCGTCATCACACACCATTATTCCTCCTTCGCAGAGACCAACAGAAAGGCTTCGACAAACTCGAACCTCAAGGATTTTATGACGCCATCACTGCTTACGGTCTTCCACAAACCATCGTCGATTTCGACTCGTCAGCACAGTCGGAGGTTCTGTACTGCGTGCATACCGCATATGGACTAACCGAACCCTTGACTATTACTGGTGTAACAAAGCAAGGTGGCCCGATTTCTCCCCTCAAGTCAACACTCACAACCAGTCTTGGTAACCACTGGCTTCATGATCTCTTCCTTGCGCATCACGATGGAGTCACTGTCTCCTCCATCCAGCATATGGATCATAGGGAGCATGTCCCAGCTGACCGCCTATCACTTGCGCTTGCAATGTGCGAGGCAACAGATGACTCCTTGCTTTTTGCAGGGAGTCTACCATCACTCGAACGGTCTTGTTTGGCAATGGAGCGTTTTCAGGCTGCCTATGGATGGCTCACCAATTGGGACAAATCAGCGGTGTTTGTTCTCAATGTCCCTGATCCTCCGATGTCTCTTTCACTGCCCTCTGTGTGGCCCGCTGACCCGACTTCACCAACAGTGTGTATGCGCTCTGTTCGCGTGATTACATCTCACGTCGAATTTTTGCGTGTGTCTGTCAATGATCCACTCACACAGTTTGCAAAAATACGTGACATCATTGTTTCATTCAGTTTCCCTCGTATGCACTGCCAATTACCACTCACTGCTCTACGTCGCATTATATCACAGTGTCTCGTGTCTCGTATTCGCCCCCTTCTTGCCTTCCAGCCAGTAACAAGAATCCAAGCACAACAACTGGATCATATGATTGCACGACATGTGCACGACTACTACCGCTTCCCATTCCATTTCAATTCCACACTTCTCTCCTTGCCCACTGACCTCTTTGGCATGGGCTTTCCCTCCATCTCCCGTCTCAATGACACACTCGCACTCCAGGGTATGTTACGTGACCTTAATCACCACATCCCAGCCTTTCGTACCATGGCAGCGATTACGTTGTCCGACTGGATGTGCAGCCTGAACCACTGCATGTACCCTTTGGATGGGCCTTCTTTGCAGCGGAGTTTTATACGGCTGAAGCGTGCTTTACCTATGACTTGGATTATCGCACATGAGACTCTGCGGCACTCTGAGCTCAGTGTACCAACTACCGATCAGTCATTCCTGCTTGGCGACATCGCTCTTCGCCATCTTTCGCATGCATGTCCATCTTCTTCCTTTCCACTCTCCCCATATCTCATTTCAGTTCTTGAGACTGAAGGGTACTCGTGGCTTGGTGACCTCCTCACTGCCCAACCCGCGGACCTTCCTCGTCTTAGCCTGCGACTTTCTCCCGCGACAATTTGCATGCTTGGCGGTTGGCTACAATCTCTCAATCCAGGTGCCCTGTCCAATATCTATCTTGGCATCCAACCAAGTGCCATACCTTTGCCTGACCGAGCCTTGCTACTTATTCCACGGGCTGTTAGGCAACATTATGCTGAATTAGCCCTACTTGGTGCTGTACATGTTTCCCCCCAACTCCCACGTCAGCTTCTGCCAGATTCCCTGATCGCTTGTGATGGTTCAATGGTACCGCCCCATGCGAACTTCAATTGTGTATGTTCCGTAACTTTCGTAGTAACCGCCGCAACAGGCTCACTTGTGGGGTCTTTGGATAACTACGCTAACGGAGCAACCATCCTCCACGGGGAAGTGTACGGTCTTATCGTATCCGCTTTGTTGGCTCGTTCAGGTGGTGTGCCAAACACCACAATTCACAGTGATCATCTAAATGCTGTACGCATTATGGAATCAAGCATCGTCTCGCCCCTTCTACCCCACTCCTGGTCTACATTACCCACATGTTCACTCTATCGTTGGCTATCATCCATTCTATCATCCTCTTCTAATCCTCCCACTCTCTCACACATCAAGGCTCACACCACTTCATCCTCCCTTCCTGCCCAAGCTAATGTGATTGTCGATACATTTGCTCGTGATTCTCATACTCGATTAATTCGCCCTTATCCTGTTCCGTCCGCGACATTTACACTCAATACTTTCTCACTATATTCTTCGACTTCAAAATTCATTGAGTCTTCTATATCTTCTTTACTTACATACTCTTGCGCAGCGCTGCAGCTGATCCGACCTTTAAGCCTCGCAGTACCCTTGCGCTGCCTCTTTATGACTCGCATGCTCCACCAGAACACCCATATGTGCGCACACCATATGCATTTGCGGCATTGGTACAACTCTATGCACGGTCATGACAATTGGCCACTGCGAGTGTGTTTTTCACTCGTCTGCAAAATACCTCTCCATGGTGCCGCTTTGGATGCAAGTGCTTGGAGACTCCACACCATCTATTTGTCCAGTGTTGTCGTTTCGCGGAAACGTGCAATAGGTCGTCGCAGGAAGTGTTTGATTCAACTTCCGTGCTTCTTCGCGAAGCAAAAACATCTATTCCAACAACGGAATTGTATCTGCGCTTATCGTTTCACAGGCTATAAGACTTATAGTTGACGTTATAGTTTTAGATTCAGAGGCTGATAGATAGACGCCAATAGGAGAGAATAGAACGAATTAATTTCTGGATATCTCCTAAGTCCTATATATTCTCTTTACTCTCCGACGATCTCAGACACTCTGAAGTTCCGCTACCTTCGGCTTATTGACTAAGGGTGAGCTTGGCTTGTTATTCTCAACACTCCCCCTCAAGCCGAAGTCATGCCTAAGTTGCTGACAAATTTGCAGTGCTTCGGCTTATGTAACGACTTCGTCAGAACATCTGCCACCATATCATTGGTGCGGCAATACTGTTCGTGGATTACTCCATCTTGTATTTTCTGCCTGATATAATGATCTTTTACATCGAAGTGCTTGGACCTCGAATGATATTGTGAGTCTCTAGCAATTGCCAATGCGGACATGTTATCGCCATGGAGAACGGTTGGAGCATCCTGAGGTATGTTTAATTCCTCAAAGAGGTTCCGAAGCCATACGGCCTCACGTGTTGCGTGTGCCATCGCAGTGTATTCCGCTTCTGTCGATGAGAGGGATACTGTGTTTTGCTTTTTGGAACTCCAGGTAATTGCTCCTCCTCCCAGTTTGAATACATATCCTGATATCGATAGTCAGTCTCTAGGATCGTTCGCATAATCTGCATCTGACCATCCGACGACTTGAATTTGCCCTTTATCAGGTTTTCCGGTCCCTTGGTACTTGATTCCAAGTTCTCGCGTTCCAGCTAAGTATCTTAATACACATTTTGCTGCTACCCAATGCGCTAATCCTGGGTTTGCAGTAAACGAGCTAAGTCTTTGAATAGCGTATGCGATATCTGGACGCGTCGCTACGGCCAAATACATCAGCGATCCGATCAGTGACGCATAAGTATTACTCCGGTTGCCTTCCTGGTCTGTTGCTTCTTTTTCGAGCATAATTTTTGGATCTAATGGCATACCTACTGAATTACTCGACTCTAGACCTTGTTTTTGCAGGATCGATTCAATATATTTTGTTTGTGAGAGTTTAATCGACCTGTTCAGTCTATCTCGCGTTATTTCGATCCCAACAATCTTTTTCGGTTCTCCAAGGTCAGTAATATCGAGTATACTCTTTAGTTGCTCTTTTAATTGATCCATCAGACTCGAATGGTCTGCGAATAGCAACAGGTCGTCAACCCAGACAGTTATTATTTCCGTCCCTTTTTCGGATTCTCTGATGTAAGTGCATGGATCCGACTTTAGTCGTCTGAATCCGATTTTTGTTAGGCGTCCATTTAGTTCAAGGTTCCATTCTCTACCCGATTGTTTAAGGCCATAAAGGGTCTTCTTTAATCGGCATACTCAGCCGGTTCCGTCATCATAGCCTTCGGGCTGTTTCATGTATACTTCTTCTTTCAGTACGCCGTTTAGGTACGCTCCTTTTACGTCCATCTGCTGTACTTCCCAATCGAGGGATGCGGCTGTGGACATTACTGAACGTATTGTTTCTAGACGCATGACTGGTGAAAAAGTATCTGTGAAATCCATGCCCGGTATCTGTGAGTACCCTTTGGCTACCAACCGCGCCTTGTATTTGATTATTTCCCCTTCTTTGTTTGTTTTCTTTACTAGGACCCATTTATTTCCTACTAAGGTGCGATCTTTTGGGGGGTCAACCAATTCCCATGTACCCATTTGTTCTAATTGAGCGAGTTCAGTTTGTACCGCTTCTTCCCACTTTGGCCACTCATCTGACACTTGCGCGTCCTTTAGTGACTTTGGCTCATGTGGTTCGAAGCTGCTGTTTGCCATGTAGGCGGCTAGAACTACTTCCTCTTCATAGAGCTCTTCGTCAAGCTCATGTCTTTCATGTGCAAGGTACGCCCATTCTGGTTCTGGGTCATTTAATTGGCGATAATCCTGTCTCACCGTCTGTCTCTTTGTTCTTCTAGGCGGTTCTATTTCATCTGAATCTGTCAGGGGACGTTTCCTCTTTAGAGTTGAGTTGTTTTCATCTTCTCCCTGCAGATCTTCACGCTTATTTTGATCTTTAGGATCCTCTATGGCATCTTTAGGTAATATAGCGCTATTTTGTGATGTCTGCGCGTCTTTCCCTTCTAACTCCCCCTCGCGCTGCACATCATGTACTTGCGCGATGTTATCTAGGAACTTATAGTTCCTTGATACGCGGATTTGGTGCGTCCGTGTATTATAATATTTAATTGCTTTTGGCCCATCCGCAAATCCAACAAAGATTTGTTTTACAGATCTTGGGCTCATTTTCGATTGATTTGTGCCCTCTTGGAGCACATATACTGGCGCACCAAACTCCTGTAGGTGAGTTATATTTGGTTTTTTACCATTCCATAGTTGTTCTGGCGTCACGCCTTGTAGTGCTCGCGTAGGCGCGTGATTTCTTATATATGCGGCATGTGATACCGCTTCCGCCCATAAAGACTCCAGTAAGTTTTTTCCTATTAGCATTGCTCGTGCGAGCTCCGCTAACATTCTGTTTTGTCTTTCAGACACGCCATTTTGCTCTGGTGAGTAAGGCGCTGTCGTCTGAAGTTCTATCCCCTCATTTTTACACCATGTTATTAGATCATTATTGATATATTCCGTTCCATTGTCAACTCGGAACCTTTTTGGTTGGTCTGTCCAACGCTTCTTTAGGTACGTCGCATACTGTTTTACTTTGGTGGACGCTTCATTTTTATTCTTCATAAATTTGACGCTGCACCTTTGGGAGCAGTCATCGGTGAAGGATATATAATATCTTGATCCACCAACAGATTGTACCCGTGCTGGTCCCCAGACATCACTATGCATTAATTCGCCGAGTGATTTGGAATGTTCGTCTTTTGCATGCGGGAATGAACTTCTCGCATGCTTTGCTTGGATACAAGCTTCGCACTGTGGCATAGGTGAGTTATCGTCTAATACTTCCATTCCTTCTACTAATCCTTCTCTATATAGGCGTCTGAGGCCACTATAGGCTACATGGCCATATCTTTTGTGCCAGGTGAGCCAATCTGCGGGTATATTTTCACGAGCGTTATAACTTTTTATTGTTTTATTTAGTTGCGCTCGGGTATTTTTTAATAAATATAACCCGTTTTGTAGCTCTCCTTTGGCTATTATGCGTCCTCCTCGTGCTTTTAGAGTTATCCCGCCATTTCCCATAATTGCATGTCCTCCCTCTCTGTCTAGACGGGTCATAGACACAAGGTTATTTGTTGCAGTCGGTACATACAATACATTTTTTAATTTGCACCTTATTTTTTGTTTACCTACACTGCTCACGAGTTCAACCATTCCTCGCCCTTCAGCCTTAATAGACTGGTTACTAATACCTGTAACCTTATGGGATTTTAATGGAACATAATCCGTTAATGCGGATTTAATCTTCGTGATGTGTGATGTGGTGCCTGAGTCAGCAAGCCAATCGCACGTGATCAACTTCGCTGCTTTACCTTGGCTATAATTTGCCTCGGTTTGAAGTCCATTGTTTTGTTCATCGATGACCTCTTCCATATCGTTGCCAACAAAAGCGACATCCTCCTCCTCGTAATATTGCACGTCTTCGACAATGTCTTCAATGACGTCTTCGACGACATTCGCGTTGTCTTTCCTTGCGCGCTTAAAAGGAGGCTTTGACAGTCCTGTGCCTGCCTGTCCACCACCCTTGCTCCAGCACGTTTCAATAGTGTGCCCGCTCTTATGGCAGTTGGAGCATTTGGTCTGCTTGTCCTTGAACCAGCAGTCCTTTTCAAGGTGACCGGACTTCTTGCATACTCCGCATCTCTTCATTTCCTTCCTTTCTCTCTTCTTTTTCGGATTCTTTTCCTTCATAGTGAGCGCACTCTCTTTTCCTTTTCCTTTACCATTGAGCTTTTCCTTCCTTCGCGCATTCTCCTCCATTATTAAGGAGATTAACTCATGTGAAGTAATCGCTGTCGCGTCACCTATCCTGTTTTGATACGTCGTCGTGAAGGTGTCCCAAGACTCAAGCAAAGATGAGATAAGTACTGTGCAGAAGTCGTCTTCTGCTACTAAACTTCCCATCATATGCAGGGTCTCCTGGATCTCCCTCATGTGCTTGACATGTGTTGGGATATCTTCGTCATCGTCGGCGAAAGTTCTATGGAACTTGCGCCTCCATGTGGTAATCGCTTGTTTGCCTCGCGACTCTTTCACGAGCTTTAGCTGATCCCACATTTCTTTTGCCGTTTTAGCTCCAGACAGATGAATCATTTGGCCGTCGGCAACCGACAGCTCTATCACAGTCTGTGCCTTGCGGTCATTGATTTCCCATTTTGTTATATCAGCTTCTTTTTGTGCCGACGCAGGCAACGGACCTCACGCAGGCTTAGGGACAGTACCCTCGACATATCCTTTGATTCCTTTTTGAAGAGGATGGCTTTGACGCGACGCTTCCAGCCCAACCAGTTCTCGTCATTCAAGTGTTCGATACAGTACAACGACGATAGAGAGGAACCAGTAGTTTGGTCCGGCATATCAGGGGTTTGTTTCGATTAGATTCTGTAGTGTTTTGATAATGTTTTCATTTGCGTACGGCAGGGCTCATAACCTATCGTTTCACAGGCTATAAGACTTATAGTTGACGTTATAGTTTTAGATTCAGAGGCTGATAGATAGACGCCAATAGGAGAGAATAGAACGAATTAATTTCTGGATATCTCCTAAGTCCTATATATTCTCTTTACTCTCCGACGATCTCAGACACTCCGAAGTTCCGCTACCTTCAGCTTATCGACTAAGGGTGAGCTCGGCTTGTTATTCTCAACAGCGCTCCGCACGATGCCTGTTCGTCGATGATGCTTCTGTTTGGCCAATGCACGCATCCCGATATTACCTGGGCACTGTACCGTCGATCAACCCGCCGTACCAATTTTCAACAGTGGTGGCAACCAAAATTGCGCACACGTGGCATATTGCGAGCATTCGATTGGCAGCGCAAATATGGGGAGCTTATAGGCGTATAGTCAATCCATCGGTCGGACATGCTCAGCGCTCATTTGATTTACCTGCACACTTACAATATCTCCAT